CTGACAAACCTCGGTGCCACCAGATTGGGTGCTGCCGGTGAGGGTGACGACGGTGCTGGTACCATGGAAGAGGACTTCCTCGCCTGGAAGGAGCCCATGTGGGCTGCTGTTGCCGAAAAGATGGGTCTGGAGGAGCGTGAGGCTATGTACGAGCCCGTCTTCGAGGTCACCGAAAGGCCAGATCTTACTCCCGAAGACGACACTGTTTACCTTGGTGAGCCCAACAAAAACCATCTTGAGGGCAACCAAAAGGGCCCATTCAACGCTAACAATCCCTTCATTGCGCCCATCGTCGAGTCCGCCGAACTGTTCAACTCTGCCAACCGAAACTGCCTACACATGGAAATCAGCATTGCTGGATCCAACCTGTCATACACTACCGGTGACCACATTGCCATCTGGCCCAACAACGCTGGCAAGGAAGTCGATAGGCTATTCAAGGTTCTTGGCAAGGAAGACCAGCGACACACCGTCATTGCAGTCAGAGGCCTCGACCCCACCGCCAAGGTTCCCTTCCCGTCACCGACCACATACGATGCTGCTGTTCGCTTCCACATCGAGATCAATGCTGCTGTGTCCCGTCAACTCGTCTCCGTCATTGCCCAGTTTGCGCCAAACGACGATATCAAGGCTGAAATCGTGAAACTAGGTAGCGACAAGGACTACTTCAAGGAACACGTTACCGACCGTAACCTCAACCTGGCACAGCTTCTCGAAATCACTGGCAAGGGTGTGACATGGGACAAGATTCCCTTTTCTTTCCTCTTCGAAACCATGGTCAAGATCCAGCCTCGTTACTACTCCATCTCCTCGTCGTCTCTGGTACAGAAGGACAAGATCTCCATCACTGCTATTGTCGAGTCCATCGAAAAGCCCGGTGCGCCATACGCTCTGAAGGGTGTCACTACCAACTACCTCTTGGCCTTGAAGCAGAAGCAACACGGAGACCCCAACCCCGATCCTCATGGCCTGAATTACTCTATCACCGGTCCTCGTAACAAATACGATGGTATTCACGTTCCAGTCCATGTCCGCCACTCCAACTTCAAGTTGCCTTCGGACCCCTCCAAGCCCATTATCATGGTCGGACCCGGTACTGGTGTCGCACCATTCCGTGGATTCATTCAAGAACGAGCTGCACAAGCGAAGGCTGGCCAGAATGTTGGAAAGACTATCCTCTTTTTCGGGTGCAGAAAGCAATCAGAGGACTTCATGTACGCGGATGAATGGAAGGTAAGTTGTCAAGTGCCACAACCACCACCAAGTTGAGACTAACAAGATACGCAGCAATACCAAGCAGACTTGGGTGATAAGTTCGAGATGTACACCGCCTTTTCGCGAGATGGTCCCAAGAAGGTTTACGTACAGAACAAGCTCGAGGAAGCTGGCGAGGAAGTGAACAAGCTGCTCGAGCAAAAGGCCTACTTCTACGTTTGCGGTGACGCCGCACACATGGCCCGCGAGGTCAACACTCTTCTTGGAAAGATCATCTCCAAGTACAGGAACGTTTCGGAGACAAAGGGCGAGGAGATTGTAAAAGCCATGAGGGCGTCAAATCAATATCAAGAGGACGTCTGGTCATGAGCTAGGAACCACTGAGAGGAGTTCGGAACGAGATTTTTGAGCATGCATTTTCATGGGTAGAATGGTGTGAGCGACGGCGTTCGATCTGACGACCGCATTTCGTGTTGGAATATACTGGCTCTGTATCTGAGGCCTGGATGACCATGTGCGGATATCTAACCGCTCACTACTCTGTATAGCCTGCGACGTAGACAAGTTGATTTGATGAATAACAAAAACATTAATACCTCAAGATTTGCTTCTTACTCAGGTGACTCTGATGGGTATCAGAAAGATGTTGAGCGATGCGCGACCTAATGCTGTGAGGCCCTGTTGTGGTAGGTAAAACGTGCGCTAGTCCAGGGTCCATGCCATGATTGGCGCAAGCGCACGCGGTGCCTGCCGCGTCGATCGCGTCCCATAAACCTCGTCTCTTCGATGAACATCAGCCTTGCGTGCATATCGACAGCTTCGGACTAATATCGACATCTGCCGTTCCTGGCTCATGACTGCGCCGCGATAACTGATGAAGAGTCTTTACGATCACAAGCTCAGGTTACAGCCCCCAATGTCTAGGTTGCCTGTCTGGACCGCTGCGTGGCAAAACTTCATTGCTCAGAGGTGCAGGCACATCTCTTTGTACAGGGCACTGACATCATGCGTACGGTAATGGTTTGTACAGCAGTTCCGGCTAAGTGTCGTCTTCTGTATTGACCTGGTTGCGCATCGCATGCTGAAAAGCTTTACGGTAGGATGACCACACCAGTCACTCACCGCCGCAACCTGAGCATGCGGGGCATTGGCTCGAAACCCGGAAGAACGCAGTGCTTCGAAACGCCATGAACTTTAGCGAGGCTTATATGAGGCCGGGCTGTCCCTCATCTGCTTTCTGTGTCACCTCGCGGATGCGACTAGAAAGAGCCGATCTGCGTAGTATGTCTCTTTCTGCGATCATGGTAGCAGGAAGATATGAATTCCAGGTTTGAGGTCAAGCCGGGTCACGTTGGAACATTCGCAACGAAACATTTGTCAAGCAGCTCAGTACAAAACGCAGAATTTGGAGAGACATGCATGTAGACAAACTGCATGCTTCTCCGCGCGCACAGCATGCACAGATCCTAAAAGGACCTTACAGGCAGGCATTTATGGAGCAATCGACGAATAATTGTGTACCAGAACGCCACCCGACATGGACCCTTGGAGGTGTCCTTCACTTGCTGAGTCTAGGCACGAGTAGATGTTCTCTAACTCTCCTCTGTCGCTACACTGCCACGAGACCTACAACAGCCGCATCAAGAGCCGGACAACCGGCCGGATAGTTGTTTTGCAACATATGCGACACGGTAATCAGTGCGCTTGCGCCCACGCAACACGCGAGGAAGCGGGACATGTTCCATTCGTGAGTCTGTATCACTCCAGCGCCATCAGGTCTTTGGTGGAGCACCTGAGGATCTCGTACACGATGCAGGTTAGTACCTTGTCTCTCACTAGGTACAGGGCTGCCAGCTTGTTCGACACCTATCCATAACTCATACTATCTTTAAGTATACTCGGAAAGGTTCATCGCACATGGCTATCTTCGTTGCGCTTGTCTTGTATGAGCGGCGAGGTTGGTCGGGCCACAGGCGTCGGATATACTCCTTGCATCTGCGTCTTGGTGCAGATATTCATGTGCCCTATCAATAGCCTCGAGAATGCAGATTTTATCGCCTTGCATATCAAGAAATTCTCGGACGACGGCGCATCTCCAATGACATCAGCTGGACTTTTCCATATCCGTCTCGAGACCGCGACTCGAAGCTTTACAATCGGCAACGGCTGCACTGCGCCGGCTCGTCGCGCAGGTTACGGGCGTGCAACAGGTGCGCCGCCCCGTCAAGCTATTACAGGTCTGTGATGGGATGGCGGCAGTTTTGCTGTAAAGCATTGTAAGAGAGTCACCCTGTTTGTGTAGCCACACTAAGCGCCAAATAGACTGGATGGTCTTCAAACAGAACCTGGGCATGTCTCGAGGTCTGGGAAGGGCTGTTGCGTGTACCCGCATGCTGATCAATGCGTGGAGGTGAGGAAACGACAGGTCTATTTTTCATAACGAGAGCCTGCGCGCCAAAGTCATCGCGTCTGTTCAATTCGACGTGCGTGGATACTGTCCGCAACTCAACAAACGATGACATACCTTCTTTTCGACGTCATGTTACGAGACTGTTCAGCCCTGCTGCAAGGGCGACATGGCTGCATCAGCCATTGCCACAGTGAGAAGCTGGCTACTTAAGTGGAAGTTAGACTCGACACGTACCAGTTGACGCCTTGTCATTTGTATGCTACGCACACCGGTCCAAGAAAGGCATGGCTGCAAAGATGCATGTGCGAGGAGTGCACCACTGATGCGACTCGTTATGCTTGCAGCGCTCGCGATACCGTGTTCCTGGTACGCGCATTCAACACTGTGCGTGCTTGATTGTAGCGGATATATAAGAGCAACACGTTTTGCACCACGGTGAGTAGGACAGCACCACAGCTTCGCTCGAAAGCCAGGTTTGACATCACTATCTAACAGCTCTTTCAACAATATTACTCAGAGACTGCCGCGGCGCGACAGCCAGACAGAGAAGCCACGATACGCAGGGTGCGAGTGTTGCATGTTCTCATCCGTCCATTCTTGCTCGGAGTGAATTCACTAAGAATGTGAGTGTTTCCTGTGTTGTCACATTTCCTCTTCGCAACTTCCCTTTGTCGAGATTGAGGCTGCCGGTTACAGTCCGCCGGTGGTCTTCCACCGAGACATCGCGACTGCTCTTTCCCCATCTGCTACGCCTAGACGCCATCATCGAGTACAACAGCTCGCCTCATCCTATCGTCCCTCGTCTCTTCTTCACTCTTCTTCACTTCTTTCTCACCAATACGCATCAGTGGCCACATTCTTTGTAGCTTTTCCCAGGTCAGTCAGTCTCCGTCTCAACCTATCTCTCACTGTCATGCAGCATTCCGATACTGACGTCTCGGCAGCTTTGGAGTCACTACCAGTCCCGCACATTGCACAAGTTTGACATTTACGGCCCAGTAAGTCCCTTTCACTTTCACCATCCCATTTTTCTGCCTCATGCCCCGCTCTGCCACCGCCAGACCTAGTGAGCTCCTCCCCCACATTGGCTGGCGAGGCCTGCTTTGCTCGTCCTCATCGATCACCGAGCAAACTTGCTAGGCCGAACCCCAGCCTCCCCATAATGGATAAAAGCTAATCTTTCGAGCAGAGCAACGTTCTTCTCTGCATCTCAGTCTGTCTGCCAAGCTCGTTGTTGAGATCCTTCGTCGCAGTCGTCCTCAGGCTTGCATCCTTCAGTCTACCTGCCCCTGCTCGTAGCCTCAGATTCCAGCCCCGGAGACCTCATCGGTCTTTCACTCTTCCTTCGGTCAGCGTCACTTCAGAGCTCGCTACAATGTCTACCAACGGTCGCCAGCAGAGCTACGCGCCTCCCAACGCGGGATACAAGGGACAACACATTCTCAACAACTACAACCAGCACGGACAAGGTCACGGGAGCGCTCAATACCTCCCTCGAGGTCTGCCTATGTCCCCCCACGGTGATAATGGTATGCAAGGTCTGACGAGCAACTTGGCAGCTCTCAACATGCACGCATCCTACGGTTCGTCCGCTACCTCCAAGTCTGCTAGCTCTGCACTTTCAGGGGGTTCATCCGACTATGGCAACATTCCTCTTTCTAATGGTCAAGGACTCTGGGTTCCCAACCAGCAGGTTCTCGGATCCATGTATCAGATGATGCCTGGTGCTCAGCAGCAGACTGCCATGGCGGCTTCTCCTAGCATGTACAACCACACCGGTGCGTACGTTCCGCAGGCAGCTTACCAATATGGCCAAGCTGTCATCGATAACAGCGCTATACCACCGGCATGGGCTGCTCGAATGTCCTCCGCCGAGATGCCGTCGCTTATGACACCGCGTCGTGACTCTATCTCCTCCAACGAGAATGACAACCCAGGCACACCTTACGGCAGTGGTGGTATGTATCACCGCTTTGGCAACAACACGGCTATTATGGATCGCTCGCCGAATGCCCTCTACTCCAGCAGTGCCACTCCTTCGCCATCACAGCTGGTCCACCCCTACCAGGTCATGGCGCCCACCCCGAAGCAGCAGACCATGCCCACATTGCCTCCCAATCTACTGGCATTAGTGCACCAGGAGCCCCCCATTCCTCGGGCCATTCCCGCTCCTAGCTCCCCGCACAAGCCACTCGACCGTAGCCTGGAGAACAAGACTGGTGAGACCAACGTTTACATCCGAGGCCTGTTGCCCGAGACCACTGACGAGATGCTTCACTTATGGGGCAAGCGTTTCGGAGACATCCAGAGCTCCAAGTCCATCATCGACCTGAAGACCAACCTTTGCAAGGGGTAAGCAGTTCCCCAAGCATCCCATCGCCCCAATGACTGACTATCCTTCGCAGCTTCGGATTCATCAAGTACCATAACTTCGAAGACGCTGAGGACTGTATCCGCGGCTTCCACTACCTCGGATACGAAGTCAGCTTTGCTCGGGTATGTTTCCTTACGCTCATATGCAATGAACTTCACTGACGCTCTCTAGGAATCATTCTACTCCAAACTCAAGAAGTTCGCCGACGAGTGTAACACCAATCTTTACGTATCCAACATCCCCAAAAACATGAACGAACATGAGCTCGCCTCCATCTTCGCACCTCACAAGGTCTGCTCGAGCAGGATACTTCGTGACTCTTCCGGTACCGGCCGTGGTGTCGGTTTTGCTCGGTAGTTCACCCGTGTGCTACCAATCTGAACGTCGTTAACGGTCTATAGCTTTGAATCTCGCGATATCTGCGACGAGGTCATCAAAGAGTTCAACAACACTCCTGTGTCTAAGCCCGGCGGCGAAGAGCACCTCATTCAGATCCGCTTTTCCGATACACACGAGCAGAAGATGTTGAAGCAGCAGACCGCAGCTGGCCGTGTCTTCCGTGCTGCGGAGTACGAGGTCGGTGTTGCCCAGGCTAGGGCACTGGGCACGCCCGAACGCTACCTCTCCGTCTCTCCGATACCTGCAGGTCATGCCAACGAGTTCGAGATGTTCATGCGTGGCCAGCGCCAGCCATGGTCACCACCAGTGCCATCGACCCTTGGCCCAGCCCGATCTTACTATATGCCTCAGGGCGGACCCATCAAGAGCGATGATGGTGTTTCTGACAACGGTGTTGATGTCAAGACCAACCCTGCCACTCCTGTGAAGGCCGATACGTCTGCTTCACCGAGCCCCACCAACTAAGCATGCACCGCCTCTTCCGGGTCGACCATCGATATACCTTTCGTGTACGCACTATTCTTCATGATCGCTTCTTCACCATCCTCCAGTCACATTTCCTTGGAGACTCCTTTTGGCATCGATCCTATACCACAAGTATACTCTACGAAGGCCACGCTATATCAACATGCCACGACACGACGCTTTCGTCGTTCCTTTCTGTCGCTTGTTCTGACTTCCATGCCCACATCGTTGGGCCCCTAATACTTTGCTCTTGGCGCCAGCACCTCGAACGTATCCTTCTCATCGGCAGTCCAGTCTCGCGTTTTCCTTTCAACTAATATATTTCAGTTGCTTCTTTCACATTTTAGAAGTATTTGTTAGCATCTGGGCAAGCCAGCAAACCAAAAGGATCTTAGTGGGTCATTCAATGTATCTCTTTCTCATCGATGGCAAGGGCAGGTTTCATCAGCGGTGGCTAGGGCTATGGTCGGATTTGTCGTAGTCTCGATAGTTCGTCGTATAATAGATCTTCTTCCAGCTCAGATTTGTGCTGGTGTTTGCTCTTCAATAGTTGTTCCCTCTGACATCTCCAAAGCCTCTTCCCGCCCAGGTGCCAACGACTCGTTCCGTTCAACTCCACATCAGATTCGCATTGAGTCTTCACCGTGTCAACATGAGACGACGAAAGAACCTTGTAATATCTTGGCACCCAATCTGGGTGTAGTGAAAGGGCATCGCGTGCTTCTGTGGTAATTGTAGCTTGACCTTGGTCACTGTCGCATTTATATTCACGCTAGACTTCGCTGAAAGGAGCATTTGTGTCAATACTTTCATTTCAGTTCATTGCTCTTGCACATCTATATATACAACGGTGTGCCCCTCGGACTTGTCGTTGTGTCAGTGCGAGGGTTGAGGCAGGGACCGTAATGCTATTAGAATGCCAAAATGCTTGGTGCAGACCCTCTATATGCCCTGCGCGATGTCCTAGACATCTCTTCCTTCTTTCCGCCTCTCACCGGAGTCCTTCAGTCCTCCCACTCTGGGTTCTACAAATCATGTTAGTCTGGCTAGTAAGATCACAATGAGTTGGAATATCATACCTTTCGCAGAATGACCACGCCCTCCAGTACGTTGGTGAGGCTAAGGTACTTCTCGTCTTCCAATTCGGCTCGCTCGCCGTGCGCCAGCAGTACCGGCGTGCTCTGTGTTTGCCATCCGGTGATGGTCTTTGGCCTACCAGCCTGGCCAACAATATCGACAGCCTGACCAACGCGGACGTTGACCGTCAATGGCTTGAGGTCCTCGTCAAGCGTGATGAGGAAGCGCGGTGACATGGCGGTAGCGAGGTAGTAGAGAAGGTAATGTGAGTCACCAGCAACGAATGACTTTGCATCGATCAGGGAAACAAGAACAGTGAGAAGACCCGAAGCCGCTACGCGAGACAATACCTGACGGTCGGTATGGAATGGGTTGAGGGATAGTGTGCCCTTTCCTGCGTGTAGCAGACCTTGTGCTATGCGTACCATGAAGAGAGCGTTGGGGTCACGGTGGTAGTAGCTGGCCAATTGGCGGAGCAGTTGTGCGAGACGGGCGTTGTTGGTACCAGCACCGCAGAGACCCATGGCGAAGATGGCGTTGATGGCGACATCATTGTCGTTGTCGTGAGAGTAACGCGAAAGAGTGTCGTAAACCTTCATCTGCGGGTTGCTAGGGCTGATGAGACCCAAAGCGAGAGGCACAGCCTTGCGGATGTTAGCCTCGCCATAGTGCATCAGATGGCCGAGTGTGCGGAGGATCATTTCTTGGCCAACATCCTCGCCCATGGCGACTAGTGAGAGACCAATGACAGCGTAAGACTGTAGTAGCTCGTCACCCTTCTTCTCCTCGTTCTCGTCCTCGATGTGCTCATTGCAAATATGGAGCAGTTGCTGAATCTTCAGCACAGCACCCGTACCTGCCCACGCGCATACTTCGGTGAGTACAGAGGCTGACTTGGCCATGGGATGGTCGAGCGCCTTCAGTGTCTCCAAGATGACGTCAACCTCTTCTTGCTGGCCGAAGAAAAGTAGCGCAAGACCAAGAGCCATGAATCGGGTCCACTTGTCCTTGAGCTGCTTCGTTCGGTCCTCGTCCAAGAGTGTGTTCATCAAGGCATCTGTGACGTCTCCGTTGGCTGAACCAACAAAGATCATACCGAGAGACAGCGCTGCCATGGCAGAGAGCTGCATATCAAGGCTGGTATCGCTGACGATTGGCAATAGGATGTCCAAAAGGTCTTCCTTATTTGACCCTGCATAGGCGAGACCAAGACCCATGATGGAAGCGAGGCGGATATTCTTGTTCTTAGAGTTGATATTGTCCTCGTCGCCAAGCAGGGCCATGGCGGGATCTGAGTCCATGCGCACACCAGAGTTGAAGATTCCGGTAGCAAGCATGGCACCGGCCTTGACCATGTCGTCCTCAACGTGTGTGTAGGGATCGACCTTATCGAGACCCTCTTCTACGTCCCAGAGCATGAGCATACCCAAAGATGCGGTTGTTGAAAGCATGCCTTCTTCCTTGGTCTTCCAGACCCAGCTGCTCTTTGTGTTCTCGTTAAGCATGAGCTTATCATTTGCATAACCGGTGTTGACAAAGGCGTTGACGAAGGCGGAGGCGAGGTTGTGTCTGGCAGAGTCGGTGTTGGTGAGTCCGGCAGTCCTGCTGCTCTCAAGATGTGTCTTGTAGATGTCGTCAGGGGTCTTGGGGTCGAGAATATTAAGCTCCTTGCCCAGCGCCTTGAAGTGATCAGGCAGGCGCGTGTTGTTGATGCACTCCTGGAGCTCGGGGTCTTCGTCTTCGGAGACGTCGAGCCATATCCGCTGTCGGCCGCAAAGGTAGGCCATCTGTCTTCGAATTGACTTGTCTTTGGTAGCGTTGAAGGCTTCGTGGATGAGATCGGTCTCGTGTAATCGTATCGCGATGACGATTGCCTGTGTGTACTGCTTGTATTTGGCGTAGATTCGGTAGGTAGTGCGGAGGAACTTGTCGTTGTCCGGGTAAGTGAGTAGGGGTACGTTGCTGCTGATGTCAGTGTCACTCGTGTAGGCGAATGCGACAATGTCCTACCTGACCATGTATAGAGCGACTCTCGAGTATGTGTTCTCGTCAATGTATTGCTCAATCTGATCAATCATCTCCAGCTCAGACAGGATGTCAACGGCATCCGCCTCTGCGTTGTGCTTGAGGAAGAAGGGGACGAGGTTCGAGGCAAGGTCGGTGACATCGTCGGTGGACTTGTCGTCGTTCAGGCGGTTCTGGTACTCTGTGCCAATTTCCAGCGCAAGGTGGCGCATGTACTCGTGGCCCCAGGAGCCGAGATCTGTTGAGGGCGCCTCAAGACGGTACTTGAGGCAGTCCAGGCGGTCCTCGTCAGAATACGTCATTCCCAGAACAGACATCATGTCGGCGAGCGAGCGCTTGTTCTCGCCTGCGGGCCATGATGCGTAGGCCTTCTCTAGGGCCTCGTAGTGTGGTCGGAGGAACTTGAGCGGCTTGGGCACGGCCGTCATGGAACTCGTCGATGTCTTGATGAATTCCTTGATCTGTTCGAGCGCGGGCTTGTAGAGGCTGGTGTCGGATCCCTAGTAAACACATGAGGTCAGCGCATGCTGCGAGGGGCAGCTTCCATGGTAGCAGCTCACCAGTATCCGCTCTGCCAGCATGTCCAGGTCGCTCTTGAGCTGTTGATCTTCCTCGCTAAGCTCCTCTGTGGTTCGCAGTCAGTGCATGTCCATGACGATAGCCACTACAGCTGTGCCCAAGACAAAACATACCGCCAGTTGTCGCAACACCGCCCTTCTTGTCGTCAAGATCTGGCTTTGCATCCTTGCTCTTGTCCGCGTCGTTGTTTGCCGGCGCCTTGCCCTTGCCCTTGTCGGCGGCCGTGGGCTTCTTCTCGTCTTCCTTCGCCATGTTGATATGTAGCTAGGACAAGCGGCGAAGTGTGTGTCGGGACGGAGCGGCGTGGATAGCGACTGTGAAGGGGAATCCGGGGGGGCTATGAGATGTAGATGGCCGCTCAAATGGGTCGGGAGAGCGAGAGGCAAGTCAAGTGGGGAGAGTGATAATGGCGGATTGATGTCGATGAGGCAGCTCTTGCTTCGCGTACACCACTTCCGCCGCGCTAGGGCCAAGCACCGTCCACCGATGATGAGCGCCGCCGCCGCCGCCGCTCAGGCCTTCGAGAAACCTCCAAAAATTATTGTCGTCGCACCCAAACCCCGGCGTATTCCCCAACCCGCACCCGCAAGGCTTTCCGAGTCGCACAATCTCTCACCATGAAGCTGAATGTCAAGAACATCCGCTATCTGGCCGCAGACGACTGGCGCGTCCTCACTGCGGTATGCGCCCGCACTGTCTTTCCGTACGTAGTGGGGGACTAACGCTGATGAAGACCATGACAGACAGAGATGGGCAGCCGCAACCATGAAGTCGTACCAACCCCCTTGATTGCCCAGATCGCTGCCCTTCGCTCAGGCACCGGCGTCCACAGGTGCATTTCCAACCTCGCAAAGATTGGCCTCATTGCCAAAGTCCGAAACGCCAAATATGACGGCTACCGGCTCACATACGGCGGGCTCGACTACCTTGCCCTGCACACCCACCAGAAGGCGTCGACGGTCTACTCGGTCGGCAACCAGATCGGCATAGGAAAAGAGTCGGATATCATTGTCTGCGCCGACGAGACGGGCAAGCAGCTGGTTCTCAAGATCCACCGTCTGGGCCGCATATCTTTCCGCACCGTCAAAGCGAACCGTGACTATCTGCGCAACCGCCAGGGTGGGTCGTGGATGTACATGTCGCGCCTCGCTGCCCTGAAGGAATTCGAGTTCATGAAGGCTCTACGAGCAGAAGGATTCCCAGTGCCCGAGCCGGTCGGTCAGAACAGACATACAGTCATCATGAGCCTCATCGACGGTTTCCCTCTGCGTCAAATCTCAAAAGTTGGCGATCCGCAGGAACTCTACGCCGAACTGCTCGCCCTCATCGTTCGTCTGGCGCAGTATGGTCTGATCCACGGTGACTTCAACGAGTTCAACATCATGATTGAAGAGAAACCCGAAAAGGACGACACCGTGTCACTGGTGCCCACGCTTATTGACTTCCCGCAAATGGTCTCAATCGATCATGCCAATGCCGAATACTACTTTGACCGCGATGTCGCTTGCGTAAAGCGCTTTTTCGATCGCCGATTCGGCTTCAAAAGCGACGAGCCAGGTCCGTTCTTCAAGGATGCCACCAAGAAGCTTGTCAAGAGGTTGGACGTCGAAGTACAAGCGTCTGGCTTCAGCAAGAAGATGGCGAAAGAGCTGGAACTTTACATGAAGGAGCATGGCATCGATGGTGATGCTGGAGACATTGCCACAGGAGTAGAGGGAGAAGAGGTTGACGGCGACGATGACGATGAAGGCGGCGAGGAGGACGAATTTAGTCAAGAGGAAGACGGCGGCGTCTCCCTCCAAGGTGGCCCTGTAGGCGACGAACAACCTACTCTTGCCTCACAGATGACCATACTCGAGATTCGAGACAACGACCCACTACCAGACCTCAAGGACATTAAGCCGCCTCCACCATCCGAGCCCACCATGACCACGAAGGCTGCCAAGAAGAAAGCCGGGTGGGCCATCTAGACCTGTCAACTACATCTCGTTTCCTTCCCATTCCTGCGATACCCAGACTCTATGACTACCTTCAGGCCACCTTTTCATGAAAGAACAAAAGTTGATAGAATTTATATTTGTATGACTCGCGTCCAATGGAGGCATATGAATCACGATCACATTTCTATGGCACATGAAACTTTTTTTCTGAGTTGTGCTCATTGCTAAAAATCTGCCCTAAGGGTATACACGGTGGTTTACGTTGCCATGCCAATGGATAAGTCACGGTGTATACTTTTAGAGTAAGTTTTTACGTCTATCCAAGCCATCTTCATCCCAACTTTCAACTCTCGCTTTAGTAGATTCTCGATTACTGCGCGCGGTATCCATAATTCTAGGGTGTACCAAGCGCCCAACAAAGCGGAAATCTGGCTCTAGGAAACCATCTCGTATAAGCAAAGACCTTATCTCTTCGGACAGGCGATTGCCATTCAGGGCTTCATCGTCAATCTCAACTTCTCCGTCATCAAGCTCTCGTATACACGATTCGCTGATGTACTCCGGCAGCGTGTCGCGCTCGGTTTTGAAGCCGGCCCACTTGTGTTGGCGCCGCAGAAAGCGCGATATTGAACTGTCGATGGTGGAGAAGACGATGCTGCTTCGGGGTGCGTGCAGAATGTATTGCATGAGTGGTAATGGTGAGATCTGAACTTGTATTTGTGAAGGTCCGTAAGTGGTTTGAATAGGGCAAGTCGTGGGATAGTTGCAAATGAATGTTGGCAATCCTGTGAAAACCTTGTGAATTCACATTCGTGCAACAAATCTTCGAATTGTACATCAATGGAAAATTCATCCAGTGTTAAAGTTACACTCACCCGCTTGGGTGGCTGATGTGAATGCTCTGAATTATGAGAAGAGCTACCTCACAGCGTAAGGTCTCAATCAGCAATAAGCATCATTCACTGCTTCCTCTCAAGGAACTATATCACAGCACTATCAAACCAGGACTCCACAGTCTTGTTCAGCGACCTCAACAACCATGCCTCCACAAACAACAACAACGGTGACTATAGTCGCCATCCCAACCTACTACCAAACCGAGTCCTATGTCTTCATTTACCCAAAGTCCCGGGATGAGCGCCCCACCACGACAGCACGCTACATAGTCCTCACTCCCGCCTCGACAGAAACCCTCACAACCCGTAACGCAGCCATCGCCAAAGACGTCACAGACTGGGGTTGGCGCGTATTTAATACCGATCCCTCTGCTCCCAACATGAAAAAGTGGTTCAAGAAGTATGACAAAGCAGCGAAGAAGAATACCTGGGATAAAGACATCTGGAGAATCTGGCAGCGGGAACACGGACTGAAGATTGGGTGGGCGGATATGGAACGTAAGGAGAAGGAGGCGAGCGAGAAGGGTAAGAAAGGAAGATTCGTGCATGGGGTAAAGAAGGCGGGAACATATCTTGGAAAATATGGCGTAACGGTCTGTTCTGATGAGCAGCGATTGAGAAAGGAGGAGTCGGGCAAGGAAGAAGAGAGGAGATGGAGGTTGGCGGACGATCAGATTGTGGGGATGTCTGAGGATCTGCCTGACGATCCTTTTGCGGATCCTCCCACAGAGATGGGTGGGACAGAAGAGGAGGGAGATTTCAAGTCGGGCAACCTGAGAGGTGGCGGTGGTATGGATGCGAAGAAGAGTTCGCCTGAGAAGACTGCAGTATATGATGTAGCGCCTTTGACTAGACACCCGTGGTTGCTATTAGGTTGAGTGTCATTCCATTTTCTTCATCCTCAAACCAGCATTAAGTTCTTACAGCTCTCACTTTTCATCTTCCTCTCCATCCTTCTCCATCTTTTTCTTTCCGATCTCCTTACTCCTGGCTTTCTTCATCTCCTCCACTCCTTCTGTCAAATCCCTATGCACAACTCTAACCTCCCACCCGTCATCCTCACTCCACCGTATCTTACCCAACTGCTCTGCAAATGCCACACTCCTGTGATGCCCACTCCCACACAAACATCCTACTCGTACTACCGCTTTCTCACCCTCCCTACTAGCTCGTACATCCTTAATCTCCATGAGCCGCCGAATATCGTCCTCAGCGCGGGTCACAATGTCGCTGAATGATTCGCGGCTCATGAGCTCGTCTTGGAGCGTGGAGTCGAGTCCGGTGCATGTTTTCCGCATTTGAGGGGACGGGTTCTGGGTCATACGGCAATCATATTCTAGATCTGGTTTAGGAGATGGTGGTGTGAAGCGGTCGTAGGATGTGATTTCGAGGATTGGTCGACTTTGAGAAGTTTCCGAGTTTTGATTTGCCTTCTTTGCTGATGCAATTTCATCTTCGGTTGGTGGAACGAGTTGTGTGTTTTTGACGGTTGAGGCGATGTCCGACAGTATGGTCATTTTCCTGATGATAGCCGAGCCGTGAATTGCAGTAGGACTCAATATGCGCTTAGCTATGTTGGAGAGAGTTGTTTAAAGTTGGCTTTCATATAGGGCATTTGAGCCAGTGGATAACTGTATGTCTGAAAACGTGATGGTTCGGACCTTCTTTCTTATTTTCATGACGCTCATTCGGGTAAGAGGTCGCGTGCCCGCTGCAGATTGCTTCAGGGTCTCTGAAAACTTCGGCGCATGAAGATGACGTTAGGCGCTGTGGATCCACGGGCGCATCCGCTGGTACCATGCAAGGTGCGTCATCGCTGATTGCGACTGCAGCAGGTGTCGCGATAGATAATTCAGTGCCACTGTATCAGCTTTGTTTAGGTAGTACCTCATATGAAAGCATGCCGAAATAATTTCCGGTTACTCCGATTCAACAAGTTAGCCTGCAAACAAAGAAGCAGATTGTCGTTCCTGATGAAATGAAGGAGCTCGGTTATATTGAGTTGTACCCAAGGCCTGGAGTATACTTTAATGGCCTATACTCCGTCATCTTGTATATAATGTGCACGTAAAAGACAGCGCATACCTTTTGGGCACATTGTGTGATCAGATACAACAGAGAAAAAACGAGCTCTTTCGTATGCGGCAGAACGCGGAAACGCGCGGGCCTTTCATGAGTGAACATGTCGTAAGCGGACGTTTGGCTCTATTCGTACGATACATTATGGACCTTGATGACAATTTTAGAAATTAAACGCCCTTCTCGCTCGGCCTTCTCCCTGTTTCCTGGGGTCGTTTTCCTTTTTCAACTTGTTGCCTTCGTAATCCCCAGATCCCTTAAGCTTCTCTCCAATGTGTTCTCCAGTATCACGCAATTTGTTTCGCAAAGCGACCCATCTCGAGTCTCGCGGCGCATGGCGTTCCTGCATTGTCGTCATCTGGGGCGGGTTGTCACTGAGCGATACATGCGACTGTCCTTCATCATGAAACTTGATCCAGTTGTGTCCAATGACTTCTTCCTCTGAAGGGCGCTTTATCAGCTGCGGCGTGTTTTGCGCAGAATCAGAGCGAAGAACTCGTCCGTCTCCAGCTCTGTCAGAAGCGTTCATGCCGAGCTGTTTGTCAGACAAAGGCGTCATCTCATCGATGCCTGTGCCAGGAAAGTTCATGTCAGGCTGCTCGGAAGACTGGGGAGCATCCGGAGCGTGTTCATAATGGCCTGCTTTGGAGCGTGGGAGAGACTCGGGTTCATCAATGACCGTCGATCGACACTGTCCGGTAGTGGAAGACCACGGATTGACGGGTCGCGCATATGACGTTGGTAATGGATTGTCTTCTGAAGGTATTCGGGTCTCTGGCAGCTCGACTGTCACATCGTAGGTCAAGTTCGTCGTAATTATTCTTCTTCGTCTTCCTGATGCATCTGTCGGGAAGTTGCGGTAGAATGCCTCGACAGGCAAATGAACGACAATGGGTACTGTAACTGTAAAGTTCTTGGGTGACTTCCATGCTTGCGCAGTCGGATGCGATGGCGTGATAGAAGGGATTGCAGTAGTATCGGGGGCAGAAGATGGGTCGTTTGCATCGAGGGATATCAGAGGCGGTGGTGTTGCATCGTCAGTTGCCGTTACTGTATACGGGCCTTCCTCAACTACAACGACCCTCTCACTGGATGGCACCGCAGGAGCATCTGGTTTTCGAATGATAGCATTACAGTTGTTACAGTATATTCCTGGCCTCGGCTCGTCGACTGTGTTCGAGAGGCCAGGCATTTTCGGAGTAGTGTGATGGCTAGCTGTAGTAGCTTCGTGGTAAAGAGAGGGGTGAATATTGATACAAGTGTGTTCAGGCTAAAACATTTATGAATGATATAGCGAATTACTTGTGAACTGTGTTGTTGGTGTACAGAAATAAGAATGATAGATTTCATCTATTGTTTAACTTAGCAAGCCCAGAGAAAGAGAAGGTAAGAGCTTACCATGGGTGGTATCCAATGGTTGTACCATAGCAATCACATCCGACCATCTATGGCTTCGTAGCTGCGTATACAAAAGACTCGATGATGAAGGAAGTGCTCATGGGGTGGTACTAGTATCTGCTAGAACTCACCTTCCCCACGCTTCTTGATATCAGACAATACGTTTTGGTCAAGTCATGCGCTGCCAAACTTTCGACTGTATTCTCAATCAATGTGCCTGTGTTTTCATCCGGGCGGTCAGATCCGTCCCTCAGGTTTGTTTGCCGCTGAAGTGCCTCAACCCAGAAGGCCTCAAGTTGATCACGACGCCTGTCAGCCAAGGATTGCTCATCCTCATCTGCCCGGAGCTCCTTGCAGAATGCATCGTGGAATGGCCGTGGTTCGCACTCCCACTTGAGTAGTTTTAGACAGTCGATGTAGATTCTCGGATCGTTGGTGATGTATGGTTGGGGAACGCCAGGCACGTAGATGATGTACGGCATCGTGTTCTTTGGTTGCAGTGGTAGTTTTCCTACTAGGTTTCGGTAGGTATGTAAGTAGGAAATTTGCACTCTTTTGCCTGCTAGTGAGTGATTGCAGACTAGCGGTGATGGGCTTTCTATAGTGAAAGGGTACGAGCACCTAGGTAGTGATCAGGATTGGTAAGAAGGTTGCAATTTACGTGTTAGCTTTCAGTGAGTATGAGTTTCAAGTAATTCTGTGCAATCACAACGGACAGTAAGTGTGTCTGGTCAGCCTATCGCGCATGGCAGACTGTGACCATGATAAAGGAGTGGGTGCGGTCCAACGACGACAATCTTCAAAACAATTGAGTGAAGTAGATTGTGGAAGATGATAGTCGTGCCAGGTCTAAGTGGAGGTTTGGCGACTATTGAGCTCCATGGTCACTGCCGCAAATAGTTTGGCGCACTGGAGAGTGTAGGACTGGGAGGACAATGACGAGGCTAGCCGTCCGATCATGGTCTTGGCGAATGACTCAATCGCGAACCACCCCTCCAAAATATCCAAAAGTTGACGGAGCACTAACACGTCGCAATCAACCGTCAAGATGAGCACCGAATCGGGAGTCAAGACACAGCCGACCTTTGACATAGTCGCGACATATCGCCGCATCCTCAAAGATGACCCCGAGCTTACTATGCCCGTGGCGGCCATCGAGGCGCTCGTAGAAGCCATTGCACAGAGCTCCGTCTCGACCGTCGCCGAGACACTCGACCTACTCGAACGGCACACAGCTGCCCTGAAGGCTTCAATCGCGAACCCCATCTCCCTTTCCGCCGGCACAGATCTCTTCCAGCGCTATCTGATCACAACGCTTAACCGCCCCGCAAGCCTGAACCTGGGCCCAGACGACGACTTCCGCGCGATACGGAACCACCTACTCTCCAACGGCAAGCTCTTCGTAGACCGTGCAAAACAGAGCAGGGAGAAGATAGCGAGCTTCGGCAAGCACTTTATCCGCGACGGCGGCACAGTGCTCACAAATGGTGGTTCGCGAGTAGTGGGCGCGCTACTGAGAAGGGCAGCCGAGTCAAGCACTCTCCGCTTCAAGGTCATATACGTCCTCCCTTCATCAAGCTCGTCGGACGCGAAAGAGGGCCTTCAGACCGTCGCCGACCTCCGAGACCACAACGTTCCAGTAGCCACGATCCCAGACTCAGCCGTCGCCTACTCCCTCGGCAAAGTCGATATGGTTATTGTGGGAGCCGAAGGTGTCGTAGAGAACGGCGGTATCATTTCGCGCATGGGCACGTATCAGTTGGGCGTACTAGCCAAGAGCAAAGGAAAGCCTTTCTACGTGGTTGCCGAGAGCCACAAGTTTGTCAGGCTATATCCCCTCAGCCAGTTTGATTTGCCCATCGAGCAGAAGGTGCTAGACTTCAAGGTCGCAGAGGAACCCAAGGACGAACAAAAGGCGAAGAGTGACGAAGAGCAACGGAACGTCTTCGACGAAGCCATCGCAGACATGGCTGCCAAGGGGTCAACAGCCGCTCCACTCGACGCTCATGACGCTGTCGACTTCACGGTTTGTTCTGTCCACTCTGCCTGAAGTACGTTTTGCTAACATAAACTAGCCACCTGATCTGATATCTGGTATCATTACTGAGTCTGGCGTCCTCACCCCGTCTGCCGTTTCAGAGGAGTTGATCAAGATATGGTTTTGAGCCCTCCCTGAGCATAGCCTACATCCCACACCAGAGCAACTATTCTACTGCAAGCGCACAATGGGCATATAGTCTTGTGGAAGGTACTCACATCAATCATAGGAACTTCGTAGAAGGCGAATCTGTGACTCCGCAACCTTCACGCGTACGCCGCAACCGGCGCAGCACGTCTCGAGATTGGGACATTCATGTCGCAAGGTATCATGCGCATGAAAAGCTCACCTGAAAACGCTCGAAAATTGGCTATTTTGCCAAAGAAGACTGGAATAAGCGAGTACGATGAAAGACAACGACCAGTTATGACGTGGTATCGCGCTGGCGATGCCGGCATATGATACCCAATAGATTTATGCAATGGCAACATTTCTTGGCCCTCCTACCTCTTCAAGGAGCTGGCCTTATTGTAACGACGCGTCTTTTGTGTGAGAATGATCAACGTGAAGTATACGATTCCATTGACAGCGAGAGCAAACTTTTCGACAATGAATATATTCCCCCGCCTACAAAGCCTCCTGACTCCTTGTCTATCATCCACAGTATACAACTCGCACAAAAGATGCCATACCTGATCCAGCCACCAGCGCACTCCATCGACACGTGCAATCAGCCCCTTACCTATACGCTTGCTGATCCCACCCCTTCCGAGCTCTCTAAAATCAAGGACCTTCAGAACTGGGGCTGGCAAGTCTCTTTGCACTCTCGAGATGATGAAAAGTATCTTGCCGCTACAGAGAGAATGGAGAAAGCGATAAAGAAGAGACGGCGCAGGACCCAGATGGTATACGGCGATATGATGGGCGATGGGCCAAGGCCGACTTTTGAGGAAGTTTGGGAGCAGGAATCGATTAAAAGGTCAACGCGGGGACTATATGAGACGGAGGCAAATGAGATGGATATTAGTGATCAAGCGAGCATAATGTCTCACATGACACGACAGAAAGTTTGGTTGCATTGGGCTGATGAAGAAGCTGAGTGGGAAGCAGAGAAATTCAACGTAAGAAAACCCCAAGAAGAGAGCTTTTGAGAGAGTGGCATAGATATACGACTGATAGGCCCAGACAGGACATTCAAGTCGTCAGTGAGCATTGCTTGCTGCCAACTCACTCCAGATTAGAAGACAATGAAGAAATGAACAAGTACTTGTACCAAAGGTCTGCTTCCAATCCCGTCACAAGAAGGCAAACCAACAGCGCATCCCATTCCGTTGAGGAAAATGAGGCTAATTGGCACATTATTACGTCGCTGTACTCTTCTCAAAGCGCTGAATCTCAACTTACAGGTCGGGAGACCCTACAATCCTCTCCATATTCCACGTTAAAAGCCTCTTCAGAAGAGTCAGACCTCCTCTTAGATCCCTATATGCTTGCCATGGCTACATGTGGACACTGGTGTCCGCCTGCGTTCCTTCAGACCTGGTCGCGTCAAAATCCTCAAACCAAATCTGCTGTACCACACGCCGAACTTTCATCAAGATACCCCAAAAAACCTCAGAAACTCATGAAGAAGATTGCTCGCCGTTACTCAGAACCTAGCTTAAACTACTGGATATCCTTCAGATTTGCCAGGCCTTTCTCCTGGGTGAAAAGAGAGCGAAATGAGAAAGCAGGAGGGAATGCAAATTTGATTACACCGCAGCAGCAACAGACTGAGGGTTCGGGCGATGCCAAGAAGCCTTCGGGTACTATTTCATTACATAGTACGCTTCAATCCTTTCGGCTGTCACGTTCCACCGCTTCGTCTGATAGTTCTCCCAGTACTCTGCAACCAACCACTTCGACTGGCAGCAACCCAAGTCCTGATTCACAACCAAACGCAGTAACTCTCTACCAACCGGAACCCCGCAGTGCCTCACCAGTACCTTCTACTGCCTCGAGCCTCATCTTCCCCGGTCGTGAAATAACACAAGAAGAATACTTTCGGCGCACGAATCGACCGCAAGATAATTTACAGCCTCGTCAACTAACGCCGCCACCAGGACTAGAAGAAGAAAACGACCCCTACGAGTGGCAAGCGTGGAATCTTGGGCGCGCTTGTCAAGAAAGTAAAACTGACCGTATGCTTGGACGACGTAACTTGCGTAGATCAAGTGCTGGGGACGCTAGTAAGGGAAGGACTAAGAATAACTGGTATGATGAATTTTGGAAGAAGATGAAGGAGGAGCAGGTGCAAACGCAAAAGGAGCGGAAGGAAGCCAACAAAAAGAAGAAGAAAGAGTTGGAGAAGTTGGAGAAGCAGGAGAGGATAAACAGGGAGGCGGAGGCGAGGGAGATGCTGAAGAAACAAGGTATGTTTTCTGTGGGGTATTTACCTAGGTATACATGAATACGCCGCTGTTGTTTTGGTATGAGTCGGGAATTCTGGATACCCAGGACGCGTTGTATCCACGTATCTTAGTAGGCCTTAGTTTTAACTCAGAGAGACTGTTTTTTTCTGTTAAACATCTATACGAGCTCTACCACCAACGCTACCGCAAGTCTGAAGGCAGTGCAGAGAACACTCACTAAGCCTGATAGAGTAAGTGCGGTTATCGCCTGGAGGTTACCGTGCCACAATTACGTGTCAGGCAGGTATATGAACCTGACATCTAAAGATATGGTTATTCTACCGATCATTTACTGACACATCGAACTCTCGTTAATAAATAGCTGGTTCGAAATACCATGATTGAATCTCCCAAACACATGCTACGGGACCTGATCAAGACAAAGGACTGGTCGGCAGAGGAAGAAGAAGAGGAAGAGGAAGAGGAGGAGGACAGCGAGAAGGAAGAAGATCAGCCCAGAGATTCCTATCACCCTTGGGGCTATACAATCTACCGTACATGCTACACGCCTGAGTCGCAGTCGCGATGGGAATCTTTAATCGAAGCGATCCTACTTGGAGTCGAAGGAACCATCCCGGGATTGCGCAAGGATGAAACACCGCCTAGATCTCAACTGTTACTCTCTCTTTCGCCTAGATCTTCGCTCCGACGCCTCCTTGTATGATGGTCTTACTATAGATGATCTCCGAAAGGTCTATTGTAATCCCCCCACAAATTGTATACCGTCGCCAAACTTCGGTCGACCGGATCGTGTCTTTCTCGTCGCCGATGCAGAGGTCTTGCTGGATCCTTACTTCTTGCCACAGAAGAATGTAGCGTTGGAAGGTGCTCCAGACCTCGCTACAAGCGATGCTGAGGCTCCGGAAACTGCGCAAAGATGGTGTTATCGACATCATGGTTTCCAGAGATTTCCCGACACCGAGCAACAAAGATTAAGGTACTTCGGCAACACATATAAGGAATGGTCGGAAACCAAGAAGCAATGGCTGAAATGCGTAAAGGTTGATTATGTGTACGCAGAGTACGAGCAACGATCAAGACATGATCGTCTGCCTTTTCTTGGCTGGTTCATGACGACTACGGGTAGTATAGCAGAGCTGTGGGAAACATTGGCTGGGGGAGATATTCTGCGTATTGACTCAAAGGTTGAAGGAGTAACCTGTAAGTAGATCGTGTCCTATATTTTATACTATACGCTAATGCATGGATACAGGGGACGGGTACGGAAGAGGAAGTATTGGACGCTACCGGTTGTGGTGACCCTGATGCTTGTTATGCTACTTGGAAGATCGTTCCTCGCCTATACGCCAGACAACACCAAGATCGAGCTTCTCCACTGAACAAGCCCTCAGTTGCAGTACTGTGCTCCTTCACTTGGCTTGACAATACCCATGTCAATGAAAGCTGAGTAGTTCCAGTAATCGCCTTGGACACCCTCTCCCACTACAGGCACGTTACCAAAAAACTTTGCAGTCCAATAAGCACTTCCTCTTGTGTACTTTGCAAAAGCATACCTAATGTTACGCGTAGCAAGTCAGTGTATATCTCAAACGCAGTTCGTACAGGGATGTTTCTTACAGCCCTGTGTTCAGGTTCTTCCTGCGGTTGGCAAACTTGTTATCTGCCACAGTCTCGATGGACCATTCCCCGACAAATACAGGAAACTTGCCATCTCCTGCCGATGCCTTGGCGTCTGAGCAGATATCTGCGCTCACAGTATCAGAGTCTGTGGGACGCCCAGCGAAATAGTAGTTGTGCACGTCAAAGACCAGATTGGCCGAAGCTGAGAACCTGGGAGACCAGAATGCTTCACCTTTGAAGCTACCCTGCAACATAACGGGTATATTCTTGTTTACGGCCGTTACTTTCGCGACAACCGCGTCAAAATACTTCTGTGTCCACGCAACGCCGTTATCCGTCAAAGCGGCTGGTGTTCCAAATGTTGTGAAGTCGCGGTTGTCCACTGGTTCATTGATTGGCTCAAGAGTGTACGACTGTGGAGTACCGGAGGATTGGATGAAAGCCAATGCAGCATCGACAGCGCGTAGAGAGTAGTCGAAGTTCGTTACATTGTTGAACCATCCAAAGCGGCCTTCGCCTTCGCCGAAGCCCATGCCGTTTACGCCTCCGGGAAGGGAGTGAATGTCAAGGATAATATGCATACCGTGCTTTGCGATCGCATAGGAGGCAATGTTCTTGAAGAACTGAGCTTGGTTGCCACTGTAAAAGTTACTCCCGGGGACTTTGACCCAAGCGGCATACGTTGTTGGAATTCTCAAGATGTTCACGCCAGCAGTAGCTAGCTTGTCGATATCGGTGGGCGTGATGAACGTAGCATAGCGTCGCTCGAGAATAGGACCGCATTTTGATCCTAGTTGGGCACAGCAAGTCCACTCATCAGTTGTGGTGCCACAGTTTTGAGACCACCAATTTGGGTCAATGACAGCTTCTTGGGCGAGCCATCCTCCAAGATTGACACCATTGGCTTTGAACGTTTTCCAGTCAAGGTAGGCAGGTTGCTGACGCGCTGTCGGACTGGCAGTAGCGAAGGGGATGAAGGAGACAAGAGAAGTGGCAATGATGCTGAAGGCAACCATATTTAATGAGGCGATGCTTGAGTTTTGGTGGAGTGTACGGAATCTCCTAGACATTGGATCGCTGGTCTTTATAGCTTACAGACGGGCCTCTTGTCATCTTCTCTGGTCGGGATAGCATCCAGCTTGAAGCCACAAGATCGCAATGAGGAGCATGAAGGGCAACATGTGGAGCCGGTCAACCTAGCTAGATCTAAAGGCCAAGCTGATGATATGAGTAGGTTTGCAAATGTTCAGGACCCCTTCAAGACATGGTCCAGTGAACGGCTGCACAGCTAATAGTACTTCTACCCCAGATTCGACCCCAGACTTGACCCCAGACTTGGCGCAATATAGTAGGTACATCATAGTGGCTTCGGCATCCTGGAAAGTTACCCCGAATCAAGATTTTGAACCTACCGTTGTCCATATAGGGTTCATATTACCCCGAACTACCTGGTACTCCACATCGGGTAGCATGGACGCTAAGTGGCCCACATCCCGATATGAGTGTTGTGCCGTTCGACTAACCACAACCTCTCCAATCGTTTCTTGCTTAATTAACACTCGAAGATACGGTCAGAAATCGACTTAGGGAGTCTGGTACCCGGAAGAATCTCAGATGCTGTCGGGAACGCCACTATGCGCAAGAAAAGCAACGAAACAACTCCATGGCTATGATTGAAGACAGTGTCGTATTATTCTCGCCGTCAGCTCTACATTATCAAGAAGTGAGCAAGATGATGGGTGAAAGTTTGTTCATGATGACGAATGTATGCTTGCGGGCCGTCCGTGCGTTACCGGAGTTTCTCAACCAACCTTCACAACCCGATCCGCTTCATTAACACGATCCAGTGTTGTCTCCATCGTCAATCTGCCTTGAAGATACTGGATGTATCTACACTGATCTCTGTAATTGTATGCACAGCCTAAAGCCGCCGCCGCCTTCCTTGCCAAACCCGGCCGTATCAATTCGCACAGCGAGTTCAAACACCACCATGGTTGCGCAGATCCTTAAGTAGTTGCATGCTGAAATCAACCCGTGCAACAGGATACTCTTTTCGCGACTCTCGATGGTATTTATTACCGAGCTACCATGCCTACACAACCTTCTTAGGCTCGTGGACCTGACATGATCTACCACAAACCGCTCATCAGTACCTGGCCTAGCTTCGGTTTATACCTATAGCAGCTATGGGAAAACAAGCTTCTTCCGCATACGGTACCCCCACAGTCATACAATCCATACCGATGCCATTGACCGGACAGATCGGCAAGAAGATGCACCGCTGCTCACACCAAGACTACAGGGGATCATCGTCACGACGGCCGCGGTGTCATCGATGTCTTACTCAACTCACCATATACTCCAAAATATCGATTCGTGACGTGGCTGTCCCGGATACGGAGAAGGGTTGCTGGAAGGGCCCAAACCCTATAAGCTTGGACTTGCATTAGTACACTCACCAGCCCTCCTTCCGATTATGCCGCTATTACACCTGCAGATACGAGAAAGATACAACAGGCAATGCAGGGTGAGGTGTCTGGTGTGTAACAGAAGATGAGGAGTCTGTAGAAAAGGAAAGAAGGTACATGGACTGGCATAGTGATCATGCCAGCAAGGTCCGCAACAACGTATGAGTTGGGGTATGAGATCGAGCTTACGGCTGGAGAAGATGCCACTCGTGGAGAACACCGTCTATTGGAAAGATGACTGGAATAGTAATCCCTTCAGCTGGACGTACAGGAAAGTGTTGTCGGTCTGTAGCGGAGCTTGGCTAGGTACCTCTGGAGAGTCATCGTAGGCTACAACACCTACTGCTCTGTTTTGGTCATCATGGTACATAGCGATCATGAGACAGGTTGCATGCATAAAAAGAATAACCATTGTGCAAGATACGAAACATCACCCTCTTGTTGCTTTTGTCACGACGTAGTCAATGCATAGTCAGTGCATGCAGCATGCAATCACACCGCATATCGCAATCACAACTCACATTCTCACGCAGCATGGACATGGTCAAGTGATCAAAAGTACCACAAATAATTAGATAGTAGACATTAAGTAACCAAAACTACCGATGATAACCGATTGATTCGTCCCATCTCAAGTACTGAATCGCAAACCCCACACCCCGCCAAGCCAACGCGTGCTTCCCTGCCCAATCCATCTCCGATCGGCACTCCCCCAAGCTTCCTTTGACTCCAACCAAGCCAAAGATCCTCTCCTTGTTTGCAAGTATTCCCCACACGCCAACTCCACGCAATATGAAAGTTTTCTCCGGTGGCATTATGGGGTCCAACGGATCGACTGTCGTCATTTCGGAAGAAAATGTTGTGATTGCAGTGAGGGTATGGGGACGATGATGTCAGTCCTCCGTGTTTTTGACTCGTGGGTATTGATCGAGGCTGCGACTAGGCTGCTTGGCAATGTCCGCTGCTGGTTCCGCCTTGCTTGCCTGCAGACCAGAGCAAGGCTTGCCGTCATTGTATCGTCTCCGTGCGTCGTCTTGGTATGAGCTTATCACTCGTCGGTGTCGTCGACGCTCTCGACGCTCGGTGAAGGGGATGATTCACGAACGTATCTTGACGAGAGCGTTGGGCTGGCAATGGGCTGTTGTGAGATGGAGATCTGGCCCTCGGCTTCGATGTCCTCGATGGGGATCCTGAGCATTTGGCCGCCAACCAGGTTGGGGACGTAGACGAATTGAGTAGCGGGTGAAGACATTTTTGTTGATAGGATAGGTTGTGTTTGAGATTGGTATGATAGTGGTAGTAGTAGTGTAGACTGATGATGAGGTAGTTAAAGTCTGATACAGGAAATCTGCGATGTTGGGTCTTCACCTTCATGTGGGGATACGGCTCAGCTATATACTGTGCCAGAATCCCACGGCTCACCTGAGAATGCCATTGCTCATGCGGCATCCCAAACCCCAGCTCCACGCATGCATCCACCAGACTACCAACCCAAAACCCTATCCCCGACAATCCAAGCATCGCATGCTCCACCCGTCACTCCCGCAGCCAATTATAGCACGCTACCAAACAAGGGTGCCTTAACGCCAGCTCCGCCGTGTCAGCCCAACGCGCTGATTCGGCCCAGGACCTGCACAACGCGTGGCAAGTCTCCCCGAACAGCTTACTGTGCCGCTTGGTTGTGTCCGACGAGCGGCGATAAGTGGTTCATGCGTGCGTAGACAAGGCAGCCCCGCACCAATTTCCTCTCCGCCAGCCGGCCAAGCAGCGCTTAAACGGTGCGATTTACACGTTAGCCCGGCCAAGTCGCCCTGTCCGCAGGGTCTAGACCATATGTTTGTTATCGTGGTGTAATTCTAGGCGAGGGATGATGCAAGGTGTTGAGTTGGAGGGTGATAAGGAATTATTGCGAGGGAGACTGGGTTTCGGAAGATCGGCGTTTACAGAATCGCGATTATTCACTTTTTAGAGTTTTGACTTTATGTCCGGCCGTTGCCTAAGATCACGTTCGGGGCCATGCATTGTGCCGACCGCGAATATTGGCCGAGTGCTTCTTCGACAGTCACCTGCTGCACTCTACAGACACTGTGCAACTGCGGACGAGCATTTTCGTCCTCCTTGCAGTTCACGATGACGGTTAGAAAACTCTTTGTCACGGCTCGGCTGGGCAATGCTGGGCGCCTAGCTTCCGAGAATGCTGCCGAGAGCTTCTGTACGGTTCTGTATCGTTCTGTTGAACCGTGGCACTCGGCTAGTAAACGAGCAGCTATACGGTTTGCCCCTGGGCTGAAACTACCATCGTTAGACAGAATAGCTCATGGTGACCAGCGTGCACCAACGAACGTGTGTGACGATCAAGTAGAATAGGATTGCACCATACCTAGCTGTACGCGTCGCGACTCCGCAACATCCGCGTGACAGTACGATTGCTTGGTAATCTACTGTTCAGACATTTCTTCAGTGGAGAAGGATTACATGCTGTCGCAGGCAGAACAAGGGCGGGAACTCTTGGATCCAAGCAATTCCGCTCGACGCCAACTGTTCGATACGAGGTCATGTGGCAGGTGCACCAAGCCTAATCAACAACGCCAGGGCGCGCCAACGCACCCCAGATCACGAATGGCCTCGGAAACCCAATGTCGACGGTCCACATGGTCAGCCTCGTACAGACCGTAGCCTATACGCCATCATAAAGCGAACCTTTAAATAGTCAAGCTTACACGAACCAATACCAATGACAGTCGGGTCACTATTCCTATAGAATTGCTCGAAATTGAACAGGGTATCATGCTAGTATTACAACGCTTTCGTAACCTTACGCCTCGCTCGATAAACAACAATCCCTTCAACGCGGGACACTATGGCCTGATCTTGCCAGCTTCAGGGTTGTCCCTGTTGCCCTGCCAACCCCAGGCTAATCTGGACATGGTCTTGTCTTCGTCCTTTCCAGGCCACAAGACCTGTCCGAGGTATACGGCACGAATGCAAAAGACTGCCGTGACGAACCACATGATGACCAGTAGAACGGTCAAAGCGCTCGCAACACCGTTAATAGCTTCACTGTGTAGTACTTTCCCTACTTGTATCGTTGCAAGCGTAAGTCCTGCGTTGGGAAAGATGAACGCCCACCAGTTCAGCGAGAAGGACATTCTACGCATTCCCACTATGACAGCGATGGTTGTTATGATGAAGAACCAGTATGCGAACAATATGATGAAAAGGCCTGCCATAATGCCTATGATGCGTACAATCTCGCCGTCTGGGACTACAGTGTTCGTAAAGTAGTTTGCGGCGATAAGCGACGGTGCTTGGTTCGCGAGGGAGATGAGACCAGCGGCGGTGTAACCTATCGTTGTCAATACCTCTGTGATAAGAAAAGATGCAGAGTATGGACTTACCAGCTGGACCAACAGATACGTACATCCCAGGTCGGGTAGTGGGAGACGGCAAAGAACTGGTCATCAGGCGCTGCATGTATAGCGCATACAGCAGGAAAGAAACAACCCATGCGAGTCCTTGAAAATGTATAGCTCCGACGAATATCTTCCAACTGGGCGTCTCAGGTTGGGATGGAAGTATAGTACCAGCCAGGGTGCCCACGACAAGCAAAGGGTATATTGGGAAAATCCAAGCAGGCACAGCGTCGCCAACGTTGAGGCGTTCGAGACGGAAGAAGAGCGAATACTGGATGACACCGACGAGGAAAGCAGCGGCGCAGTACATCCAGTACAAAATTTCGAGAGTTTTCGTGAGCCATGCCCCAGTCGACGTGTTGCCATAAATGTAAATGCAGTTGAGTATGAGGGCGACTGACACCCAGTACGTGCCGAAGAACAGACCCTCAACTGGGTGGTGTAACGATCCGAGTAGCTTGCGAGGGACAAGGAGGAACCGCGCGAACATGCAGATGTTGAATATGATGAAGAGTACGAGGTCGAAGATGAAGACCACCTTGCCGATGGTTTCCAGGCCGGTAAACCTGTTTGGGGTGTTCCCAAGGACTACAGCCAATGATCCTGTTGACATCGTACATGCGAACCATGGCCTGTGGTATCGTGAGCTCGTTATTCGAATGTCCTCGGCGCGTGTACGTACCATGTGAAATGCACGATGCGATCGCGCAACCCAACTTCTTGCGGTGGCTTCTCCTCATCTTTCTCGTACGTGGTATTAGTTCTGTCGCGGAATCGCATTTTGGTGATAAGTATGAAGCACGCGACCAGGTGTTGAGCAGCCCTGAGCCATGCTTAGGTAGTATTTACAGGTTCCCAGCCATGACACCTTCTTCTCAAGCATCCCGGAAAGAGTGCCGGACGCGTTTCGTCATACGGGCCCATAGCGTGCTTGTTCTAGAGTTAGTGGCGATCTTGGTGTCTACGCGCCAAATGAGAGGAACGACGGGCAGCCCCGTAGTTGAGTCTCGGAAATCGGCACGCAAGCGTCTAGCAAAAAATGTGAGGATTAAGGCTTGGCGCACTGACAGCTGTGACGTCAGAGGCCGTATGACCGACCGTAAGGCATCGAGCTGAACACATGCACCTCAGAAGGGGAAGAATTCAACAATCTTGGATGGTGGTTGATGTGTAACCATCTGATTCTTCGCTGTTAGTGGGTGTGTGTAGGCCAGCTGTTACCCGCTTCACTGAGAATACAAGTAAGCACAGGTAGGCACCCCCGCCCCATGCAAGGGAAGACTTTACACTCTTAGCGACCTCTGTCTTTCGACTCACAGCATTACAACAGCGCCATGTATTTAGGTTCACCGTATACCAGGATACGTTTTCTCTATTCTCAGTGCTTCCTTTAATCTCTCCATTCTTCATCCTATCTCCCTGTATTGTGGGAAAATTTAGCATGATGGCAGATGTGCTATCGCTATACCCTGTTGAAGTGGAGAACCAAATATCTTATTGGCGAGACGTAGATGTCACCCATGCTGCAGATGCAGCGTGACACGAAACGCACCTGGAGCGGCGCGGCACAGTTGCCAGTTTGTCTCAATCTCAACCACTCTGTGCACATATCTCCATGACCAGTTCCTGTCATGAAAATTGCAGGTGGTTGCTCGTGTTACCATGGAACCTCCAAAACTGCCACCGCTTGCCAGGCCTGTTCCATGGACCTATGATCCCACCTTCGTACCAGTCAGCGCCAGAGAGCGAGAGTCCTTCGATTTGACTGCCGAGACCACATTCAATGTTCTGTGCCAGTGGTGTGAGAACTTACTTCGCAAAAGTCCTAAGCTACCAGAGATTCCGCTCTTCACAGAGGACAGTTCCACTATCCCTATTGAAGGACAGATCGAGATCGACGAGAGTCTTCTGCGCGACTCCGCTTTGGGTGGTTGTTATCTATGTACTCTGGTCTTGAGAGAAACACAGCGCTCTTATGGAGCGACAGAGAAAACACCTCCTTTTCGGAGCGTCGCTCCATATGTTGTGTGGTCAAGGTTAGTAGCCCCAGTGGATCAAGGTATTGCTGGGGACATGGACGAGGGGTTTGAAGACGATTACACCTATGGTTCAACTCATGGGGTCACATTGGCCACTCGTCATGAGGGTGGGAACTTTTACTCCACGTTCTTGATACAACACCCGCGCACTTCTGAGCCTCCATCTGCCTTTTGTCGAAGCATCTATACGGGTTCGGATGAATGTCTGGAACGCTGCAGAGTATGGCTACAAGACTGTTTGGAATCTCATTCAGAATGCCATCATAGCTTACCGTCTAAAGTCCCGACGCGTCTGATTGAGATCATGAACCCTCGCGAGATCAGACTCGTAGAACCGACGAATAAGGTGCATTATTTTGTATTGAGCTATTGCTGGGGTGGTTCAGACGTCTTAAAGTCCACAACCGAATCTCTTGCGGCATTCAAATCCTCGATACCATTCGATCAATTAGCACTCACAATCCAAGATGCTATCGGAGTAGCCTATAGGCTTGGATCCCGTTTCCTGTGGGTGGATAGCCTCTGCATATTACAAGACGATGCTCAAGATTGGCAACGAGAAGCGAAAGGCATGTGCGACGTCTATCGCAACGCCACACTGACCATTGCAGCACTGGGGGCAGCACGCGCTACAGACGGATTGTTTGCGCGGCGTGATCCGTTGATCTTCCAAGGATGTCAGTTTTACCGAACATGGAATCAGAGTCCCGACCGTAGTCACCATTCCCCAAGTGTCGTAAATCAGTATGCTTGTTTCAGCAGCAGCACCTTGAATTCGCGCGGTTGGACCTTCCAAGAGCGGGCTCTGTCACGACGTACCTTGTATTTTGGATCCAGTATATTTTGGGAGTGTAATTCCAAATTTGAGACAGAAGGTAAATTGAACTACGGAGGCTTAGAAGCTCACTTCAAGGCCCTTGTATTCCCGGTGGTAAAGGGGAGCCCAGTGTTGCAACAACCTCATCAAGACGATACGCTTGACACGACAGCATCAAAGACACTTCAAGCTTGGCCGGCTCTGAAAAAATGGGACAAGATACTCATCGATTACACACTTCGGAATCTTACCTACCCCAGCGACAGGCTCCCAGCAATAGCAGGCCTTATCGCTCACTATTCACAACTTATGAATTGGACGAATAACTGGGGACTGTGGAAAGACCATTTGACTATCGAGTTACTGTGGAAAGTCTTCTCCAACACGCGTGGTCCACATCGCAATACAGCATGGCCGACCTGGTCGTGGATTAGCATACAAAGCCAGGTATCACTAGGTGGTAGATTCGAGGGCTTCCTTGCCGAAGCCCGTTTTGATGAACTTGATGACTCCGCTGTCATCCTCCATGGTGTTCCATTCGAAATATCAGAGCTCGACCCACAGACCTACAATTCATTGGAGGCAGACACGCGGAAAAGGAAGAAAGGTCTGAGCAGCATTGAATGGGATACCACTGATACAAATCTCGCCGGCCGTCCCTTCGGCGTGCCTTTGACGTGGGCATACCTTCGAGAACATTCTCAGCCAAATAGTGACAGAGTCATTCTGAACGGCCTTTGCTTGGTTGCGGATGGTTCCACAGGTTCATATCGACGTTGTGGAAGCATCTTTTTCGACACAAACAAGACCACTGCTCGCCAATACGACATCCGCTTTCAATCAAAACAGGTATTTCGCATCGTCTAAATCAGACATATGAACAACAACCTGTATTGGAACTATGGTTGCATTAATCACATCTGTCTGGCGACTTTCCCTGCCTCAGCTTGCATGAAGCAAGGTCTCTCTTTCCCTGCATGGCAACGATCCCTTGCCCCAAGCTTACCGAGGAAAAAATCAAAACGCAGGGCCACCCACGATGCTCGCCACCGACTCGCGCTCGGCAAAGCGGGACGGGCAACGGTTCCTACTAGACTCTCGATTCCGAAGCCATGGTAGAACCGGAAGCCTGAAAAGCTTAGCATCCTATTCTTTTGATGATTCTATATGCGAACTTGCGGCATAGCCCCTCATTCTAACCTGCAATGCTAAGCAATTCTCACATATGCAACAACTGTAGTGACTGAAAAGTTTCAAGCATATATTTGCTTCCTAGAGATTTGAAATCTAGATACCGGGTACAATATGTACTTCTTTGACGCAATGTAAAACCGTGTATATACACTCCTAGGCGCCGTCATCGCGCCTGTCCTATCCTGTTCCAAACAAAAAAGAAGACGTAAGTGAGAAATTCTCCTGTGTCGCATGTCATTAATGGTTCCCAATCCTGACCTACAAATCCAATTCCGAATGAAGCAATGAGGCGGAAAAATCCTGACCATGAGTGATGCGGATGAAAAGCCTTCTATCGCAGAAAGAACGCCGTCATAATGCATATGCAATTCCATGATGCTTGTGTTGTTTGACAAAGGAAAATGTGTTTCGCTACACCTGCCATTACGCGGTGATAAACGCCGCCATCATAGCCAACACACCACTCAAGATGGCATAGTTGGCACCACCGATCGGGGTCGAAGCGGCATTACTCTTCTTCGACTGTGTGCCGTCTGGCTTGAGGACGGCGGTAGTGCCTAGTTGGAAGCCAATGTTGGCTACCACAGCTTGGCTGTCCCGGACAGGGACAGAGATTCTACCGTTGCCATCGGCTGTTGTAGTTGTGACTGTGTTCTCAGCAACGGATGACGCGCCAGTGGTGTCGTCGTAGCTCATGCCGTTCCATGTGACGCCTGTCTGTGAGTCTGCGCCGGGAGCTGTAAGGTAAGAGACGTATACTTCTTTATTGGCGTTTGCAGAGCCGAGGTTGAGGTTGAAGGTGAAGCTGCCCTTGTCCGATGAAGAGGCATTCACTTGCTTTGCGTTGATCATGGTGACAGCTTGAAGCTTGTCGTTTGCGTACGCTGCGTATGCACGGATGCGGCCGTCGTACGCGGCACCTACGTTGCTTGTAGAAAGAGCAGCAATCTGTGTGGTTCCGTTGCCGTTGCCAACAATCTGCGCGACGGCAGCATGGGCATAGTACTGTGGTCGTACGAATGTGTTCTGACGGCCATAGATAGGGATAGGTGCCCAGGCACTGGCATTGGAGTTATCGGTCATGTGCATCTGGACCGAGGAGATGCCGATGGATGCTGCATAGAGGAAGAAGTTGAGGGTCCAGAGAGAAGCACCAAAAGCGTCACTCACACCGGGCATGCCTATGGGACCAACGGAGCTCATCTCACGCAAGACGTAGGGGTGCTTTGTGTTGAGGGCAATTCCGACCTGCTTCTCCCAGTATTTGAATTGTGTGTTAGTAGCATCGAGATCCATGAGATCGTCGAGGGTGAGGGGTGTTGGGGTAACTCCGATGACTACTTGATGTTAGTACAGCACAGAGAGCGGACTCGTCGAGATATAGCATACAGTAGAAGTAGTCGTGCTGGTTCCAGGTGGCCAGGAAGTTATCACCGTTCCTGCCCTCCATAATGCCATCGTCCACGAGCTGCGCAATCTCAAACGTGGTTCCGATGGTGGAGGCGGTCGCAGGAGACTCGAAGAAGGAAGACGGTAGGCCAGCAGCCTTGAGCACGCGCTCGTAGACGACCTCGCAGCGGTCTAACCATTGGCTTGTGTATGTCTGTCCATCCCAAGGCGCAGAGCGGAAAGAGTTCTGTAGCCACAAATCGGGCTCGTTGCCAACCTCAAACGAGTATAGTTTGACGTTGTTCATGCCATCGACGGCGGCCTGGGCCAATGCAGCAATCTTGTCTTGGTAGTCGTCGTCCATGTATGCCATGTTCAGTCCGAAAGTCACGGGAGTGTCCTTGGGGAAGCGGTCGAGCGCTTTGAAGTAGTTGGGTCCAATGATCATAGAATCAGCGGCAATGGCGCCCTGTGCCGTCGAGTCTTCGTTTGAAATCCAGGCATATTTTTCGTTGCTCGACTCAAACACCATGTAGTCCTGCGTGTTTCCTCCTAACCGGATATGCGGCGGCGCGCCCGAGTAATCTGCGAGATTCTGTAGCAGCTTGACGGAGAATTGGTTCGTTTCCTCCTTGCCAGTAAAGGAAAAGAGGTTCGAGGGCTCAATGCCGAAGCCAGCATACGAGGGGTCGAGGTAGTCGGAGGCGCCATCGGGCGGGCTGTTCCCTAGCGATATGGAGATGGACTGGGCGAGGGCAAGGCGCACGGCGGGTAACGACAGTATGGCTAGACTGCTGGCGGACAACGAGGGGAACATGGCTGCTGATAGGAGCCGTCCGGATGCAAGCGAGTGCAGACAGTCGAAGAAGAAAACAAGAACAGCGGAAAGTAAAGTCAAGACTAGCAATCAGTAAAAGCGAGCGCAGGGGAGGTTATCACAGGAAACGGAGAGCGAGGAACATGCAGCCAGGGTCGATGATGAATGGACGCTTGCAGGACGACCGGGGTTAAAGGAAGTGTCAACACTTTCAGACATGCGTCACTAAATGGGCCAAAAGTGGCGCCGGTCCGGGCGATGCCAGAGACGACGCGCCAGACTCAACAGCACATGACATCACGAGCCGCCATGCTTCCGGACGCTGCGACACCAAGCAAACCGGTCTGAGACGCGCGACCTCTGACAGCAGGTGGGCCGCTGAATATCACATCCCACACTGCTGCCCTCACCCATCCAGCAGCGTTGCGCGTTGCACTGGAAAAAAGAGGATAAACGCGTCAGCTACTGCCGACAACACTCCGTGTTCCAATTATGGTGGCTGCCTCAGATCTGCACCCACGCCAATCTGAGCGGCTACCGAACCCTTAGCCACAATGATCCGCGGCAGGAGGCTCAATAAGCCTTGTTTCGCCATGGCCCCGAATCCGCATCATCGTCCGTTCCTCGATCCTGTGCCGTCTTACCCTCGCACCAGGCCTCGTCATGGGCCCTTGAGCGCCGTGGATCTTCGCGGCTCCCTGACCACCGTGGAGCGCGCGGTACGCCTCCTACGCACTGAGGGCCCTGACGCACAGCGTCTGGATAATCGCAATTCAATATTCTCTCCCGCGCGCCCGTCCTGCCTACACTACCCAACCCCTGCTCCCGTTCGCTGCGTCCACATTGGCCCGTTGACAAGACCGCATGCAGGCTACTGGGAGCTTGATTTATTGCCCAGCCTCTTCCAGCTCTCCACCCCAGCCCCTTCGTAACAGCCGTAGCTGCTTTCACTCCCGCCTACCTTTTGATGATGCAAAGGGGAAAACTTTCTTGACAGCACGTTTGCTAGCCTCAAAGTTTGACGTGACTAGCAGCGCCTGCCATCATCTAGCTTTCTGCACCTATAATAGCACCAGGTCTCGAACACGACCACCGGGCATTCTCGTCCGCCCTTGTCCACGATGCCTTGGCTGCCGTCTGATGCCGAAACCCTGACTTCAAACAAGAGCTGAAGAACCCGAGTGCATACTCGGTGTACATCTTGCAGGAGGCAAAACGGATGTCGCGGCCTTTGTAAAGGTAAGCTTACACCATTACGGTACATGTACAACACATGATGCTCAGAGAGGCGTCGCTTGCAAAGACACGGCCAAAACTCCCCGTGTTGGGCACTATCTGATCCGCCATTTGCCTACTACTAAAATACAGCTCTTACTACCGCATGACTATGATGCGCATCTGATGCAGCAAAATCGAGCTACGTCCATCTGATAAAGAAACTTGCTTGTAGAGAATTTTGTCGAACATGTCAATGCCGTAGTTCCGACATGGCATTGATTGTATGACGTATAGCTTGGTGGAGAGCACCGACAGAGGAAAGTATATCGTGGGCCAATCCAATGCAGGAAAAGCATGCTATACAGATGTCGTATTGCTCCTTGTCCGCGGATGGGTATACGTTTTTGCTTATTGTGATCTGCTGTAGAACCAGCCCGTAATTCTCTAATGAGGGTAGTATCATTACGAGCGACACTTTTCCCGAATTCGATCTTACAGCGCGGCAGTGTTCAGCTCTGGACGCACACCTTCTCACCCCACTCACAGCTTCTACTTCTTACAACTTGCCCATCATCAAGTTTCCAATCATCTCCCGTCCAGTGACCACAGTGGTCCTCCAGAGTGTCGGGAAGTCCAATGTACTTGAGAACGCTACGATTCTGTTAGCCATGTACTATCCAAGTACTGTCTTCATCTCCAGAACATAACAGGATAGAAAGACGGTAAAAGAGTCATCAAACTTACTGTCGGCGTACCCAAACCCAAGCATAGGCGGAATCCATCCCCTCGCATACTCCAACGCAAAGCACCCGCTGTCCATCTTATACTGCTTAACGTCGCCCCTAGTAAGATGATGCACACTTCCTTGAGGGTACACCTCGGCCTCGTAAATGCCCTTTCCAGGTCGGTAAGCCAGCTGCTCGCCCTTCAAGATGTGAAAGTAGTCATCCGCCGTATGCCGACCCGTATGACCCTCGGTTCCAATCGCCGTTCCAAAGACAATCAGATACTCAGTAATAGACGCGTGGATAATGTACATGGCGCCCATGGCACCACCCGCATTGTTGAAGATCCATTCTTCGTCCAGGTTGATGTGGGGACCGTGGGTTGCAGAGAGGGTAGATACAATGTGGGACACGACAGAAGCCGTGTCGTTTCCGTGGAGGGAAATGGCTTCCTGACTGAGACTGTGAAGTTCAGAAGGAGTGAAGATGTAGAACTTCTCAAGGTGCGAGTCCAGGCTGTACATGAGTGTTGTTAGGACGCCGAGGATGGCGCCGAGCGCGAGGAGAATACGCATCTTGGCTTGGTGCTGCCTCCGGTAAGGAATGTATAAGGTGAGAAAGAAGCCGACCGGATTCGACTATAAACTCTTTGCGAAGGAGTGTAATGTTTGTTTTTTGTTTCCGTTGCGCTGCACTTTATGAGGATCGTGAGGATTTTCTTCATTATCAGAACGCACGTGCCAGCCGGAATAGGAGAAGTCCGGGACCCCGGATCGTCAGCTCATGTGGAAGATGGCCTGTTGTCTGCTATGAGGATACCCGTGTTCCGGGTGGAAAGGAGCGATCTTGGCCCATCTAACAAACGGTGGTTATACTGTGCAGTCAGTTGCGTATGTTAGTCATCTCCTTTGCAGACAGGAAGAAAAAAGTGAAGATAAATGGGTATAGATTTTACAAATCAAAGCTGCCTACAACATTGAGAGTATTACCTCCTCTTCCATCTCCACCATTACTCTTGGGTGAATATTTGAAAAATGCGATATATGTTATCCCCGAGTCAGAATCTTTTCCCGTCCCTGACAACGCCATAAACCATGCAGAACGTCGTAAAAATCATGCTAGACGCGATTACACACGAACAATATGTCCAAACACCATATGCACATTAAAAAATGTTGTCCCTGTAGATATCACCAGCCTCCGATGAAGGTAATGAAGCCATCCACCATGTTAATCCAATCCTGGCCGTTCAGTGTTCCCGCTTTTCTCTTCGCCCAGAGCACCTCCACCATCTTGCCCAGGTGAGCTCTTGCTTGCTCACCTGCCTCTCTCGTGCCGTCATTCCGCACCAGCTGCACCCTGCCACCAGCGAACTTTTCACTAAGATCGATCTTGAAACTGGCGTCACCGTCCGGTGGGCAGTACAGTTCCTCTCGTGTCGTCGCTGGCCCAATAACGCCCGGAGCAAGCTGCACAAGGTGTCCATGGATCAACACACTCTGTGTATGATTCCTCCTGGGCTTGAACAGCGAGCCGCGTACCGAGAAGCTGACCAGTCTTAGCAGTCCTGCGCCGTCCCCCAGGCGGATGATCCAGTCTTGAAAGGCCTCGTACATCATCTTGAACTCGACTTTGATGACCCACAGGTTATAGCTGTAGAAGATGGCGAGAGCTTCGGAGCGGACGAGGCGGGATACTGAAGCGAGTGCGTGCTGCATCTGGCCGTCAAAGGTAGAGATGCAGTATACGAGGGGTTTATCAATGACGAGGTTCTCACAATTGCGGTAGATCTGATGGCGGATCTCTGGTGGCAGTGTAACGAAGGTGGGTGGGGCGGACGTCATGGTCATGTCATTGGTAGGGAGTGTATCGATATCATGGACTGATGTGGCCTGGATATCTTCCATATGAATAATCTCTGCCTTTTCTTGGTGCAGGGCAATGTGTGCGGCCCAATCCTTCTGCACGTCGTTGGACCCATCGAGCTGGATGCGGTCGAGGCTGTGGTTTCTAGAATGGGACGGGGAAAGCGCGTAGTCGTCCATGTGCTCATCGTCGTCGGGTCTTTCCTCTGCATACAGCTGCAGACCTTCCAAACGCGTGGCATCGGGCAGAGTCGATACGCCGTACTGTTGCGAGTGCTCGGGAGTTGACGGAAACGAAGTGGCCTGGCTCTCGAAGCCGTGGCAGTCGCTGTGCTCGCTCCCATCTCCCAGCAAGTCGGCGTCGTCCGAGTCCGTGTCTGTATCGGAGCCTATGTCTATATCCACGTTGAGTCTGTATCTCGGGATCTTGGGCGGCAGCTGGTGCGTGGGCGAGCTGGGCGAAGGTAGCTGGGTGGCAGATCGTTTGCTCGAAGTGCGTACAATGGTACCCTTTTGGGACATGTTCCGTCCTCTCCGCTGGCTGGCGGCGCTATCCTCGCTGCTCGTACTCAGCTCGGGCGCGCCGTCACAGTAGCCGCACGGCGTTGTTTGCACACTAGTATCAAGAGGTTGGAGTTTTGGAGAGCGCGCTTTCATGGCTTCAGCATCGTCCGGGGGCGTCTGGCCCGTGACCGAGTATCTGCGCTGGGTGACCATTGTGAGTAGGGTTGAGGTGAGGCAGCGAGGGTGCGGAGTCAAGACTGGGAGAGCGAGAGGGAGAGGGCGCGTGGTGTGGTGTTACGTGGAGTCGGTCGAGTGGCAGGCTCCAGCAAAAAACCTTTCTTCTGCGCAGATGTGCTGGCAGGCTGCACGATGACCTTTTGCAGGCCCTCGACGCGCGCAATGGGTGAGGCTTGCGGGGTGCGTTAGGTAGCGCTGCGGATGCGGCCGAGTGGACTGAGAAGCGGATTCGCGAGTGGGGAGACACCACTTTTTTATCGATTACGCCGCCGGGAAAGATGAAGCTAGAGAACGATCACTGAAAACACTCGCGCAGACAGTCACGCAGCCTCGACGGTGTGGGCGAAGGGGTAGAGGTATACACTCGGCACAAACGGATCAGGAGGGAGATGAAGGGCGTAGCATGTTTGGCAACTGGGCAACAATGCCGCGTTTCATGACACCGCAATTTGTCGTCAATGTTGCACTGCCCACCCAGCGATTATCATGCTCCACCGCCAATTTCTCGTGTAACCAATCTTCGCATCTTCAATCTTCCATAATCGGCATGCCTCTCGAACCCATGGATGCATGCTTGGCTTATCGATGTATTGCGATCCGCGGCGCATAACGTAACGTCAGCACTTCGTCTCTTGACGGCCTTTTTGGGGAGCCTCTCGTATGGCAGGTGAAACGTGTTTTGCTTATCGTGTGCTCGGTCATCTGTTAGGACCTGATCCCAACTACAAAGTCGGGTCCACGAGGGTTGGGAGCTCAACAGTCGTCCAAATCTTCATCAGCAATTCGTCACGACCTGTTCACGCGATAGCCAAGGACATCAAGTTGCAACAATCACCGCCGCTGACTTCGGCGTTATGCGATAATCTATCTAGGTGAAGTTGAACGAATGTAGCTAACAAACATAGACTCGCGCCTGTCTCTAACGATCCTGTTGAAGGATATTGCAATCGCCCATCACACGAAGCTCGTGTTCTTCGGAGACACACGCATGTTGAAATGGTGCTCTTCCTATCAGCATTCTATCATCCTTCTACGCACCACCCTTCTTCTCCATTCCAACAGGCTCTCGAACCATAATGTCCAACGGGATGTTCCTACCACCCCTCTGCAGATTGATCCTTCTCGTCTCCTCGAAGCCAAACTTTCTGTAGATCGGAGGGTTCGTCTCATTGCTCGACTCCAGGTAGCACGGTCTTCCCTCGCGGTCTGCAAGCTTCGTTACATGTTCAATAAGCTTGCGAGCATGACCTTTACCACGGCCACTGGGCTTGGTACCTAGGTAAACAAGGTACCAGGCGTCATGCTCTCGCTCACCAAGCGCGCTATGCATAGTGTCGTGGAGGAGGGGCAGGAATTCGTCGAAGAAACGGCGTTTGCCTTCAGAGGAAAGGCGGTAGTTGAGACGCCACATGCCAGAGCGGAAAATCGTCAGGTAGTCGTCCATGTTCTGGCCGGGCGGCATCCTACGTGCGTGAGCTCCAAACCATACCAGCTTCACAGCATCGATAACTTACCACAGTGCGACTGCTTCGAAGTCGCCTACCGTAGTCACTAGTCCCTTGAGAATGTGAGCATACGTTATGTACTCAAGTATTTCGACATGCAATGCCCATTTCTGCTCTTCGGTCCAGTGCTCACGATCAGGCACGTCAATGAAGTACCTGGCAACATCGTCCTGGCCAAAGGCTTGCGCCAGACACTCAGCCGCCTGCTTGTACTCCGCAGCCGTAACGACGCGGACGCCGTCGGTGAGCGGAGGCAGAACAGTAGCGCCAGCACCATTTGTCTTTTGCTTCAGGATTCTGAAGCTAGCAGGTACCTCATTGACCCTAATGTTAGCAGACTTCAAGGTTGATGACTTGGTGTCCACTGTGTAATTACAGCTGACTGGCGTAACGGGAGAGAATGTTTTCGCCATGATTGCAGTTTTGACCGCAAGCTTCTACTAGTATTTAAGTGGGATCTGCCGCTTCGTTTGGTTATAGGGACAGTCGTGGAATTCGCCAGCGTGAGGTGTTCCCCGCAGGGCTTTGAACAGGATTCGGCGAAGGGGTGAGAGGTTAGTCACTTGAACCGCGGTATATCTAGATGAGCACCTGGAGTTCAAACAACACGACTAGATTGTGATTAGTCTGGTTGTGGCAATGGGTCGTCGTGGGCTGAGCAGGAGCCGTGACCGTCGATTGCCTGCCATGTAGTATACCTTTTCTGACTTCGCTTGGTGTTTACGTTTTAGCCGGACGATTAAGATCTCCCGTGTGAACTCTGGAGAGCTGCGATCTCGAGACGGTATCGACTCGAGATGGGTAGCGTAATGAAGTGAAGGCTTGACGTAGATCTACCGACATCAATGTAAGAGGCTAGATGAGCTCCCTCTTGATTTCAGGCTCGACAGACGTAGTGTGTCAGTCCGATGAGGTAGTTTTGCGTCGATAATATGCGCCTTGGGTGAACGATGTGCCAACCTTTATGTGTGTGTGGACGGTGCCAGTTGATGTATGGCTGCTTAGAGTTTGGACTTTGCTTTTTGACTCGCTGGCAGCTTTGTCACAAGACCAGTGGCAGCACTGCAGTACGATGCTTGGCTGATGTCGAGCAGCAGCGGGCGTCTTATGAAGGATCGCGAACGGAGGTCGGCTGCAGCGGGTTGCGTATGGCGTGGGGGTGCAGTGGCTAGTGACGTGAGGTGAGTGTAAGCTGACGGTCGGCACCCTGCGCCAGATGTAAGGCTTGTGTGTCTTTGTGGTGGAGTCAGAGATGGGAAGTCGGGAGTTTGATATACCTCCATCCACCCTGTACGATCGGCGCACCAAGCGCCGCCAGGTGGAGGTAAAGGTCATGCTTCACGGATGTAGCTCAACACGGGAGCTATCTTCGGACCAACCACTTAGGCTGTTACACATGCGAGTGTCCTTCTCATTCGTCCTGTGACCTTCGACTTGGTGTCGGGCCGAAGCGGCTCAACGTAGACGTTGCCCTGTGGCTTGCTTGCTAATCGTTTGGCGTTATAACTCGCAGCTTGCTTGCGAACTACACTTGGCGATAGAGAGTCAAGGCAGAGAGTACCGGGCTGACATCGGACGCCTGGCGGGAAACTGTGGGGTGGAGAGGAAGGGTTGCGTTGCACACCTCGGTTGTACCTCCTCAGAACAGGTAAGCGCAAAAGTAACACCAGCATTAGGCCTACGCTCTCTGGTAGCTAATGATAAAGCAAACACCCGGAATACTTCCGCTACATGATTGTCTGCGTCTGGCTCGGATGCTACTAATCTATCAGCTGGAGATATGCGGTAGGCGGGGCTAGGCTGGATCAACTGTCACGCAATGTTATTAGAACACAATGATAGGAGAGGAGCGGACCTTGATGCGCGCACGATAAAGCCACGACGACTAGTGTGCGTGGGGAATGATTCAATGGTCAATGACTGGATTAAATGGCAGTTGTGGTATCTAAGGAGGCCGAGCCTGCATGCACGTACCGCCTCACTTTCGGGAATGGGGTAATCTAGGCCAAGGATCTGGAAGCCGGTACGCTCGAATAGCATCCAAGGGATCGATGCACATATTACGGTGCTCTTCATGTCGTTGGGAAAGCTTGTCCATGCTTTTTACATGCGACGAATCTCTGTCTCTCCCATGTACTTCTCCAAACCAGAATCGAGGTGGTCCCACCATTCGAAAAGCATGCTTTCGCAGATGAGCTTGAACCACGGCGTGAACTTGAGCGACTTGTCCTGGAACATGGTCTTGAGGTCCTCCTGGGACACCCATCTTGAATCGCGGGCCTCGTTGGGGTTGACATTCAGGTCCACATCGGCCTTCATGAATAGGATGTAGTCAACTAATGATTCGTAAGTACCCGTCCACGTATCCAAGAGTCAGTAGCACAACTTACTCTCATGCTCGCCCCACTTGCCGTCACTAGGCGACTTGTAGTGTATCCGGGTGAGGAATTTGAAGTCGTCTATGGGCACTTGTTCGGCCTTGATGCCCAGTTCATGGTCCAGCTTGCGCACTGCTGCGCGACGCACGCCCTGGATCGATTCTTGCAGACCAACGCCAGTCTCTCCCGGTATGCCTAGCGGGTGCGAACAGCATGTGTTTGTCCACATATCCGGGAATGTAATCTTCTCGGTCGCGCGCTGCTGAAGAAGGAGACGGTTCTGGGAGTCGAAGAGGAAGACGGAGAATGCACGGTGAAGGAGGCCTCGATCGATGTTCTCCATCAAATGACCTGCAACATGTCAGTACCGGCCAATTGACGAATCGCGCTGTAGCCACTTACAGAGCTTCTTGGTCGCACTGCCGATTGGGATATCGTTGTTGTCCAGCACGATGCACACCTCGTCCATCAGCCGTATCTGCTCCTCGTCGTAGCCCTGGAGCGCATTGTCGCTCGTGGCCGAGTTGTGCGATCCTCCGATGAGGGTGGTGTTTACTTCGGGGAAGAGGCGCAGGACGTTCTCCGCCGTGATCTCAGGGTGCTGAGTGACAGTCTCGATGGTGCTCATGATTGCGAACCGACACGCGTGCAGGCGAGGGGAATTGAGGCGTAGAAAATATGTCCCGAGGATTAGGAGGGGCGGTCGGGGGGTATTGAACAAAGCGAGCACGCGCCCCTGTCCCCCATGCAGGGTTCCGCCTCCGCGGCGGTCTGGGTCAACTGGCAGTTCGCCAGTATGCATGTGGCAATGAGCAACGCACCAGATCACCATAGGAAAAGTTTTTGTTTGCAAGCGCTTTTGTCTTATTGTCTAGTTTTGACCGTTGCTCATCATGCTATACACTTTGCCGAAGCCATTGGGCTTTTCGATCCAGGTATCAATAACTCAGAAACTTTTCCGTAACCGGAAGACATGCGAATATGCTCGAAAAGACAAACCCCTGATAACAGTAAAGAAATCAACCAACTCCAAAAGTCCAGTATATACAAAGCGTCTTGCGCTTAAGCCACAGTGGCAGTCTTGTTCTTCTTGGCAACAGGCACCTCGGCCTGTGCATCGGCGGTAGCATCAAGCTCCCGCTTCTCTGAGACGCCGTTCAGCTCGGCCTCAGCCTGAGCGAACTTCTTCTTCTCTTCCTCGGTCATACCAGGAAGAAGGGGTACCTCCTCCTTAGCGTGAAGGTTGTTGTGGTAGGTACGGATGATCGAGTCGGTGTCGTCAAGAGCAATCTTGCGGATGTCCGCAATAGCCTTGATCTTGGAAGTGCACTCCTTGTACTGCGCGTCGGTCATCTTCAAGCCAAGCTGCTCAGCACGGCTCTTGATCGCGTTCCATCCAGTAAGCCTGCTGGCAAAGTGTACGTATCGGGACATGCCGAAATCTTGAGGGTTGATAATCTCGTATGTCGAAGGGTTGTTGAGAATGGCCTTAGCGTGGATACCAGCCTTGTGGGTGAAAGCACAGAATCCGGTGATGTAGTTCTGCTCAAGTTAGTACATGATCTGCCAAGTCTTGACTGCTGCACAGTAGTAGAACTCGCACTTACGTTGAAGGGAATGTTGACCTCAACAAGATCGGCAACCAGGTCCTCAACCTCCTTGAGAGCCTTGATGTTGTACTTGCTGGTGACATATTCGCGGTCCGCAACGATCATGCGGGCCATGAGACCTCCAAGAGGGGTGATTCCATTACGCTCACCAATACCAAGTACGGAGGTATCGATGTGAGTGGCACCAGCCTCTAGCGCGCAGAAAGCGTTCGCAATGGCGCAACCAGAGTCGTTGTGGAAATGTGTCTCAATGTCGCAAGAAACGACACCACGAAGAGTTCGTACGAGGTCGTATACCTGACGAGGAGATGCGCAACCAACGGTATCAGCGATACCAACACGGTCGACGCCAACCTTGTCGACAGCGCTGTAGATGGACAGAAGGTCGACGAGGTCTGAACGGAACGAGTCCTCAGAGCTGAATCGGATCTCCTTGCCCTTGCTCTTGACGAACTCGATGACCTCGAGCGCTGTGTTCTTGATGTATGTCATGTCCTTGCCGTGGCTGTGCTCGCGGAGGTACGCCGAGGTTCCGATGACGACATCGAGACCATCGACACCAGTCTCGACAGCGATTCGGGCATCGTCCATGTGGCATCGTACGTGAGTAAGGATCTTGGCTTTCAACTGGCACGTTGTCAGATTGCGTCCTCACCGCCAAAACAGGGCGAGAAAAAATTACGTACTCCGAGCTTGCAAAGAGCTTCACAGTCCCTTCTTGACTGCTCAGAGGCAGCAGGGCTGGTAACTTCAATGTCTAGATTTGTGGTCAGCTTCTGAAAGCTTCGCGCCAAGTGCCGCGGAGGGTAGCCGTACAGTCAACACCAAAGTTGTCAAGAGCTTTGGCAATCTTGATCTTGGCCTCGAGATCGAAGTAGGCGTTGGCGAATTGCTCGCCCTCTCTCAGTGTGCTCTCTGCACAGGCAAGTTAGCATTATTTTCAACTGCCAATAGTAAAACTTCAGTCGGCGCGAGTGCGCATCCGATAACGCTCGAGATAGGCGTTATGACGTACCGATAATCTTGAATCGGCCAACATTTGACAAGAAGTCGCCAACGGGCGCGTATGGGCTCTTGTGCGAAGGGTGAGGGTTCTGTCTGGTCTGAACGCCTGTGAAGCCTTCCTTGTTGCCGTTGGCGCCGTTGGTGCCATTGCTATGGCCGTTGGTAGCAGGTGTTTCTTCGGGTTGAGGACACATGTTGGGCAATTGATGTGGATGGGAATGAGGAGGTAGGAGGGATGGTGGATGAAGGGCGGTATTTGAATGCTGGGCAATCAATTCCAAGGTGAGTCAAGAAGGACAAAAATCTGCTGCGAAGAGCGATGATGAAAGCGCAGGGCCGGGATCGGGTCTGTAGCTCTGCGCTAGCCGCCTTCGTTCGCATGTGGGGTTGCCGTTTGGCGGCGGCCAACGAGATGACTCTGCTTTGAGGCACACAAGGCGGAGTAGACTTCGTTTTTCCGCTCTCAATCTGTTTTCTCTCCACAAACCTGGAGAAAGTGCGGCCGAGGCTCCAGACTGGATGCCTATCCTGGGTCAAGCAACGAACATCTGCACGCAGACCATGCCATTGGCGATCCACCTCACCGCCTCGTTACCCAGGCTCGGTGGTGATATTGGCCGCGGACTTGCTGCACGCGATACCAAGACACACTCAACATTTGGCATCTTCCAACATGTGCAGTCACAAATACAAAAAACAAAATACAGCGGTGGGTCGCTACACATGAGTCTGTCTAGAAAATATTTTCATCCCTTACGATAAGCATACACAGCTTTCCGCCAGTAGGTGTCACACAACCCCGCTTTGAGTCAAACAAGTCGTATGTACCAAGAGGCCTGCACCAGAGTGGTAGTCATGAGCGGAACTCTATGCATGGTCTATGTAGCACGGTACGGGTCGTCCCTGGTTTCCAGTCCCGTGGTACGACCTCAGGGTACGTACATACCTATCAGGTAGAAACACTTCAATAGCCGTGCGAGATCAAGAGCCTTATGTCTTAAGCTGTAAGATCAGACGTTCAAGTACCTTTCTGAGCCCTAGCACAAGCTCAAAGCCTAATGTGCTACTCTATTGCTTCCATCCCGCGTAGCTTTGAGATAAGCTGGTTGTTCTCAGGGTCATATGCAGGTACTTCCGTTCGACGTGGTGCATCGGACATAGCAAAGACCCTGATCTATACTTATTCTCCGCCTACATCACGCGTGCTAACCCTAGCGACCTGTGATGGACCCATGACCTGCGTTGTATTTAGGTCATGCACCTTGGTAGCTTTCATGATGATGGTTTTGGAAGACTGCAAGTTACAAGGGAGGTCTGAATATCAAATGCACCGTAAAACGGCAAGACAGAACAGTAATTAAATCAGAACTACATGGTATCACAAGCCCTGCAACCTGGTATCATCAAAAAGATTCCAAACGCCAACGTAAGCTGATTGTACGTGACAACAACGACCCTAGATGCTCTGCTCCATCTCCGTAATATAAAGCTTGATGTGACTCTCCATCTTGAGGTACTCATCATGGGCAGCGTGCACCTCGTTCTCAATGTTGTCCTTGAGTTCAGCCATCTTCTTCTCCGTCTGCTCAATGCGTACTCGCCTCCTCTCCATTTCACGCCCTTTCTCCCCTCGCTCCTCGGTCAGCTTCGCGTGCGTCTCTCGTAGCTCCTCCATCCGCTTACGCGCACGTTCCGCTTCCTCGTCGCCCTTGGTCTTGAGTTTGCTGGTTCGTGCGTTGATGTTGCCTAGCTGCTTCTGTAGGAGGCGCTCTTGTCGTTCCACATCCCGAACGTTGTTGCTTCGATCTGCCAATGCGTCTCGGTGTCTTGATGCCTTTGCCAACTCCTCCTCCTCGCGTGATAGATCGGCTTGTACATCTGTGAGTAGTCGTGTGCACGAAGTAACGTCAGTCGCAACTACAGCGAAGGAGTCGGTAGACGTTTGAAGGGCTCGAGCACGACGGTCCAGCATGTCGATCTGGGTCTTGTCTCCAGTGAGGCGGTCGCTTAGGTCTCGCAGTGATTCTTCCAGCGCTGTCGGGCTCTGTTGTGTGTAAGGCTTCAGTTTTACAACCTCGCGCTGCACATTCTCCTTGTTCTCGACCCTCTGCTGCAAGAGCTTCTTCAGCCTATCTTGCTCGGCTTTAGCACGCTCGAGTTTCTCTGCAACCGCCTCTTGACCCCTCTTCAACTCCAGCAGCCTGCTCTTGAGCTCGTTGTTGCGCTTTTCCTTCTCTTGCATGAGCCTTTGTGTCGCCGCACGGTTGCGCTCAAGCTCGGCCAATTGCATTTCCTTTGCCTGCTTGTCATCGTATAGTTGTTCGATTCGTAGTTTCGTGCGCTCCGCCTTGTTGAAGTGCTCATCTATGATCTCAGTTTGTGACTCTCGGAAGCGGATGAAATTAATCATGTAAGAGAAGATCTTGACTAGGCGACCGTGGGTAGGCTTGTAAAGGTCGTTGAAAGTGAAGTCGTGAATACCGCACTGAGCTCGTTAGTACTGGCAGGAAGGCCCGAATTCAGAGGCACTCACTTCGCGAAGAAGTTTCCTCAGGATGACAAAAAAGGCCATCAGGTCCCTTGTGTCGCTTGTATAGAGCCTCTCCGCGTCGCCACCACACATGTCTTCGGCGGCAGCGCGCATGGCCGGCGCAACAACTTCGCGTGTTGTGTTCATGAGTAGCTCGGCGAGCCATTCGAAGACCTTCTGGATGATTTGGGGATTCGGCTTCTGTAGATCTGAGACGGAAAACTGAATTCCGATGTCCGAGATGCAGCCTGCAATTTCATGGTCGGGCTATATCCGTCAGTAATGCGCAAAGTTGGACGAAATCTACGCCCATACCAGAGTCATAAATGCGTCGTGTTCGTTGACGGGCGGCGCACGTTGGTTGTGCTGAGTCGTTCGCGCCATACTCATGCGCCCGTTGTAAGACATATTGGGTTATTGCGCGATCTCAATCGGATGTGAGTGTCTTAGTCGTGTAGTGTAGGGCTGTTCGCTATCGTGGGGTGGTAATGTTCAGGCGGTGGGCGGTGTTTGTTTACAGGGTCCAACAGTTTGTTGGCACGGAAGGAGCGACCTCGGGTGCCGCCCTTCCGGATACAGTATCGCGTAACAGCGCATCGATCCATAACTCCACCGACAGCTCACACATTCTCCATCAGTTTGTACAAGATAAGCAATGCCCGTAGCCGCTATACGCGTCTTCACTCCTATGGCCGTACGATGCAAAACATCCGCCTTCCCTGCTTTTGGAGATCTAGCCAATAGAAAACGCTGATTATCAAGCCTGATTGGTCTGATGGGAACGATGCCCACACAGCAGATAGGACCGCAAGTGAGCACATCATGGCTCTCTAGTCTTCTTCAATATTCACCAAGTACTCGTTCGTTCTCATGCAAACTGAGCGAGTGCGAAAGAACTGATTTAGGACGAATATCAAAGTTTTTGCGGGCAACCCGACTCTCCATGGACAAGCGCAACACCTATCCGTGTTTGAAACAGAGCTGAGATTCTCTACATCACTCTCATTACTCGAGTCAATGTACGAGGTAACTGCAATATTCGAGATGTAATGGGCGATGGTCAACCATGCTACATAGCAAATATCTTGTGAAGTTTGGATTGACGAGTACACAATATAAGGTTGCCCAGGTCAGATTTAGGCTATGAGCTCGTAGTCTCATTGGAGATTCAAAATCATACACAAGACCTTCCAATGTATATAGACTCGCGCATGTCGGAGTGATGGACACACACATTTGCAATGTTTTGTGTATCGATATATCTCCACGTAGAGCATGAGCGCAGATGTCAAAACCAGAACCAGATAACCATACTCGGGGATACTGGATTCAAAGCCGGGTTGAAGACTGCACTGATGCTGGATACAAGATAGAGGAAACTTTCTCCAGGTAAGCAAAGGGCAAGCAAGTATCAGAATTTGTATCGAAACAACCAGGAAATGAGGCCTCCAGGACGCAAGTCTGGCGAGATGAAGGTTGCCTCCTCAGTCCATGGTGCGCGCACACCAACCACCATATGAGCTTTCTTCAGGCGATGCACTCGTACGGTTTCGAGCTTACTACTACCGTCCTGGCATGTTTTGTTTCGCATGGTTGGCGGGGTAGCTAAATGCCCATTGTTATTTGTGCGTGGAGCCAACCTCTCGCGAGCTACGGAGCTTCCACAGCGTCCATGCAAACGAGTATTGCCTGACTGTCGTAGCTGCTATGTTACGTGCAAGGTTCCGACTGTGGTGAATATGTCTACACGGCTCAGGATCGCAGAAGGTCCAACTCGATTGGCCATGTTCCATCAGGGTCAACTCCACAGGTGGGGCGGAGTCAGATCTCGGTACCGGAGACGTAGCTAATGCGTTTCCTGCATCTACTAAGATCTAAAATCAGAGATATCATCCAAACCTTCCCATCGTGGACGATGGATGCGATGGACCAAAAATTGATGACACCCACCCTACTTTTGAAGTCTGGTAGTGCGTTTCGTGCTCGAACCGCTCGGTTGACTTGTAAGAACGTCAAGTAGGTAAGTTTAGCCTCATTGTTAGGCGCCGATCTCTCGATAGTGTTGGATCTGGACACGTGCAAGCGTATGGTTTTAGGCTACGGCACGCTATGCGTTTCCCCAGACAAGGGAAACCTGCATGCTAGACGTAGTTGTGACGTTTTTCGGTCCCTGCAAATATGTTCCAGACGTCCACGGGTGGTGCGAAATACCAACGACACAAGAAGCGGAACCAAGTGCAGGTATTGCAACAGGCTGTACGAAGATACAAACGAGGTAAGACAGGATAAAACACAGCATCGTGCACTTGAAACACGAGCTTGCCACGCCTAGGTGGTTTCACGGCCTGTGAGTCTTGGAAGGACCGTTAGTTTTCAGACGAGAACTCAAAGCATGTGACTAGCCGTTTTTCCCGCCCGACAACGGTGCAGTCCGCAACGATAAGGAATCCCCGCGGAACGAATAGGACAGGTGCATGTTGGAGACACGGGTACCTGAGTGGAGGAGCGCACGACATTGTTGTCGACGCTCTTCTGGCCGGGACAGCTGCAGGAGGATTCGAAATCCCTGGCTAGACAATTGCGCCGTTGGCCTGCAAGACCGACGTGGCTGTCCATGTCCCGCTGAATTTTGGATATTCGATACTTCCCGCAGCACGGTGGCATGCACGCACGGTACCGTCGCGAGGTGTGTTGTCGCTGCAGAGGCCCTGGGCCTGACGAGATATGTTTTTTCCAGGCCATCGTCATTGAAGTGGCTCGTAGCCATGCGACCAGCTGAGAATGTTGGTCGAGAGATTGAGCTGTCCATGTCCTGGCCAGGCTGGGGCGCGTGATTGGCAGCTGGCTTGATGAGCGAAGCCCAGCTCCTGGGTGTGGGTGGCGTTCGGCGTTCGTGTCGAAGAGGCACTAGGCAGCTTTTAACGACAGGGCCTTTGAGCCGAGTTCATCGGCGCCGCCATGTCGAGATCGACCGGACGGCGTGGCAGAGTTTGGTTGTGGCAGACTTGTCGTGGTTCAGTGTTGGGCGGCGCAGGTCACAGACAGCGACGATGCCGTGGTACGGCATGGTGCACCGGGGCAGAAGCAAGGTGAATGTGCTATCGTAAAAGCAGTTACAGTCGCGCGACGGACAGGGCTGGCAAATGCCCGAAACAAAAGAAAGTTATTTTGGTGTGCCTGGTGGTGGGGATCGACATCAGCGAGGGTCGAGCCCACCAAACCAAGCCCTGAAGGCACGCCTGCACTGTGCAAGCCTGTTAGGAGTACGAGCGGATCGTCCCTTACATCACACACAGGCTGTGGCAGGGCATTCACAACCGGCGTCCTCGCTCGTTCCCACCTGCCTTCACATTCACATTCCTCCCCTTCGCCGTCCCTGACCAGACCTGACATCGCATTCACACCCACCCGCTCCAACGTTCGCGCCAAGAGCTACCCGTCGCCCCATCCAGCCCGCCCATCAATATGCAGCCCAACCGACCGTGCAGCCAGACTCCCGTATTCAGATAGCACGCATTATCGCTATCACGCACACACACGCACACGTCACGCCCGCGCCGCCCAACGCGACGGCCGCGACTCAACGCTCAACTGCATTTCTTTTCGACAGTCGCCGCTGCCCTGGCGCCCGCTCTCTCGCAGCTCCATGTGGCTGTTTGGGCGAAGACGCAGAAAGGCCGCTAAGTTCAAAGACGGACCCACTGAGGTTACAGACAGGAAGCGGCCTGTCGCAGAGCAAACCAACACGATTCAGACCAGCAATGGACCGCGACGAGGGCCCAGCCAGCGCCAGCGCCGCAGAAGGGGTAGTTCACGCTCCACTACCGCCTCGATGCGCGACGTTGAAAAGTCGCTTCCCGAGCCCGCCTTTGCGAAAGAGTGGCCCCCGTCGAGCGCCGAAGACATCACCGCCCTGCCCAACCAGCACCGCCTTGCTCACAGCCCGCACCTGCGCCCAATAACGCAGGAACACGCCGGCATCCCCTACAACTTCCACTCCTCGCACTCCCACCAAAGCCTGCCGCCCTCTGCAAAGGACCGTGGCAAGCTCCAGCGACCCCAGTCCATGCGCAGGGATCCGCCTACTGACTCTTCCCTGGTCCGCCGCAAGTCGAGCAAGAGGCGAAAAGAACATGATCACGTCCGCGAGGAGGAGATCCGCGCCATGTCATTCCCCATGCCTCAGAAACGTCCCGCTGCCAACTCTGGAGGCATGCTCCGCCGCGACAGCAAGAAGGTCAAGGGCGCCCTGAACCACCGCTTCGAGCGTCCCACGTCCAACGTATCGCTTCCCCTCGAAAACTCCATCCATTCATCCATGTCGGGCAATTCAGAGAACCGTGCCTTCCGCGTGAGTGCACTCGACATGTTCTCACCACGGCCAACCATCCGCGTCTCCGTCGGCTCCAACCACTACGGCAGTGACCGCATGTCACCAAACACCTACAGCGAAAAGTCCACACGTCGACCCATCAGCAGCAGTGCAGACGAGAAGGCGAGCAGGAGGACGAGCCGCATCGATGACCTCGCCGACGAACTCGATGCCGGTGCCCTACGCGATATTCTAGAACGAGACAAGAGACGGAGAGAAAAGAAGGCCAAGGCTGACCAGGAGCGGTTACGGAGAAGATTAGAACGTCGTGCAGAGAAACAGAATGCCATTGAAGCAAGAGGAACGCCTGCCACTCCCCGCAAGGAGGGTACAGGCATGGTTGGTCTTGGTATTGAGCGAGAGGCGCCTGCTCCCATGGAAGACGTCCGCCCATCTACACCACCTCAGCCGCAGCGGCTGAACATGCCTGTCACGCCTCGTACTAATGACAACACCCAGCTGCCGACACCGCTGGAAAGCCCTACTGAAGAGCCTGTAGTATCTAATGCTCGGGAAATTCGTTACTCAAAAGGCAGTGCTTCCGCACACGTACACACCCGCGGCCCATCCAACGCCTCGATTCTACCCGAGCTCATCTCGGAGAAGCTCGCGAACGATATGCCTGTAGACTCTATTGAGCATGGACCCGATCCCACTCGAAGCGGCTCGCTGCATCCCATTGACACCACCGATACCTTTGCCACTTCAAAGCCGGGCTCTTCTACACGCCGGCGTAGCTCAGAGGGCAGACGCATGGGTGTATTTGCATCACTATTCCGACGAGGGAAGCGCAACTCGCAAGAACAAGCACGACCCACGCCATCCGAGATCTCCTTTTCCAACACTTCGCGCGAGTCCATGTCTCGCCAACCTCTCCCAGCTCATTTGGTTGGAACTGCACCTCCTACTCAACCTATTCAAATTCGGAGACCTTCCAGCGTACCCCGACGGACAATGTCCAAATTCAGAGAGGATCTCCCAGAATTTCCTCTATCACCCCCAGATTCACGCGTGCAGTCACCAGAAGTCCCCTCGACGAGCATCATTGCTGCCCGCCGAAGAAGCCAACATCTTTCAGACCTTCAGGTTGGGTCGCTTCCCGGAGATCGATCTGATTCTCCTGTCAGTCCGGGTGCACCCATCAACGTCATGTCACAATCGCTCGCCTCAGTCGACTCCGAGGGATCTTGGCTCTCTGGCCGACCACCAAAGCGATCGTCAAACAGATCGCAGATGCGCTCCAGTCTGACGTCTTCTGCCCCGCTACGGAACGACGATTTCAATGCGTCCTACGAGGAGTTGGGCATGGCCGATGATGAATACTTCAAGAGATTGACCCCGCTGCCAGACCACAGAGGCCGATCCCCTTATGCAAGCGACGATCGGGGACGCAAGGCTAGCAGCACGCTTATGACGCTAGATGCTGCGGCTGAGTCCGACGAGGAGGTTGCGCCTCCATCCGAAGACCTGCCACCTGCTCAAGAAGGAGAATTCGTCCAGAACAGTGTCGGTCGTCAGCCTACCATTATCCACCGCCGGCCCCGCGTCAAGTCTACTGAAGGTCTCCTCAGCATGTTTCTAGACGACACGGAGGATACATCATCCAAAGTTGCCGATGTTGGGCAAGAGTCACCAGACTCGGGTTCACCAACTTCGCCAACGTCGGAGGAACCAGTGCTGGTACAGCGCGCTAAGAGCGTCGATCTCGGTAAAGGCCATGGTCACGTTCGTCACCTCAGCGCTGGTTCCGCAAGACTTCTAGATATCCAGAAGCGATCGGGTACACCAGTACACGGCCGGTCGCCCAGGATGTCTGAGCAGGAGTAAAACACCCGTTCCTAACGATTGATTTCTTCCAGGAACATGCATGCATGCCAGCCACGCCATTCATTTTGCTTTCCTTTGTATCTTGTCACTCCTTTACATTTCCTTACACGTCTCTCCCCTAACTACAGCCACTCATTCGAATTTCCTTACCTGTTTGTTGCTTTTTTCTGGCTTGGCTGCATGCGTTCCTGGACCAATCGACCGTTCGGACGGACGTGCTCCCTCGGATTACTCCACTGGATTTGGATCATCTTCCAGACTGCATACATAGCGTGGCGTTGGCATTTGTTTCAAAGTTTTTTTTTTCTGCGTGATACCACAAGCTGCCTGGGGCTGCTTCTGTGATACCCTCTTTTCGGGTTGTGTTCTTTTGGGCGTGTAAGGAAATATCTGTAGTATATAGACGGGCTTGAAGCCTGGATTTGGGTCATATGGACTGCCACATTGTATAAGGTTTAGTTAGGGCAGATACCACGAGCATGGCGTCGAGAAGATGCTGCGTTCACCACTCTTTATGAAGAGAGCTTAGTTTAAATCAGCTGTATCAGCTTTGTATATTCTCACATTGGATCTCGAATAAGCCTTTCAGCGTTCTGTGACGTAGTGCGCACGTGTTTGAGCGATTCCACGTGGTGCTGCTAGGGTGCATGCAAGGGGTCGCAGTAACTCTAGAATGCGTCGCACAACACAGAGCAGACTGCTACATGGCTATAGTGTACATGACAGCCAAGTTTGCCCCGTTGTTGTCTTCGTTGGCCGTATCCGGTATTGGAGGCTGTACACAGGAGGCATGTTGCCGTCGCCTTGCCTAACGAAGAAGGCAGACCCTGGTGGGGCAAATCGGGCGGTCGGGCAAGCACGTCATCTATCATGGCAGCCCCTCTGCGGCGCAAGTGTACAGTAATCCGCGCTTTATCATCATAACGCCAGACCTAAGAACCCTTTAGAAACCCTACTCCGTCGACCATCCCAAATACACACAAATCCTTGATATTGTAAGTAACGCCTTCCCTATCTCCGCTCACATTTCCCGGCATCTCTACGAGTCTTCGATTTGCGCAGGGACTCGAACGGCTTTGCCGAAAAATAAGCGCATCAGAATTGTTATCGGCAACGGCGGCCAGTTCAGTCCATCAGCCGAGTTCTTTGAAATCGCCCTTCCCCTGCTGTCTAACCACGCTTCTACATATACTATGTTCGCGCCGTCGTCTTTCAGAGCTACCAGAACACTGCTCACATCTGCGCGCCTGCAAACAGCTATCAACCCCACATCCACCGCAAACCTCTACCGACCACTCTTCACCCAGAAGTTCTTTCACAACACCGCCAAAATGAGCGAAGACCACAAGGGCGTACACAACCTCAAGAAGTAAGTTGACTTGCTGTCGCATCTCACATGCGATGCACGACGTCATATCCGCTGAACATGTACTGACGTGACGGCATTGTAGCAAGGAGCAGTTCGAGGAGGTCATGGCAGTCAAGGACAGCCTCATGGTCGTCGACTGCTTCGCGACATGGTGCGGCCCTTGTAAAGTGATCGCTCCCCAGGTCGTCAAGTAAGTTCTGCCCTGCCGTGAAAACCACCCGCCGCTAACCGTTCGCTAGGTTCTCTGAGAAGTACCCCAACGCGCGCTTCTACAAGCTCGATGTCGACGAAGCCTCCGACGTTGCAGGTGACCTCGGTATCCGCGCCATGCCTACCTTCATCCTTTTCAAGAACGGAACCAAGGTCGCCGAGGTCGTTGGCGCCAACCCCAAGGCTCTCGAGACCGCTATCCAGAACAACATCGATGCATAGAGCGCACAATCGAAGCCGCCCCGCAAATACAGACGATCGCATCCAGCACCAGACTAGGCTTGGACATTGAGTAGAGGGATACTGTTTTGTTGAGGGTCAAATCATGGGCAGCAGGTGGCCGAATGGAATTATGATAACGTTTTTCAAATACCAACCGCTACATTCTCACATGTCACAAACCCAACTTGGACTTGCTCAATGATTAACTCACGCGCCTGCTCAAGAGAACCAAAAGTCGATACATTGTTAACCATTCTGACACTGGCGTGGTGGCATCGGCAATAGCGCACTGGAAACCTCGTTTGCAGTCTGTTTGAAGAGAGAGTGAATTCGACAGCATTCTGAGCAGTATGCGATCCGCATGCATTCGGAAAAGAAAACTGAAGATTCACAAGCTCTCAATCCATGTCCAAACCTCTTCCGCACCTCTTTCCCACTCAATATGATTCTGCAAATGATGCGCTACTCCTTTCACAACTTTGAATACAACACCGCCCCATTCTCCATCACCGTTTTCCATGACACGCACATCATACTTGCTGATACCATCCAATTTTCCAGATCTGACGCAATCGCACAACGCAGCACGGTAACGTTTCGCTGCATCAAGTAATACTGATGGTGTGCAGAGGACGTCTAACTCTGCCGCTAGAACCAAAAATCGTGGCATAACAGTAGTTTCGCTTCCATCTTCGTTAGTCGAATGTTCCAACTTCCATCCGGTAATAGACTTGAGTACGTCTGGTCCAGTCACGAAAGGAAAGAGTGCTTGCATCGGCCAGCCCATGGATTCGTAGGGGCTGAGAAGGCGTTCCAGATCTTTGACGACAGAAGTCGGTGTTGAGGGTGAGAAGAAGGCGTCATGAACCTGCTTGGTTGTCGCTAAAATGTATCTTGGGTGCATGAAACGGTAGAGGAAGTTCAGCGGCGCAGAAAGAGCCCAGAATTTATAGCATGTCCACCTGTTTTCTAGTCAGTATCCACAAGTTACATCAGCGCAGAGATGGACTTACGATCCGAATCCTGGTACCGCAGCAAACATACAGAAGCCCTGGACCCTCAACAACCCTCTGCTTAGCACCCACTGGCTCAGCGCTCCACCCGCCGAATGTGCGATCAACACGACACTAATCTTCTCTGCAACTTTTCTCCGCTCACCCTCGAGTCTCTCGACTTCCTTAATGCCTGCTACAAGGTCTTCTGCAATGCAACCTCGACTTGTGAAATACATCTTCCAGAAGCCAGGATACCAGCTGCCGCCATGTCCACGATAGCTCACAGCATAGCAAGGATATCCACGAGATGAGAAGAAGAGCATATATGAAATCCAGATAGCGGCGCAGCCGAAGCCGCCATGGGCGAAGAAAAGGGGTGGTTTGGTGGACGGGGATCGAGGGAGGGCTGAAAGGAGCTCGAGGGAACCGGACGGGGTTGAGATGTAGGTTCTTCTTATGCCATCTGGCACTCGTGTGGGAGGCGGTGGGTTGGGATTTGGCGCGCGCCATTGCAAGGCGAAGGGTCCGAACGGCATCTTGATCTTTCTACAAGCAAGAACAATGTGTCGGATGTTTCAATGAACGATGCTTATATTCACGAGGTACAGCGAGTGAATAGTGTTTGAGTTTCTTGCATGCAGTGACAGCACTAGTGTTAGTCATGCTTATGTGAATGTCATGTATGTGCGTAACGGCTGTTCAGCCGCACACACTGTAGCCTAGGCGAAGTGAACGGTGACATTGTAAGATGTGACGCTGAACTGGTTTCGGGGATTCTAGTGGGGAATATATCGCTACTTTCAGGATCGGGTATGATCGCATGATGCATGCTTGTATTTGTGCATATGGAACTGAAAGGTGAGGTTTCAAAGTTTGGGTCAAAGAAGAAGGCGAATTCATGAAGCTGGTGGGGTCGTACCAGGTCGTGGGAACACCACTGGATACTTCATCATCTTTGCAACTTGTAGTCATGTAAATACATTATCGTTCGGTCTTCTTGATCTTTCTGTTGTTTCCAGCCTGGTTCGACTCGAAATACAGAAGGGGTTGTGGTGTGCGAAGACACTGGTCGTATGTACATGGTATGGCGCTTTTGCACTAGCATCTTCTTCGACGCATCTCGCGCTGCTATTCAACTTTTAATTCTCCGCAGTCTCAATAATTGCCAAACCATATCAGTTATTCGAACGCAGTTTCCCTGTTAGCCAGCGTTCTTCATTGGTCTTTCTGCTGGCGCCCAAACTCTCGGCCCCGACGAAAGGGGTTGTGAACTTTCATCCAGTGCCTGACGCGATCTCGCTTCGAATCACTGCGTTGCATACCTGAGACCATCTGCAAGCCGCCGAGAGCTGGCTGGTACATGTCAACACTGATGGTTGGCACACGTTCAGGTGTGCCGTAGTGTTCAGGCATAGTTGGCTCGTATGCAAGAACAGGCACGTGCGAATTGGAGATGATGTCGGGTTGTGAATGTTTGTAATTTGGCTTAATTGCGGATTTAGGGTGGGTCAGAGCATTGGCAGCTGCGGAGTGTCGTTCCGGAACGGTCAGACATGATTTTTGAAACTGGGTATCGACTTGCTGCGGTTCGTGTTCGTTGTGAAAGTTTTCAGGGAGATAGGAATCCGGCTCGATGACAGGAAGGTCTTGATCAGAATCATACTCGGGTGGTGGCGCGGGTAGTGGGTGGTCTAACCGGAGATAGTCTTCTGTTGTCGGCCGACGTATGATGCTGCGTTCATTATTATGCATAGCACCTGCTAACCGTCCTTCAATGTATTGACCGTGTATCGGATATGGCGGTGATTGAAGGACATCCTGATCTCTTCTGCTCCCAGCGAGTATTGGTTTAACATACTTGTTGTGGTCGGGCATGTCGATGGGATGCTGTTGTTCCGTAGACCTCATGTCGCACATGAAAGTATCGTATGTGTATGACAATGGTTGTGGCTGGCTGATGATGTTCTCCACAGCAGTTCCAGACTGACTTTGTGGGCCAGTTTCATCTTCAGAATTATCATCCCATGGATATCGGTTTGTGCGCACAGTCGGCCTTGTGATAGCAGAGAAGGGTGGCGATGGTAGCGGCCTTGGTGTTGTATATACAGACGAAGAATTATTTGAGCACCTCATGCGCGAGGTCGTACTAGGACGTGACAAAGGAGATAAAGCTCTCGCTGCTGATGTCGTGTGGATTGAATCCATGACCTGTGTGTCTTACTCAAATAACCTGTCACTATTTTGCCGTGATGAAAGCTACAGATTCGACCCACGAATCTGCTGAGTTAAGGCTGGACGATTGCTTGTCTGGTGGAATAACAACTTGCTAGTGGAGACTAGATGTATCGTAAGGTAACGTAGCACAGTAAAGGCGTCGTGAAAGCCTGACATGCTCATGGTGTAGACAAAGCAAGCCATTACTGTGAATAAAGTAATGCGACCTGCAGGCGCCCGATCTAGCAGATTCACTGTACTGCAATGCTGTCAATACTTGAACAACGGTTCGCTAGGTAAGACCATCAATATGGAGAGTCTGTCACATCCTGACATTATGCGCTTGATCCGAGTCTAAGCGCCAGCGGCTGAGCTTCCAGAGACCGGCAGACGCTGAATGTTCCATTTTAGTATTCACAAGTTGCTTGTACCCTGATGCATGTCTTTTGAACCTACGAAAAGGGGATGTCGTCAACTCCGTCTTCCACCATCCTACCCAAGTCAACACCTAGCCGCCATGTACTCACCACTCATTCAAAATACTGAAAATGTCCGTTATACGATACCGGCACCTGCCACCAGCAGCCGATGGAACAACGCTCGAGAGTACGGGCGGAGAGTACAGCGAGCGCCTCAAGTCGATCCTCACTTTGATAGTTCTATCATAGACGCAGAGCAACATGCTGAGTTTTGGGTGCGGAAGCTTGTCCTGGCCATGGTCAATCTCGAGGACATCAAAGATCCCACAGACTCGAGCGCAGCCAAGTTATTTCGTCCGGAAGCGTACGACTCCCTACTCCTCGAAGCAACATGTCGTGAGATCTTCCTAGCATTGATCGACCGGTGCAAGAATGGCTTCCGAGGACCAGCGCAATTCAACAAAGCGCTAAAACCTCACCGAGGCCTCGAAGCTGATGCTGATGCGACATGCGCACAACGTTTGCAGAATGTAGTGAACGCACTGCTATTGAATAAAAGAGTCGCGAAAGACGTGTTATTCGAAGACTGGAAGATCCGATTACTTGTGAACCATCCTTTGGCTTATGATAGAGAGAAGGATTCGCAGAAGGGCTCGAACGATCAGCGAAGAAGACGACTAGAATCCGAAAGAGAGAAGCTGCGGAGAACCGAAGAGGAGCTGCTCGCTTATCGCTCGGATTTGAAAGGGTCGTAGTGGCGACAGCAGAGGGGTGGAGGGGCGGATGCAGGTGCGGTAGGACGCCCGGGTATCTCGGTATGTCTGGACTACGGTCATCAGTAACGACGCAAACAGCTTGATGTAGTCAACATCCGAAGCAATTGTTATCTATCGAAACAGCATTTCTAGGCGTACACCATGTTTCGTAGGTTTGCCAACCGTTAGCAACGTGGGCCTAGGTCTTCACTGTGTCTGCACTGTGTCTGTGAGGTGGAAGGCGAAGGTGGTTGCAACACCTCGAGAGCAGTCTTGATGGCCATTTCATACTGGGCAATCTGCGCGAGTACCGTGTAGATGTAGTTGCAAATGCTTTTGGGTCGCTGTACAGGTGGGCGGGTGAGAGGAGTTTACACCAGTCAAAAGCTGCTTAGCTGAGCGGGGTGTGCTTGGCGCTCACAGGCTGAGGGTGCAGCTTGCTTCGTCCTTCATTCTCGACCCTCAAAGCTGCTATGGAACCTTCTTTCCCTTCTGCGTCTGGCTTCATACCTATCCATCCCATAGCGTTTGTTCATGCCAGATATATGAGTATGACAATCTTGTCTACTTCACCAGCATCGAGTGTTCACTGAGAGTCTACTGCGACGATACCCGATGATCTCTTACACATTCAGGGGTGGAGCCAGGGTAAAGATACTCTTTCGCGTTTTCTTGGGCAATGCGCACGCGACTTATATCTTCTGCGTAAGGGTTGCCACATTGCTTGATGAGGAAGGTCGCGGTATAGAGTAGGGATGTCAAGATATTGTCAGATCTTGGATCTTTTACAGCCTTGGATTGCTATCAGGTGGCCAACAGCCCCTCTACATCTCTTTGACGCGTTTCATTGGATATTACGTGCTTGGCCTGGCGAAGTGGTGCTTGCCAAGGTCAGGTCGCAAACGTTCAAGAATGGCGCAGGCTTAGTATCGCTCGGCGCCAACCGCATATCCGGATACCCAAGAAATCCAAGAAAGCAGGATGAAATTCGAGCGAGTACCGAACGCCGTCCAGAGAAGATTATCTCTGGGCGATCAGGGTAGTGGAAGGGTTGTTTGGTGCCGAGAACGTCGTGAATGGGAATACAGTTCCACGACTTTGCTGAATGAGGCAGCTCGAAAACGAAAGGAACAAGGCGTAGAGCCTTATATAATGAGTATGTAACAGTGATCCGGACAGTTCTATCGCATTCTCACTCGTCGCCATGTCTACAGGCGCCAACCTGGAGATAGTTGATGCCGCTCTGGCAAATGTGCACGCCCCTCACAACAACACAAGGGGCAGTGTGAGTCTGGAAAAGCAAGATAAGTTTGTGTCGACTTCTGAGAGCCTTCTTGGCCCTAATGGGGAGCAATACCCTACCGATGAAGACTGGCAACAGCTCCGCCGCGTATATGGCAAAGTCAACTGGATGAGTACGTGCATTTTCTTCACGAGGCTTTGTGTAGCATGTGCTAACGTCCGAAACTACTATTAGTCTACGTTATTGGTATTGTGGAGATGTGTGAGCGTTTTGCTTACTACGGAACCACCGCGGTATTTGTCAACTTCATTCAGAGAGACCTGCCTACTTCAGGACCTTTCCCGGAAGCAGGCGCTGCAGGTGATGGGCAGCCTGGTGCACTTGGAATGGGCCAGCGCGCTAGTACTGGCCTCGTCCAATTCAACTCCTTCTTCTCCTACATCATGCCCCTAGTCGGTTAGTATGCTCTTTGTTCAAGAGCGATCATCGTACTAAATCCTTTCTCTAGGCGGATGGGTTGCAGATGAATACTGGGGAAAATTCAAAACGATATATTTTGCGATTGGAGTCGCAACCCTCGGACATGTCTTGATCATCATCGCCGCGATCCCTCAGGTTATGGGGCCAAACCCCGAAGGAGCTCTTGCCTCATTCATCCTAGGATTGATCTTGTTTGGAACCGGCGTGTAAGTCTCGCTAGAACGAGCACTTATGAGACACATACTGACTTCGTCAAATATAGGGGTTTCTTCAAGTGCTGCATATCTCCATTGATTGCGGAGCAGTATGAGGCCAGCCACCCGCGAGCTTTCATTCGCACCGAACCAAACGGAGAACGAGTCATCGTCGATCCAGGGATCACCTACTCCCGAGTCTACATGCGCTACTACCTTCTGATCAACGTTGGAGCACTTGTCGGTCAAGTTTCCATGGGTAAGCTGTTTGTCAATGAATTGTACGTTGTCTAGAAGCTCACCTCCAATGCAGTGTACGCGGAGAAATACGTCGGGTTTTGGCTTTCTTTCACATTGCCAACCATTCTCTTCGCCCTCTGCCCACTTCTGATGCTTGCTTTCAGCAAGCATTACGTCAAGAAGCCTCCGCAGGGTGACGTGCTTGTCAAGTCGATGAGAACGTATGGGTTAGTTCTGAAAGGGCGCTTTTCGCTCAATCCTGTGCGAACGTGGAAGAACCTTTCTGATCCAAACATCTGGGATGCTGCGAAGCCAAGCAAGATCGCAAACAAACCGGCATGGATGACCTTCGATGATGCGTGGGTGGAGGAAGTCCGACGTGGCATCAAAGCCTGTCAAGTATTCTTCTGGTTGCCGATCTTCTGGCTGCCTTATGGCCAGATGTGAGTCTCGATACTGTCTGAGATATGAGCCAAACCAGCGCTGACTCTCTTCAAGGACCAGCAACCTAGTTTCACAGGCGTCTACTATGAAACTTAACGGTGTACCAAACGATGTAGTGCACAATCTGGTAAGAACTCCGACGTATGAACTTCGTATCAGCAGACACATACTGACTCCGTATACTAAAGAATCCGTTCACGCTGCTCATTTCCATCCCAATCTTCGACAAAATTATTTATCCAAGACTTGCCCACTGGGGTATCAATTTCACTCCCTTGAAGAAGATCCAAGCCGGTTTCGCCTGTGCCATGCTCTCCATGGTTGTTGCGGCAGTCATTCAACACTTTATCTACCAAAAGTCGCCATGTGGAGAATTTCCAACAGATTGCGACCAGCCACCTGACCTTTCGGTGTGGACTCAGGTTCCAGCCTATATCCTCATTGCATTCTCGGAGATCTTCGCATCGATCACTGGATTAGAGGTAAGACCTAGAGTGTATGATGTGCATTCGAGGCATGTGCTGACTTCGGATCTTCAACCTTGCAGTACGCGTACACAAAAGCACCGAAGAATATGCGCTCGTTGGTTACAGGCATGTTTTGGTTTACCCATGCCTTCTCTTCTGCCATTGCCCAAGCCTTCGTACCATTGGCTGGTGACCCACTCCTTGTATGGCTGTACATGAGTATTGCCATCTTGACATTCCTCGGTTGGGTGGGTTTCGCCTGGACCTTCAGAACATTGGACAAGGAGAACGATATGCTTGACAAGCTTCCTGAAGGTGGCTTCCAGTCTAACGCTGAGTACGCCGCGGCGAAGACTGAGAATGCCGAAAGAGCCTGATCTTGCGATCTGGACTTCGAATTGGATTTCGTTGTCGGATCTATACGAGCCTGAGACTAGTGAAGATGAGCTCCACGAGCTGTGTATAGCGCCACGTAGCCTGAGTAGGGCATCAAACTTAACAACGATACGTAATGTGTTGGTTAGATAATCCCGCTAGGTCGTGTTATACGAACACGCAGATAGCTGCCCGTTGCACGATATGTTCTCGAACCAGCCCCTTTTGTTCGCACCATACCAAAATCTGCACGCTCTCGCGCTTATTCATCTCTTCGCAACTATCATAACGAACTCTCTTCCAAGCAACGAGATATGACACATGTCATCTAGCCGTAAAGTTCATGTTCAATGAAGAGTTTGGAAAGTACATCTCGATGGTGAAAGTCTTCTAATATGAGTTGCACATCGTATCTACTGCGGCTGTGCGTCGCATCTTTACTGATATGCTCCCTAAACTCCCTTACTACGTCATCGGACATTGCGCGCTCATGGCTTGCGCCCTTGACGATAGGGATAAAGCAGACCATCAGAGGTCCAAGGCTGAACAGGCATGCGATGCGACCCGGGAGAAAAATACAAACAGTTTAGCGGCACTCAAGCATATACGTGTTTAGCTTGATGAGCCGGGAAAGCATAGAATAGAAGATATTGTAGGCCTTGCAAAGGCCGAAAGAGATGTGTCGAAAGACGATGACGTAACCATACGCAAGGAGCATAGTGTATATATCACAGCAAGGGCTCTGAATGATGACGATGAACTCGATTCTGAGGATGTAAAGGCGATGGTCAGAGCTGACAAAAAGGAAGTCGCCGATAAAATCACGCTGCCTTACCCACCCGCTCCGCGGCCACCGATACCCTCACGGTCGCAGCCGCACTCGGGGTTTTCGCACTTCATGTCCGCCACCACGGACGAGACTTCGTTGTCCGATGAGTCGAAAACAACGAAGGCGAAATTAAAATGGGCCATGAGTTTGAAGAGTCTCTTGGAACGTTACGTTCCTCTTTCTCACACGCAGATTAGAGTGTGGAGCGGGAGCCGCCTTCCTTGTAGTGTTCTTTCTAGAGCGCCAGAGCTTAGAAAGCAGCATGTGCACAGAGATACGATTCTTGATATGCATAGTTTTACCTTCCTTGAGTTAACTACATGATAAGGTATTTGCCGCCTATCTTTCCAGATCGCTACGTCAAGATTTATTTCCGAACATATACGTCAATTGCGGCGCTCTCTTGGGGAAAGCGCGGTCTCGGGGAGCAAAGGCGCCAGCCATCGGTAGATCGAAAACTCTCTAGCTTTGACCCACCATCACATCTCCCGTCACAAGCATTCAAAAAGTTCCAGTTTTCGAAGCATAGCGTTCGGTTATATATCGGAGACTCTTAATATCCGATGATGGCTCGGGGACGTCACGGAGAAGAAGCTCATCACAATTTCTTACATTTCTGAAAGTCTGCGACATCATCTCCTGACCTCATCTCTCCATTGCTTGCCATTTCCCTTTCCTCGATGGCATTCTTTTTACAGTACAGAGCTATACAGCGACATGTGAAGGAAGAGCTACAACGTGTAACTGAAGTTCCAGATCCATTGTCAGCACGCTTTTCCGACGGAGCACACGAATTGGGAGATTTGGAGTCACCTGGTAAGCTGAACAAAGGTGAACCGTACACACGGATCCCAGGTATCACGTTGAGGGAAGATGGTAACAGCCAGCTCTATTACCAGGTTGACTGGAGCGGACCCGATGACCCATTCAACCCCAAGCACTTCTCGACCCTACACCGTATCTTTGCGACACTACTCGTATGTCTCGTCGCTTTCGTTGCAACCCTTGCATCTTCTATCGACTCTGCTGTGCTCACTAGAGCGACTGCCGACTTTGGAGTGTCAGAAGTAGCGGAATCATTGGCCACTGCGCTTTTCTTGGTAGGGTTTGGCTTTGGTGCCTTGCTCCTATCTCCCCTCTCTGAGCTTCTCGGAAGATATCCTGTCTATCTTGGCTCCCTTTTCGTTTTTGCCTGCTGGACGCTTGGGTCTGCGCTAGCACCGAACTTTGGCGCTCAGATTGTCTTTCGGTTCCTAGCTGGGTTCTCAGCGAGCACTCCCTTGACGGTTGCAGGTGGCTCCGTGGGTGATCTGTGGAGTCCAGTGGAGAAGACATTCGCCTTCCCACTGTTTGCGATACCCGCATTTGGTGGACCAGTTCTTGGTAAGTTTGTTATACTCGTGTTATTCCTATCAAGACGATCCGCTCCTTGTTGGTTTTACTAACCAAAAGCAAAACAGGTCCTGTGATAGGTGCATACATTGGCTACGAGCAAGACATCAACTGGAGATGGACGGAATGGATAACGCTTATTCTGATTGGAGTTACTTTTACACTTATCTTGCTCTGCAAAAGAGAGTCATTCGCACCTCGCCTACTGCACTACAAAGCACAGCACTTCCGGAAACTTACAGGCAATCAACAGTTCAAGACCGCGACTGAAGCATCGCATGGCTCCATCGGTGAGCTCTTGTCTAGGTCTTTCACTCGGCCTTTTCTTCTCTGCACACAGCCGATTGTAGTGGCTTTTACACTTTATTTGATGATTGTTTACATCATTTTGTTTACGTTTCTAGACGGGTATGTGCCTCTTGAATGTTTCAGGTTGCAGCGTAGGGCGTGAATCGCTGACTTTCTTGCAGTTACCCTTACATCTTTGCGGAAACCTTTGGTATAAATGAGGGACTATCCAATATTTGCTTCGTTGGATTGTTCATCGGAATCGCCCTTTCGGCGCTCCTTGTTCCAATAGCCTACCACAAGACTGTGCGACAACTTAAGGAAGATGGAGACGATGGATCTGGCAAGACCATACATCGCGAATCGAGATTGTTCTTTGCCATGATTGGAGCGCCTACACTACCTATCGGACTCTTCTGGATGGGTTGGACTGACTATGTAAGTATACCATACACGCCCCCCAGTCATGTTCTGTATACAAGTCTAACAAATAATAGGCTTCTATTTCAATATGGTCACCCTTGGCAGCATCATTGCTTGTCGGCTTTAGCAATATTTGCATCTTCATGTCCGCATACATGTACATCATTGACAGTTACGAAGCATATGCAGCATCAGCCTTGACATTTGTCGCCTTGGTCAGATATGTTGCAGCTGGTGGCATGACAGTTGTCGGCATTCCCATGTACAGAAACCTGGGGACTCACTGGACCTTGACTTTGCTTGGTATCATTAGCGTTCTCGCGCTGCCCATTCCGTATGTACTATACCGCTTCGGACCGAGTCTCCGGAAGCGCAGCAAGTGGGCAGTATAAGTAGATTGAGGAGGGACGATAGCATTGTTGTTGCGCCCTATCAGACTGTATAGAAGCAATGTTTTTTCAATTCGATACTGGTGAGCAGAAACAATGGAAGAATAGAACGCCTTTGGTTCATCGTCCAGCTGTACTGCTTCCGGCGACCCACTACCACTATAAGGGGTGCTTGTTAATCCTGCTGCTGGTGTTTCGGCGAGAGTTGTCAACTCAACCGCTCCTGAACGTGCCTCCAGATTCTTATACATTAGTCTTTACGACTACTCTACGCGACTACCCTAACCGCAAACAGCACTGGAACGACTCTTCAGACGCGATGTTGTCTCCAAGTTTGGGAGAGACGCGTCGTGGCCTTACGATGTAATTGAGGTTGTTGGCGTCGAAGACAAGGAGAAAGGCACTACTGGATATTCAGGTTTGGAAGAAAATATTGCTGGTGATGGAAAGAAAGCTAGCGTTGGAAGTTGCTCGTGAAGGGATCCAACCTACTTGAGTTGGAATCACGATCCCCCATATGATGTTGGTAAAGGGGAGGGTGCGCTTCTACCGTCGCATGAAACAAGTCAAACGCATACAAGCACAAACCTCATGGTCGAAAACCCGTACCATGTGACTCACCACTCAACATGTGAAAGAAATCGGTCCCTTTAGAGAGATTATCGCTTCCCGGACCCGATTCTCATGATGCTCGGAGCCCAACGCGCGTCTTGTATCGCAATATCCGTGCAAAGTTCATTTCAAATAACGTTTTCTTCAACTCACGTCCTCTTAACAATTTACCGAGTCAACTCCCCTCCGCCGATCACTGCAGAAAGCAGTAGCATTTCCGTGTTCCCATCTCCCAACTCCGGTGCAAGCGAGAGACCCTCCAAAAACCCGCGGGGACAGGGGTACACAAGTCATTATCCCTACTTGCGAAAACGTGCCGCAATCATACATGTTGAAGGTTTGTCAAAAGGGTCAGCGTACCTGCCGTATACAGACATTGCAGCGTGGTGTGCGCCTCGGAGATTTTCTTTTGCCATGGTTGGGTATCGTGGGGGTCCACATGTAATTTGTAGGAAAATGGGGGTGCCGGCCAATGAGGTAAGGGTAGGAGCGTGCACGTGTGGCGTGAGGGAGGATAGCAGCTATAGGGAGTGCCGTTGCTAATGGTTAGGAATTCGATAACGGATGCTTTGCATGGTCACTGCGCGCGTAGGATTGGGCCCATGATCCACACGTTTTCGATGCTGCTTTACGTGAACGTCGCAGTTGCGTGGGGACCAGCCTTGCGGAAACTTCGGCTATAAGAGGGTTAGGCGGCACGCAGCAACGGCAGGGGCCGTTGAGAAGGAATGACGCATGTGTGATGGGATGACAGTAGGTTGCTGGTAGAATCGACCCTGTGTGGAATTTTGTATAGATGTGCCATGTGTTGATATTGTCATTGTAGTGGGCGCATAATGCATCATAGTCGGCCGTTGCTCATCGTGTCGTTATCTGCTCCCACTCTAGACATCCTTGAGCAGTTTCTCGATCTCTTCCAGGTCCTCAGCACTGTCGATCTCGATGATCCTGTTGACCTCGCTGGTATTGCGCATCAGCTCCTTTGCACCAGCGTACAGCATCTTCACCTCGCTGTTGCATGTTATGGGCAGGTAGTATAGCATGACGTATGGCACCGATAATCGTCCCGAGTCCTGTCAAGTCTCAGCCTCTCTCTCTCTCTCTCTCTCTCTCTCACGGTGTATGGTCGGCATAGCGTACGAGGGTCAACGGGTAGCTCAAGAGCACAAATCGCGGGGCATGGTCGGGCAGCTCGTCGGCGAGGCTCTGGACGTCGGAGTAGACATCGTCGTCTGCCTGGCGTACTTCGAGCGTCTTCTTATCGATCTCGTCTGGCGCGCATGGGCGTCAGCGCCATTGCATAGTGTGGGCCTATGGCGGGCAGTGGCAGGAACGACTGCGGCAAAGGCAGCAGGTATACGAACAGATGACGGCCTGGGGATCTTTGGCGCGCGAGGTGCCTAGACGGAACTTGCGTAGCTTGGTTTTGGTCTCATCGGAGAAGGTGTACAGTCGTGCCTCCGAACTCTGGGCCGAGGTATTAGCGAACCGGTGGATATGACGCGCGTAAGACGAAGGCGGCACTTGCCATGATGGCGAACAATGATGGGAAGACTTGGGTTCGCAACGGGTGTTTGACGAAGCTCGGGGAGGTGGTGTAGGGCTGAGGAAGTCTGACGGACGGCACGCGTTAGTGGGGTCTGTTGGCGGGGGTTCCTGAGCTGGACGGATGGCGCTAGCTAATGCACTACCGTCATGTCCATACACCCTCAGCTTTGCAGAAGCCTTTCCTTCTCATGCACCTAGCTACTCATACCCTCTTTCCCCTGAGTTACTTCTCCTGATCCATGTTCGGACGACTGAATCAGGTTGCCAGACACTTGTCTCGTCCAATACCCAACTTTGCGCATCGTTCCGCCGTTTCGTTCCGCCCATCGATAACGTCATCAGTCATGGCTTCGACACAGCAAAAGAGCCTGATCCACACGGCAGGTTGTTTGGTTATCGGTGACGAAGTCCTTGGAGGCAAGGTATTCAGTGTCCATGTAGATCAATTCTTAGTCTGACAGCTGACGTGAACCATAGACAGTCGATACGAACTCGGTAGACTATACCACTTTAAAGTTGTGGTACATGGACTAATGTTTCACAGGCGTACTTTGCCAAATTCTGCTTCTCATTGGGCATCAACTTGCGCCGCATCGAAGTCATTGCAGATGATGAAGGCGAGATTGTAGAAGCCGTGCAACGCATGTCCAAGAACTACGACATGGTGGTGACGAGTGGCGGAATTGGTCCTACGTGCGTGCAGCATACTCGCTACACCACCCAGCCGCTGAGCTAACGGATGTCTAGTCACGACGACATCACTTACCAGTCAATAGCCAAGGCCTTTGGCCTCCCGTTGAAGTTACACGATGCGGCGTTTGAACGTATGAAGCGCCTCTCGAAGCCGCACAAGTCTCAGCCAAACTTTGACTGGAACGTCGAGTCTGCAGCGCTTACAGCAAAGAAGCGCATGGTTGAACTGCCTATTGATGAATCCAAGCCAGATGAAGATCAGGTTATTTTCGTCAGCGAGTCGCTTTGGGTTCCCGTTAGCGTCGTGAACGGTAACGTGCACATTCTGCCCGGAGTGCCTCGCCTCTTTGAAGCGATGCTAGACGGACTAAAGCCCCGCATCCTACCTAGATTGACGGATCCAGAGGGTAAAGGCGTGTTGCGGATCCTCATCTCGACTCCGATGGCCGAGAGCGCCGTTGCTGGATATCTGACCGAGCTCGCTGCCAAGGCGGAGCCAAAAGGGGTCAAGGTGGGAAGCTACCCACGATGGGGAAAGGACCACAACACTGTGACGCTAGTTGGACGCGATCGCGACTTCATGGAGAGCTTAGTTCCTGAAGTAGAGAAGGCTGTTCAGGGGAGGCGCGTAGCTGTAGAAGGCGAGGACGACGGAGAGACGTCTGACAAGGACTCATAGGGGGTGGTAGAGGGTAGACTGACATTGCAGACGTGCCGCAGTCGGTCAATGTAAATATACATATATACATATATCGAGTGTCGAGATGCAGGGACCGTGTGTCAGAATGGAATGCCTGTGAAGATGATGTTGGGACAGACGGGTGTCAGCGAACCATGCGGCAAGCTTCTACAAATGTTCGAGAAGCAGCCTAAGCGCGTGCCACCAGGGCTGGGCGCTCACGCTGGACCCTGATACGACGGATAGATCGAGGGCAGATTTTGTGCGGTACAGGAGATTTGCTTTTCAAGCTGTCAATGGAATTAGGTGTCATGATTACCTTGACAACGTCGTTCTCGGGGCAAGGCTCGCGTGCATGACGATGGATAAGCCGCCGACCCCGCCCGTGTGACGCTCCCCAAGCAAGCAGCAGCATGCTCTGTGTGTGCGAGAGATGAAGCACCCGCATGGTCGGATAGTCACATGCACAGGAGAGGATTCAATTGGAGTGACTACAAGAGCGCAAGCGCGGACGCGACAGGCTCTGCGAGTCGGTCGGTCGAGGAACAATGTTTTTCTACGCCCGCCTCAAGCTTGGTATCAGTCGTCGCATGCCTCGTGCGCCGTAGTGGTTCGTGGGAGGGCATCAGGTACTCCGTGCCTCATGGCGTCGGGCGCTGGGATCGCATGGAAGCGTCGGAGGCAGGCCGCCCATGCGGTGTTGTATGTCGAGTGCCGCCGCTTTTAGGAGTGGACTCTCTCTCTCTGCTGGGGGGAGGGGAGGGGGCTTTGTTTTTGGCCCGGGGGTGAAGAGATGCGGAAGGCGTCAGATGGAATGCATGCACTTGGACGGGCAACAAATAGGGAGACGCGCACGACGCAGGCAAACGCCCAAGCCTATTCACCTTGCAGACGACGCCATAGTGGTGGAGACGGGTGGCTCGCTCTGCTCCTCTTTTGGTTGGAAGGCAGGCCTATGCACGGCTACATTAGCGCTAAAGCCGCGCCCAAGCCCATGTCCTAGCCCTTCCTCCTTCAAGGCCCCAGACGAAGCTAGAAGGTCGTTTTTGCTACCGAGATCATCCTGCTCTGCTCAGTGCTCTCCCGTCCTCTTCTACTATCGCGACGAGCTCTCCTGGCCCATTTCCCTCGCTGCTGCTGCTAATCCCGACCTGACCGTCACCGCCGGCCTTTGCATCAAACGCCCTGACAGCGCGCGTCGCATCGCCACAACACGACGGCCTCGCTCCCTTGATCGCCTCCCTCGCTCCCTCCCTGCCTACTTGCGTGTCTACCTATCTACCTGCCTACCTATACCCTATACCCTAATACACCACGCCCATCGCCCGCGACCTGCAGCTTCGTCCGGCATCTCTTCCTCACATTCACAATGGCATCAAAGGTAGGCGCCCGTCCATCGCCCGCGCCGCCTGCGCCCCTGCTAACCCGCGCCAGTTTCTCCGAGAATACAAGTTGGTGGTAGTCGGCGGCGGTGGAGTCGGAAAGTCGTGTTTGACTATCCAGCTGATCCAGAGCCACTTCGTAGACGAGTACGACCCGACCATCGAGGGTAAGCACTTCCGACCTGTCGTGTTTCGCGCGCCAGCAAGCTAACCCACGCCTCCAGATTCGTACCGCAAGCAGTGTGTCATTGACGATGAGGTCGCCCTGCTCGATGTGCTCGATACAGCGGGACAGGAGGAGTACTCGGCCATGCGCGAGCAGTACATGCGCACAGGAGAGGGCTTCCTGCTCGTCTACTCGATAACCGACAGGCAGAGCTTCGAGGAGATTATGACGTTCCAGCAACAAATCCTGAGAGTAAAGGACAAGGACTACTTCCCCATGATCGTCGTCGGCAACAAGTGCGATCTCGACGGCGAGAGGCAAGTGTCGACACAAGGTGCGTTTGCCTGCTGCTTCCATCCCTTGCCCTTTCCCTATGCTAACCCTTGCACAGAGGGCCAGACTCTGGCGCGGAACTTTGGCTGCAAATTCATCGAGACTTCGGCGAAATCCCGCATCAACGTTGACAACGCCTTCTACGACATCGTCCGAGAAATCCGCAGATACAACAAGGAAATGTCCTCGTACACAGGCGCCCCTGGCTCAAACGGCAACGGGCCCCAGAAGACGACATTCGACACGGACGACCAGGCGGAGAAGAAGGGATGCTGTGGATGCGTGGTAATGTAAGGATATGGAAGCCACTGTCGTTGTTGTCGTTGTTGTCGCGCACGCTGTCAGAGAGATACCTACACCGCTGGGTTCGGTTACCCGCCCTGGCCATTGGCGGTGCTGCTTGGTCCAGCAGAAGAAAACACGCGATGCTGCTGTTGCGTACTGCCAGTACACCTTCTCTTCGATACTGTCACTTTGGGTTCGCATTACGGGGTAACGGATTCACGTCTGCTGGATGCGCCTCCGAACACCCTACTTCTACTACTGGTATCGACTCCATCTTTCCTATCTGGTGGCGCTCTTCGTATTCGCCTTCATCATCTATCTAGACCGATTTCTTTATGGCATTTTGATCGGTACTCTGTATTTCCTCCTGTCGGCACGCCAAAGAGGCACCATGCAGCACGCTTCTGGGAGTCAAAAGATTTCTTTATTTTTGACAGCTTTTAGGGTCGTTTAACTTTACCTACCTTCTATGAACATAATTCATCTCTACTCGCAGCGCACCTTCATCTTCCATCACAACCGTCTCTCCTTCGCTACAGCACTACGGCAAAAGTCCAGCTGGCAGCTGCACTTTAGATTGCCAGCTCACAATGCATGCCAACTTCACTTCGCGTTGCACCCACAACCACCGGCGACCAGCGGCGTCGCAATGGCAGTGATCGCCCACTTGGAGCCATAATCGCGTGGTGTTTCGACTCGCGAACCTTGCCCGGGCGCCGTCATTGGATGTAGATTATCACAGATAGGGCGCTACCTCTGCACGGCCGTTTCAGGGAGCACATCCCGACAGAAAGAGGGGAAGTCGATCAGGAGAAAGGTAAGTGGACATCGGCACATGCACGCGGGCGTCTCACAGCGACGTGACATCGACTCTATTAGGCCCGACTTCCAGCGAGCTATTCTCCGGACGAACACCACAGGTGCCGTCGATCGGGATCCCTTGTGTGAAACGCTGGGTTGGGGCAGCTTGCCAGAATCCGATGCGCCGTTCCTGCCGTATCCGCAACACGTGCGCAATGCGTCAAACGGCGCACATCAACATCTCGCCAATTCTCACCTCTTCGGCCTGACGATCCGTTCGCCTCATTTCACCTCTTCGCGGCCATTTTACGAAATACTCACCGTCCCGTCCAACTGCAATCAAGTGGCGGCCCGACAGTTTGGATATTCACGAATTACTCACACCCCCTGCCGTTTAGCCTATTCAGTGCGACCCCGAACGGGCAGTACGCCCTGCCCGCGTCGGTTCGGATGGCAGCCTCGTTTGACCAGTTCACCGTACATCAGTTCGCCTGCACCTTCACTCGCTGCTCTACGCTACCAAGCATCCGACGCCTTTGCATGCGCGTTGTTGCGGGTGGAAAGCCACTTATGCGGTCGCTTCATCATCCCTGCAGTATTGCTAATCTCTGCAACAAACATGCAGTCCACGGCTGCCACTCTAGTTTTGAGCAAATCGTTCGCTGACCGTAAGCGATAGATGGCCACTACACCAGGCTACGGAGATGGTTTTCTGGACCCGTACGCCTCGTTCCCCATCCGTGCGCGGACATAGCGGATCACCATCAAAATCCCTACAAACGCTCACCTATGCATAGGTTCTCAGTGACTACCTCCTTTCACGGGCATCAATACTCTCAATTCGCATGGAGCTGGGCCAAGCGTGCAGATCTAATACTGGGCTTCTTCGTATTGGGGCGGTTACGAGCCCTTTTACACGTCATTCACCATCCTTGGTGAGTACAACAGTGAAGTCGATAAGTAAGAATTGGTGGCGAGAGAGCGCATGCAACCGCTTCCTACGAACATGGGTGAGAGGACAGCAGTCTCTTCTAATCTTAGAACTCGGCTTAGTCATGTTCTTGTCTCTTGGGTCGCCGAGAATACAAAGTATGCTCTTCTTCAAGTGTGCCTTCAGTACGCCTGTTCCATAGCCCAAGACACGAACTCCTCGATTTTTACCTGGCCTCACTGCAGCTAGGTTCTAGACTGAACCTCTCGGTTCACGCAAGACTATCATTCTCGGCCCGTGCCTGTACAGACGTAGCCGAAGGCACATCCCGCGGGCCACGTTCAGGCACAGTTTCGTAAGTCTGACGTTATACGCCCTCCACCAGGCCTCATAACGTGGACTCAATCCAACCTTCTTCTACTAGCTCTTTGCAGAGCTACAGTTGCGTTTCATGAATATGCCTCGGGTTTCACTAACAATACAACGGCATGGTGGGCAGTTGTAAACAGGTGGGAGCACGTTTACATTCATCACACAGATCGGCACTCCGCGGAGGGATCTGGACCCTGGCGTTAGCTGTGTGACAGGGGTAGTGCAGTAACGACATTGAACTCGTGTTACATTGACTTTCTACCGCGACAACCGAGCGAAAATTACTGGACAGGTGAATTGATTCAGTCTGTTCAGCAAGCACTTGCAATTGTCTGCGATGCGTCTACAAAACAAACGACGTCAACAGCTCTCTTCAGTGTTGCGTGACTCGACTTTCAACGCTACTACTACAAGCACTTGTACTCATCGGCGATTCCAAATCGGTCGACCACCCCAGTTGGCCGACCCGATTGGGAGAACGGCCTACAAAGCCGTTCTCTCACGATCTTTCGATCCGAAATCATGTATCGAGATCAAGATGCCTTGATCTATTGCTGCTTCAGGTAATTGTGGTAGGAGAGTGTGGATTGCAGGTAAAATCGCGGTGTTTGGCGCCAGCCAATAGGATGGGAGGCGTGAAGCGGTCGTGAGATGAAGACCTGAATTTACGATGCTGGTAGATGGTGGTGGAAGTACGTCGGCCGTTAGCTTTGCTGCTTGCGTTGGTGGGTTGGATTGTGGTCATGGTCTCGTGAAGGCTTCGAGGGCACTCCTTTTCTGTCGCAGTCGGACCGCTCAGGTTTGCTCCATGCTAACCATCTTTCATCGCCTACGGGTGAGTCTCTCAAGATGTCTTGAGACTCCTACTTGACTACGCTGCCCTTGGAGTGGACGCACTACTCCACTAACAACACACGAGCATGCCGTCCTTGCTCCACACTGACCCCCATCTTGCATACCCAGAAAAGCCATCGAATGTGCGTTATCCACCTTAGCAACCATAGTGTTTACATGTACAGTGTTTACTTTGAATTCCTCAAGTCAGACTTCTGCCGACCCAAGGTTCGTTGCCTTTCAGTATTTCATTCGATTCAAAAAAGATCTACACGCACGTTGAACGTCATTTTGCGGCACGGCCCGAGCATACTTCAAGGGGAAGATTATATAGCATCTCCAGTCGTTTCCCTTGCGAACCTGAAGATCGCAGCCGCATGCGACAGAGCTAAATGAGGAATCGAGATGTATACGAGTTCTGGTAAGCCCAAATTGGAGAAGGACCGAAAGGTGCATATCCGGGTAAGTGGCCGTGCGTGAGTGAATCGGACAAATAGAGAAGTAACTACATCCTCAATTTCGCAACCTGTTGTCGCGATGTCGAGGTTCCTTGTTCATGGACGGTTGTTTCATCTGCTCTATGGGATGAATTGGTCCGGAACAACCAAGACAAAGGCATAGGGTGATGGTACTAGAAACGTAAGGCTGGACGGACGATCAACCGATGCAACTGCAGCTGCGTAGCGGCAGATAACGTCACTCGAAACATATCGTAGTCGAATCACGGGGTGGAGTTATAGTGAAAAGATTTCCACAATGGAGTCAGCTGCGAAGACGACGATACTGAGCAGTATAAGCGCCTTGGCAATGGCTGTTACATTATCCGGGTAGCCACATAAGCACTTCAGCGCGATTGATTCCAAGTTTACACTTACTGTCCCGCTTGTCAGGATGTATCTACACATACGCTATCTGTAGATGAAACCAGTAGAAACTATTCATTTCTATAACAGCAGTATCGGACGGTAGCAGAGAGGTAGGAGTGAAACGGTGATCTACATTTGCTTAACAACTGGTTGGTTGGGAAGGAGTTTCGTCCGATATATGATAGATGAAGTTTATAGATTAGTTTTAGGTGTGGTTTCTTCTTCACGGGAGGCTACGTTTGACGTCCATGACTGTTCGCAAAATAACAAATAGAGACAAAACGAGAGGCAAGTACTCGCACTGTCTCACCATAAGCTGTAAGTTATGCTACTAGAGCAAGTGTAGGATATTATTGTCCGCATCGCGTTCATCACCCCTACAGTTGATCATCTAGACTGCAAAAAAGCTTCAACAACTCGATAACATAGGAAAAGGTTACTGTCTCTACCAATTTAATGCAGACGTTCACTCAAGTGAGAGACTTCCGAAACAAGGAAATACTGCTAGTCTAGCTGTGATCTTGACACTCATCTCTTCTTTGGAATTTCAGATTTAACAGTGGCGTGTAAGAATACTCTAATGAGACATGACATTGTTAGTCATATGTTCTTCTCAGAATCTTCGGCTCCAGATCAAGATGTGTATGCTATATGCACACCTTGTCGTTCCACTTGGCTACATAGGGAAGATACCAACAACCATAGTTGCGTGATTTGCCAAGTGCTGCGGTAAGGATGCAGAGATGTTCTGCACCCGATCCGCACCACCGTATGACTCGGCGTTTGATTGTTGTCCAGAACTCTTGGATATGGCAGGTGGAGACCAACATGAACAGGTGTCTAGATATGTACAGGCGAATAGATAGTAGTCATGTTAATGCAACGAGTGCGATGGTATCTCCTCTGTGGTCAAAGGGTGTTGTGTCTGTTCATCGTCTGCCACACTTGAAGCCCCAGTCGCACCTTCTGAGCTTGGGAATCCTACTACAACACAGACTAGAAAGGTTAGCTGATTCAACCAATAGATGATATCAAAGACCAGGATATTGCGAGAGTAATGTTGTGGTTAGGCTGTGATGCCGAGCCCACTGTCTTAGCGATTCTGGTATTCTGGTATCCGCTAGAGTGTGTCGTAAAACATAATCCGTAATCCCTGGCCCCCCAGAACAACGCCTTGTATCCCTGAGTGTGGGATGAGGATGAAACATATTATATCGAACGCCGGCGGTCGTCATTGAAGACCCCAAAGCTTATACATATGATGATAGTTCGTCTCTCGCCATCTTAGCAGTACCACTTTTAACGCCGTTGCTTTTCTCCAAATATGGGTACTTCGTTGTATATTCTTTGGATTTGAAGTAACGCCTCAATCATTTTCCAATTCATCTAGTTCTTTCTGCCTCCTCGCTAATTCTTGCCTCATAGCTTCTGCCTCCTTCCTCAGTCTCTCCCTCCTAGCTGCCTTCTCTTCTTGTGACATTCCTGGATTAGGCGATGTGCCAGCACTCGGGCGTAGCGGCACTGAAAGTGAAGGATCGATGTTTGCGTCAGCGTCAGCTTGAGATGGGTTCAATATCGAAGAAATCGCGTTTGGGCGGTGGGGCATCGGGTTTGCGGTTTCCTCTGGGTCCATGGTAGCACTGCGGCTGCGTTTCCGGGGCGATGGTGCATTGGATTGCATGTTGGGTATAAGGGCTGCGGGATTAGAGGTGACTGATGCCTTGCCGTAGTAATGAGTGAAGTCGACGGCGATAGGTCCTCTAGGTGGCTCGGGCGTATAGTCTTCCCTAGACTCAATTGCCGTTGACGGATCTGGGGAAACGGAATGCTCGAATGCGGGGGTTTGGGACGGACGCTGTGGTGGAGAGTAATCGGCAACCGACGGTGTGGCTTGAGAGCTAGTGTCACCAGCTGGCACGACTCGTTTCCGACGTTTGATCTCTTGCTTCTTCATTGCGACAGGACGATGTGTTCCATGGAGCTTGTAGTAAAGTCCTTTAGATTGGAGTTAGCTATCGTGGCTCAGTTGCAAAGCAGTCCTGTGGATGTAAACTCACCACAAGCGTTACATATTATGTGACCAGCATCATCCCGTCTCCACAGTGGTGTGATTGTAGTCGCACAATTTTGGCACGCGGGGATGGCACTAGTAGAACCTGCTGCCGCCGAACTGGACGCAGCGTCTGCGCCGTTCGTACCGTCACTCGATGTTGCATTTGCCTGAGCCAACGCAAACTTCGCAGTCTTCGACACGCGGTTGTTGAATGCTGGACAGCCACTGCAGCCTTGCTGACCACCAGTACCATTACATCGCCCCCCACCAGGACATGTACCTGCGGTCATCTGGTCTGCAGCAACATAAGTTGCTACTCGGGGCGAAGCCGCGAGGTTTCCGGGTGACGTTCCGTTGCCGTCACCTGGGCCCGACGTTGGACTTTGCTGCACGGGCATAATCGGCTGAGTCTGAGTGTTCCGTTTCAGGTTCACTGGACGTGATTGATTCCGCGCCTTCATGTACAGACCACACGCGTTGCACACAGTTTCTCCAGCTGGAGATCGGCGCCAAAGCGGCGTTTGTGTCGTCTTGCAGTTGCTTCGGTCCGTTAGCGTCTTCCCTGCAGATCTGGTTCCAACTGTAATCAAGTGACTGGTGGCAAGCACACAGTGAAATTTCAGACAACGTACCTACAGACTTGTCCGGTGACAGGCGCGTTGGATGCATCATAGTTCATACTCGGCAGCTGTAGAGATGTTGAAGTTGCCGGTGTCGTTGGTTGCTCTGAGATGGGCACCGCATCCTCGAGTGAGTGGTATATCTCGGATCTTTCGTCTCCCTGGCCCTGAATCTGGTGCTGTTCCTGAGATGGAGTTTCTGTCCTCGGCCTGTGGTGTTCATGGGCCTGATTGAGTAGTCGCAGGCTCTCAGCCATCTCTAGCTCGTCTCTGCTTGTTTCCCGTGATAACTGATGTGGATGTGTCGGAGTCGGAGCCAAAGACGTGCCTCCGCTTCCAGGAGGGTGTGCCATAGGGCAGCGCTTGATTGATCCAAGATGCGTGTCTCAAGAAGGTGGGTTCAAGGTTGTAGTGATACACTGTTGCCTAAATTTCGCAGATAGAATCCTCCAATCCGGGGATTTGCAAATTCTCGATCCAAATAGATGTCCGGACTTGGCTATCGGCTTGATCTGATACCCGATGAAAGTGTAGGTCAATCTGGAGCAGGCGCTAACGTGACTTGGTGTGATATGCGGGTCTTCGGGCCTTTGTACACAATGTTTGGGAGGTGTGGCACACGGATGGCTGGCAAACAACTTTAAGAAGGACGGGTCTAGCAAGGGAGGATATCAGGTGGGTTCGGGATCTCCGTCGTCATAATTCTGCGCAAGGTGCCTACTGGGTCTGGCGATGCTGGTGCGGTACAAGCTGGAATTCTTAGGCGGTGAATGGGAGGCGGTGGCCAATCAAGGCTTTGCTATTCTAAGCCGAGATTTAGCGCACCAACCCTGAAAGCACGTCCACGGCGACTATAGGCAACAGACGGGTTCAGAAGCAGTGAAGACGATTCGACTTTGGCTTTACACATGCGCGTGCTTGCATGCGGAGCCAACCATCAGTCAGGTACATGCATTCTAAGATGCAGGCCGGGCGCCCTTATCTCCGATACATATGCTCGGCGGCAAGAAAAAGGAAAACTCGGCTCTATCACTTTTGGACTCCACTTGAGCCTTGCAATAGACCAGCTGTCAGCGGATCAAGATCCGGCTCGCCTACGACTAGCGATTTGTAATGGTTGCTGCTCCGCACGCCACTGATGCATAGCTGGCACCAATCACAAGGGGTTGAGATGATACAACCAACATTGCGTCAACGTTACTATCGCAGCAACAGCAGCATCAGACTAGATCTGGACAATTGCTCAACGCAGTCCTTTCCGAAACGATACACTAGCAGCAATGCAAGTACCGGTAGTCTGTCCTCGCTTCATGCACTGCGGACACTAGACAGACAAGCGAACACGTGTGACGACTACAGCCTGGTTTGAATCAGATAACCTATCATACATCGATTCTTTCCAAGACGTTCTCCACCCGTGTAACCAGAACCTCGATGTGATCACCGGACCAACCAACGAAATCCAAAAAGACATACTCAAACCACCTTGTTAAAATCCGTAGACGTAACTGTGGGCAACTCCAATCCGTAACATGCGATACTTGGTTGAGTACATAGAAAGCGCACGACGGTCTTATGCCGAGGTCCAAAAACCAGGCAAGCGTTCTTGTATGAGGAATCCTCTACCGCCATCCTCTTGTCTACAGATTGCGAACTTAGACTTGTTCGGCACCCCAGCCAGCGTCGGCGTCGCTGCAACGTCGTTAGTACCACACGCAGAATGTTTTCAAGAAGTATGGAGAACTTACCGCATGTTCGCTGGGGGCTCAATAGAAGGAATGAACTCCAGAGCAGCGTAGCCCACACCAATTATGCCGACAATGGTGCCTGGCACAATGCGGAACCAGCGCTCACCCACGATGACCGAACCGATGAAGATGTAGAAGATGCCGCGGCCGAGGAAAGAGAACATGAAAGAGGCATAGCGTGCCACTTGCTGGGGAATCTGGAACTCGAGTAGAGCGGTTCCTGTTGTTTGTCAGCAACATGTGGTAATACAAGACCGCTGAACGCACCAAGACCGAATATTATCAGGTATACACCGAGAATGATGTGAGAGCTAGGCACTGTCAGCGCTTGCCTATGCAACGTAGTCTGATGTTTTGTATAGCGCTGCCAGCTCGAGCTTGCACAACCGCTGTTATGCAACGCTCCAAGCTCGCGTACTGTTTGTGCGCCCTCATAAGATGCGAGCGCGTGCCGAGACGTGTGTGGACTAAGCTCGCGACAGTCCTCAGGATTATGCAACCCGCCTATGTCCTCAAAGCCCACACGCGCTCATTACCGCTCGCCTGTCAAGGCATGGAGTGCCGTCTAATTGTTTTACGAACTCGAACGCCGACGCGACGGGATCGGGGTGACGCTGGATGCGCCAGGTAGACTCACAAGTCGTTGAACGGGAACAACTTCGCGATACCACCAAGGACCACGAATACCGCAACGGCGAAATTCACCATGCGACTACACAATCGTAAATTAGCTCCTACTCTCAACACCTCCGAGTGCTCAATGCCTCTGTCGGAAGCCGCTGCCTAATTGCAGACAGCTCCCCACAGCTCCAGCTGTACTCACAAGATGTCTGAGAAATCCATGGCGGACGATTGACCGGCGAGGTGTGGGAACCGCACTTTGACGACTTCGCGCAACGGGCTGGGGAGGGGACGGATGGGATGAGATGGAAAATGGAGCTTGTTAGGACAGGGCTCGGGAGTATGGTTGGGGTTGCGCAACGTCGGGCCTGCGACGAGACGTTGCAAGGTAACAACGGCCAAGCTCCCGCGCTAAACGTCATACCTGGTTTCATTGGTTGCTGCGCCATCAAAGGGGTTTCCTCATCCCATGCTCATCTTCATCTCCATCTTCAACACCGGCTTGACTTTCGTCACCTGGAGCAGCGCCGCTCTTCTCAGACCTGTATCGCTCTTGACCCTCGCTCAGTTGTTGCGATGCGGACTAGCCGAAGCACAGATGCGTTTCTACACGAAGCAGCACCAGCACCACAACAGAAGAGATTGACGGTTGCCTGAACCGACGCAGCCTTTTCGTATACTTTAGGTCATTGGCTACCACTATGCCAGCAGAAACCGAGGGGACCACCGTATCCATACTGATAAGCCGAGCAGTTTGCTGCTGTACTTCTACCACATCGCTATGCTTCCATGATATATACACTACCAACGGCTTATCCTTTCACATACGACCATAGGACACTGAAAATTAGGCTTCCCGTCCGCTCAGCCATATACAAGCAGTGTACCGGCGGATTAGTAGTTAGGTGGGTGACCACTAGCGAATCCCCGCTGTTGTATGTTTTTGTTTTTGTTCATCTGCTCCACCCTCCTTACCTTTTTGCAGTCCTTCGTACCATGTGCTCTTTTTTGTCGTATGTACCGTATGAGCTTCGTCACGATGGTTATCGTGTGCGATGCTTTGTTCTCATCGTGTTGACATCACTAGGGCTTGTTCGTCCAACGTGTTTTGTTAGGGAAGAACGAGAGCGAGAACCGTGAGAACGTGCCTTACAAGCTAAGACATTCCCAACAACCAGGACGCATGAGTGCCCCGAACCTGGCGTATCTAGTGGTATGGCGATCATCAGGTTCCTGTCGCCCATGTCTCTTGCATCCACATGTCAGTTAACAATTATGATGACGGTAGCCAGGCTTAGTCCCCGTCGCAATACCATCAGGTTGATGAATAGTAATCGGGCCCTAGCTGACAGTGCCCTACCGTTGTCGAAAGGAAGCTAGACACGAGCCGACCAATGACGAGCCGTCGTTTCCAGCTCCAGATCTGTTAGACATTCGATTGCTACAGTGCGTCATGACACTAGCTCGGTCGATCGCAAGATACAGTTTGACACTGTACCTGGTGGATTATTGGAATGCTTGTGGTATACATGTTTCTGCTGGAGCAACAAGGAACCCATAGTGGGCTATGAGCGGGTATCTGCAAGAAACCAATCGTAGCTACTTGATGGCTGCCAGAGACAACAGCACTGCTCAACCCAAATACAGTGAACTTACGGCCGGGTGGGAGGAAGAGAGCAGGAAATCCCCAAGCAGACAAAGACCCAGTCCAGAGCTCTCACCTTGACCCTGAACTTAGAGCTTCGGAGCATACGGAGTACACGGAGCCAACGAGAGCATAATCATCATAGACGTCCTCTGCTGTAGAGTCGTGGTGGAAATATAATGCGTTGGTATCGCAGCTAATTGGTTCTCGGTCACGCTAGGCTAGTAGCAGGAACTACCTAGGTACCGTGGGGAGCTCGAACCGCCGGCCACCAAAGGGACGCGCCACATGGCATGGCAAGGTAACACCCTGATCTACACCGCATGTACAGGAGACTTGTATGCAAGGATAAGGGCGGGAACTATGAACGACCAGAGAGAGCGAGACGGTCTCTGTGAACGTTTCCAAATGCGTCGGGTACCACCTCCACCTCACCATAGGCTGTTTATTAATCCTTCTAGACTCGTCGTTAGTGTTCCTCCGATGATCCGCGATCAGTGAACTGGATTGTTGAAGCTCATCAAGCTACCTCTAGAGCAAAGGCTAGCGTGGGCGTTCCCAAGAATGTAGACATATCCTCCTCAGGCACGGATGTCAGCCCTTTCAGCACAGCAATCTTTTTGGCATACCCAGTATGTTATGCGAGTACTCGTAAATGTGAATGAGGTCCAAGGTCGATCTAGATGAGCCACTGCTGTCGATACGCCACAAGAAGGAGATGTTGAAGTGAAAGCTTAACATAACTAGGGGATCTTCAACAGTGCTTAGGGGTGCAGCTATTCTGGTCGGGAGATCTAAGGATAACGTGCAGATTAAGTTCTGCCCCATTCTAATACGCATCCTTGCAGCAAGCCACGATGCGGGTCCGGCCAACTCTACTAGGACTTCCGAGAGTATAAGACAGGCACGTATACCCAAGCCTGAAAAGTAGTAGTACTACTGGCCCCTCGTCCTCGCCCACACATCTCGCTGCACGACTCTAACTAGGATAAAGCGTGTCTTCAGACGTGACGAGACATGAGGGGACCGCTGTATCTACTACTCCTTCTTGCCACTTGGACCTCTACTGGACAGGCACAAGATGCCGACTCGCTCACGGTGATTGCCAAGCTTCCCAACTGCGCGGTATATTGGATCCGGTCTCGAGAAGATGGTATATGGCTGACGCTCATAGCAACTATGTTTGGTGACTGCTGTTGTCGACTCACCTTGCCAACTTACGAACTCAACATGTATATGTACCAACGTTAAACTTCAGGCTGCCGTTGAGAAATGCGTCGTCTCTTCGTGCACCGTGAAGGAGAGCTTGAGTAAGTCAGGAACTATTATCATCTACTGATCTACAGCTCACAACATTTGTTAGCGACCAAAAACGTTACTTCAACCTTCTGCCACGCGCCGGTCCGGTCGGAAACTATCCATCTGCGAGTCGCGAATATACTCATGTGCGTGGTAACAGTTTCCTGCGCCATCTTACGTCTCGTCTACCAAAGATACTTCACGGTTGCCGGGCTTGGCTGGGATGACTTTACCGTGGCCGCTACAGTACTCATATCTATACCCTCCGTAATAATAATCGACAGGGGCATGCTTACGAACGGGATCGGTGTCGATCTCTGGACTGTTCCTTTCGACCACCTCGAGAACTTCGTTCGATGGCTGTATACCATTACCCTACTATATTTTATCCAGTGTGCCATGGTCAAGATCTCGCTGATTCTATTTTTCTTGCGGATATTTCCAAGAAGGCGGACAGTGCAGCTCTTGTGGGGGACTATCGCCTTTATCGTAATATGGACCATATCTTTCTTCATTCCTGGCTCCTTCCCATGTCTGCCTGTAAGTAAACCTCATTCAAGTAGTGCGTCAGGCGCACGCTAACTCAGTGCTTCAAAATATAGCTTGCCGATTACTGGACAGCTTGGGATAAGGCCAAGCCGGCTAAGTGTCTCAACATATACGCGGTGATCTGGGTACACGCTATCATATGTATCGTGGTCGACATCTGGATGCTTTCCATCCCTCTATACGAGGTCTTTCACCTCCAGATGACATTGACAAAGAAGTTCAGCGTAGCTCTGATGTTCTTCGTTGGCACCTTGTCAGTACTCTTGCAACCTACACAACCCGGCTTTCAGCTAACATGTCCACAGTGTTACGATTGTATCCATCCTCCGCCTCAGATCGCTCATTGCTTTCGGCGGCACGAGCAATGTTACATGGGAGCAGACGAACGTGGTCTTATGGTCGGTCTACGAGATTAATGTCGGAATTATATGCGCATGCATGCCGGCTCTACGCTTAATCCTCATCCGCGCGTTTCCCACAGCCATCAGTACGATACAAGCGAGCACCCAGCGAAGCAGCAAGAACCATCACGGAAGTGGAAGTTGTGGCACAAAAGGAAATGTCGACACGATAGGGAGTGCCAAAAGTGGAAAAGAGAGCATGATCGTTGACCGAAGCACGATTACGTACACTAGGACATTTGCGGTGCGGCATGAGAACGACGACGAAGCTGAACTTGTACATATGGAGGAGTTCAGTGAAAAGACAATAAGAGCGCGAGAGGACAGCTACACTAGTGAGTTGAGCTTGTAGTAATGCAATAGATAGACTCAGCAGTTCGGTTTCGATGTATATCTTTAACTCTACGATCGACCTGCCTGTTTTCATGCTATCTCACTATCATTTATTGACATCCAACGCATAACGATTGATAGCTAATGAAAGTGTCCCACAAGGTCGTTTTCTTCGACGAACGAAAAGGTCATGTAAATCAGAGATAGAATAGAGACGACAAGGACCGTCACATTGACATCTAAATATACCCTGAAAGCATCCGTGGTTCCCACTCTCTCTGCATATCAGTCACATCCAATCTAAAGCCATCCCAATATCCCAATTTTCTTGTCCCAATGCCTGCCTGTAGAGGTGTTCCACGAATCGTTTCGACGCCATGAAGCCATTCTTCTCCGCAAACCGTTTAGCCCGTTCATGCTGACTTTCAGGAGGCTCTCCAACTTCCAGATCGAGGTTGGCATTGTACTGCATCAAAAGCGACATCGTATCAACATGACCCCACTCCGCTGCTGCTTCAAAGGCAGTTCGTCCATCCCCCTTGGCAGGTGGGTGATTTGGGTCGGCTCCACGCTCAAGCAGAAATGCAGCAATACCGCAGAATCCTTTCAGCGCAGCTAATTGCAAAGCAGTACCACCAGAGTGGATAGGAATTGTATCGATAATTGCACTCTGCTCGATGAGGCATTGAACAATATCGAAGCAACCCATTTCGGCGGCTCTTTGCAATGGCGTACGAAAGACTCCCATATTGCGTTTGTAATCCACCTCCGCTCCATGTTCTAACAAAAGCTTCACTAATGGAAGACTCTGCATGTCGATAGCAGCTAGTAAGGGTGTCACTCTTTGTATGTGACTCTCAATTCGTTTTAGCATCTTCTGACCATCGAAAGATACGTATGCGTTTGGATTGGCACCTCGCTTCAATAAAAACTGCACTATCTCGACGTCGTCCAGTATAATTGCTTCACCTAATGGGCTGAGAGGAGCTTCGTGCTCAGAGAATTCCTTGGTTGACGGCTCGATTGCATCGATGTTCACTGCTTCACACAAAACATCGATGATGGTGAAGTCTCGGGACCGGATGGCTTGCCGGAGTGCAGCAATGCCATAGTTTCGTTGGCCTGAATATCTTCCAGGCTCTGCTTCTCTCAAGAGAAAGCGAATTGTGGCAACAGTTGCCTGACGATTTGTGTAGGAAGTCAGTATATGTCGCACCTGTAGTTTGTGCAGGAAAATTACTTGCCTTCGTCTTCACTGCCCATACTAACGCTCCGGAATCGGCAGATCGGATACCCTGAGCCAAAAGATGTCTCATCCAATCCTCATGGTTGTGTTGGGCTGCGACAGCTAGAAGCGATGGAATTGTGCACCAGCTGTAGCGTACCAGGTCACCACCCCCACCAGCCAAGCTGCAATACGTGACCGGAGCTTTCACAACCGCCATGTCATTGTTCTGCATTTCGCATAAATGGAGCTCGTCAGCATCCATACCAATCTGCAACAACCATTCGCAAAGCTTGAAATTGCCTGTTGCAATGGCGTGAAAAGCGATAACCCGGAAGTATACTTGTTGCTCTTGTATCAAAAAATCGTTATTATCTCCAAAATGATCGAAGAACGGTAGCTCTGACCCTTGGAATAACATGGCTTCTAATGTACCAAAACCCCCGTTGTAGCATGCAGCATCTAGAGCAGATTTCCATACAGGATTTCCTATAAGAAGCGCACTGACTGCTGTAATTTGACCATGGTCCAATAGGACATAAAGCTCACCAGAGCTCCATGAACAAACATCTTTCATAGACCTGATGATACTGACAATCATATCAAATTCGCCGAGGCTGATCGCGAGTTTAACGAAGTTCTTCATATATACCGATGAAAGCTTGTGGTCTTGTAGTAGCTGGTATGCGAGCACTAGGTTCTTCTCCTTGACAGCGCCAGCGAACTGTTCATGATATGTAGGGACATGGGGAGGCTTCTCGAAACTTCTTGCAACAGGCTGTTGTGCTCCCGAACGATATGCCGTTGAGGCCGTTGCCTTCAAGCCTTGTTCCAAGTTTCCTCCTACTGCTGTCGAGTACTGCGCCAACATTAAGGATGTTGCCAGATCCCAGTCTGCGTTATCAAATGCCTGTATGATCAAATCGTTCGTGGCTGTGTTGCCCATGCAAGTCTCTTCGCTATTGAGGCGGTAACCTAGTAGACTGAACGCTCTCAAGATCATTTTGGCAGCTTCTTCTTTTTTGTTGACAATAGCAGTCTTCAATCCTTCGAGAACTACTGTCCTAAATTTTGGATCTCCTCGAGGTAGTTGGCGCTGGCAGTCTGAAAAGACGTATTGTAGGACATTTTCGATCGGGGATGTCTTCGTCCAATCATAACTGGAACCAAGATAAAACTTCAGCAGGCCTATCTCTAGCCAAGCCATGATACCTCCGGTCGTATTCTCTACCAGCTTCTTGAGAGAAGCTACCAAGATAACGTCATATACAGCTCTGAGACAATCCCACTTGGGCCTGGCTCCTGCAGCGAGGGCGATACACATGAGCTCGATCGGTTTTGACTCGCCAAAACGTCCGATGGGCCATCTTGTGAAATACATTCTCGATTCAGGCATTGTAGATTCCATCCCATACAAGATGTAATCAATTAGTCCGTCAAGCTGCGATTGAGTTGCGCCTTGACACATGTGTGAGATAAGTGTTTTTGCAACGGCGAAGTGATCTGCATCCCGTGCATAATCAAGTGGGTAGGTTGGTTTTGACCCGGTTGACCGATCTATCATGATTCGTTCGCGAGGATCAGCATTCAACTTCAGCATAGCCGAAACAAGATTCACGTCCCCAACCTTGACAGCAGTAGCAAACACCTGTTCTTTGAGAGCATCCAAGACCGGAACCGGGAGGACCTTCAGGCTTTGTAATACGACGTTCAGTGGAAGCGCCTTCAACAATGAATATGCGTCATTGGAAACATTATGGTCCACCGAGGATAGGTTGTTGGCTAGTGACGCGATTGCGCACAACGGAACTGATGTCTCGTGGCTTTCGTGCCGCGTATCTAGAAACGACCGATCCTTCGAGTAAAATAGTGCATCGAGCTGGGCCTTTGGAGGCTTCCTCCATTTCGTTAACTGCTCGGCAGCAGAGAGGTTCTGCGAGAACGAATCCAGGTCGACACTCCGCATCCAAGAAAACGGGGCGCTCCACGAAGCAGCAAGGGTGGACGCGTTCGAACTGTAGCGATTAATCGAGATTGAGGGTATGGTAACCAGTTCAAGGCTAGCTTCGGTCTGAATGGAAGAGAGTGACGGGATTATAGCAGGAACTATTGTGGTCTGAAGACCGTTCGCGGCGTCAATATCCGGAGGGCGTGATCGTGGTCGTACGGTGATCTCTTTTGGAAGTTTGTAGGAGCCTAGACATCATAAGCGATATACAAAAAGATCAAAGTATGCACAAACCGCTTTGCCATGTGGTGTTTAGCGAGCTGCGTCGCGCTATCTCTTGTAGAATCCTCTTGTGGGGGATTTCGTGTCCCTTGAACAGCACTTCCACTTGTTCAAGGCGAATCGAGTTTCTCTTCATGTACCTTATGATGACTGTCCACTCAGGCCCAGTAAGGTTCTTTCGTAGTTGCCACTTCCTGAACTGCCTCTCATATTGTGATTTGCTTCGTTCAGTATTAGTGTTCATGGGTCTATATCGAGACGGCGCAAATACCTTGCAACAAAAGCGTAATGCTCTCTCATATGCGCGTCAATCGCACTGAGCGATTTCCCCCAATACAAGCTCTCGATCCTTGCACGATGGTGTTCCCATGTTTTCTCATCGATGTTGTCGGTCTTGGCAGTGTTACTCATTCTGTACGACGAGGCATAAAATCAAAGTAAAAAGAGTGGGAAGTGAGAAGTACGCGGAGGATTAGGCTGAGCATTTTGGAGCATACCCAGGTATTTTAACGATCAGTCTTGGGTCTGAAACGCCGCCTGACGCGTACTGCACATGCAAGCAGCGTTCCTCGTGTGCACCAATGACACGGCTTTGGTCTTCTTGCATTTGCCAGCCGTTGGATAGCCGGCCAATCATGCAAAATCTGACTGCAGCGAGATTTTGTAAATGGCGCAACAAGCCATTGGTAGATTGACCAATCATGCAAAACCTGTGGTAGCCTTAGAGTACGGAATACATTGCGCAACAAAATCTTGTAGTCTCTGACGTGACGGGTGCGGTTCGAATTGGTTAGCGCAAGATTTTGCAAAAGTGACCCCGTTCTCATACCAGACTGGAAGAGGGCGGAGTCAACATGCCCCAATCATGCAAAACCTGTCAAACTGATTGTCGCAGGTCCTACAGAGGCTCCCAAGGCAGATTCTGCTTTTGAAAATGTGATAAAATCCTAGCAGAGGTCGCGCTCCTAGTTCAATGTCACAGCCAGAAGCCCTCTTGTACACTACGCACTGATCATACCAACCTCGCTATGTCTTCCTGGTCGATAGAAGCAATTATAGCTTTTGTGACCCTCCTAGCCACCTGTATTCCCATCTTGGTATTGTTGTTGCGCAACTTCATTCCGCACCGTCGAGTTGTCCAGTCTGAAGCCGGTATGTCCTTCAGTCCTCTCAGATTCAGGCCACTGACAAACGCCAGATGTCGAACTTGGTAACAAGGGAAATGTTCATGGCCACATCGCCGCCCCGGTCAAGTTTGGGATAAGCAAAAATCGCCCACGGTAGGTGTTGGGATGATACCGTACTATCTCGGTTTTGATGTCTGACGAGCGTTTGGGTTAGTTCAAAGACTCTTTGATTAAATATGTCATTAGAGCTGTCGAGCATTCATTAGTTGCTGTAAAGTAAAGCGGTGCGTGGACTGTATGACGGTCATGAATGCGGCCAATGTACGAGGGAAAGGAATCCTTGGTGCTAGGGTGTTCGGTAGAGTGATAGCATCCAAATGTTTCGTCGCGTCGAGTGGCAGTGTGCTAGCCTCGCAATATAGTCAGGCATGTCATTCGATTTCCTCCAATCCTTGTTACAAACTCCAGACGCCCAAGCTTGTTGACAGAATTAACTTCAAAGCGTTCTCATGCGCCTTCTGTTCTTTAAAGGAAATAGTCCGCCACTGGCTTCTTTGCTGGCATGCCTCGTGAGTCCTGTGGAGCGGCTTCGAATACCCGGTATCGCCGTCCCGGCCCGTCTCTATTCTTCTGAAAATTGTCGTTGAGTACAGAACTCAATCTCCTCTCGCCGTTGGGTCCAGCATTCGAGCCTAACACCCAGCCTCCACCACCACCCGCTCTATCTCCGTTCGACCTCCGTTGGAAACCGGCGTTTGATCCGTCTTCGCCGAGCTCCAAAATGGCAGCTACGTTACCGCAACGGTAACAGTAGTTTGGCGCTGACCACACAGTAACAATTGTTGAGTCGAACATCTCCTTAAATCCTTCCATAACCAATTGATGAGCTCTAGCAATGAGACTGAGGTCGTTTTTGTGGTTGAAAGTCTTGACGATGTCGGCCCCGAATAGAAATCCTGCACCACGCGGCGACAAGCCCCATCCGTCAATCTCGTCGGGATCAGACCATAGGAGGTCGCACATAGCTCCTTCGTGGGGCACCTCCTGCTTCCTGTCCAACAGACGGATCTTGTCCACTGAGTCAACGAGAGGTGATAGACCTCCGTGTACGCATAGAATGGCTCCTGTATCGTTCCGAGCCGAGCCGTTGGCGGAGGAAGTTGCGCCAGTTCCTGCAGGGCCAACACGTCCAGGTGTTGGAGCGACAGGGGATGAAGAGCCCATGTTTGCGCTTACTTGTGATGCGGCGCTTGATTGGGAGTCTGAGTTGCGTGCGTAGCGGTACATAACCTCGCCGTTAGCGTTGAGCGTTTCGATCTCAATGTCTTGATCGATGTCTGGCATGTTTTCAGCGTTGCTAGACTCGGCTATGGGACCATCGGTGGCTTGGAGAGAAGTCGCAGCGCCTTGGACGAGAGCGCCGAGGGCTAGGTAATCGAAGACTTCGCAGCAATACCTGTTCTTGTTAGTGTTGCGCTCTACTAAACCAGCTGGGTAATGGTCATTACCTCCATACGTTCGCGCTGCCGTACTTCCTCAAACACTCATCGTAGAACCCGTATACAGTTGTAATCTGCCGAGACTCGTGGTTGCCTCTGATGAGCGTTATCCGGTCTGGGTATCGGACTTTGAGGCATAGAAGTAGGAGGAAAGATTCGAGCGAGTAGAAACCACGGTCAACGAAGTCGCCTACACAGAGTCAGCACAAAATAATGTGGCGGGATCCTGTCGGCTTACCCATGAAAAGGTAATTTGTATCTGGTACATCTCCACCAACTCGGAAGAGCTCCATGAGGTCGTGGAATTGACCATGGATATCACCGCAGATCTAAGAAAGGACGTATAATCAGCTATGTTCACGAATATAACAATACCGTGCCTACCGTCACTGGCGCATCCACTCCAACCACGTTGCCCTCCTCGATCAACAGCTCGCGTGCCTTGTAACATAGCTCTCGGACTTGATTCTCGGGAATCGGACGACATGCGCGGAGCTGCTGGATCGCCCTGCGATCATTGTCAGCCCTGTGTATCGCATGTATAATAGTAGGCTGAGTGGGTAGCCGTACTTGTCAAGGTCGCTACCACCGGCACTCATGGCGATGGCTATGCGCTACACGCCCGCGCGGGGCTTTTCGGGATGGATAAAGGTTTGTTTTTCTATCACGTGCGCAACAGTTTCGCAGTAGCAGAAGCTGTTCGTAATTGAAGATTCTGGTGGGCGCGAATAGTATAGACGGTGGCGGTACGCGTATGGCGCGTTATGGATGCAATGACGGCGCGAATCGTACGATTACGTGATGGTTGTGTATGACTGTCAAGTGAAGATAGCGATTGTAATATGACGGTAGCCGTTTGGTGGGTTATCAAGTCAAAGTGGTGGGCTGGTGAAGTCGAGGACGAGAGAGATCCACAGCGGGCATGCCGAACGCGCAGGGATCTTCGTTAAGCCGTTCAGCTAGCTCGACCCTCTATGTTCACTCCACCAGAACACCATCACCGCCGACAACCCCGCTTCCCCACCATCCACACCTGCTTGAGGCATCTCAATTGGCACAGTATGCTCTTGGCGATCATTGGAATTACATCTACCAGCTATTGACGACTCCTCAGGTCCAGTGATGCCTCCGCAATCCGCTCTCTAATTTTTACACTCACACACATAAAATGCCTCCGCACCTCCACCCGCGGTCGCGCATGACGACTTCGCTCTTTGGAACGACCCTCATGGTTTCATTCCTCGTCGTCGCCGCTCCACATCTGATACCCTGCCCAGTCGACCCTCGAACGCTCGCCGATTCCCCAGACCCCACAGGAGAGAACAGGCGGAGAAGGAGACGGAGAATATCAGAAGACGAGAGCTGTAATGAAGGCATGAGTTTGGAGCGGAGGAGGCAGCGCCTATTGGAAGAGAAGTTGGCTGCCAAGAGGGAGTGCCCAGTGCCGAAGCCTGGTGGTCTGATCGGGCAGGTACTGGGTGTGCAAGACGAGGAGAGCAAGGAGGAGCAACAATTGTCGATCGTACAAAGGGTCGAGAGGGTCGTCTGCAGACCGTGGGGAAAGAACGACAATCAATAACAGGAGACGTGCGGAACAATTCAACGAAATAGACATGCCGCTGCTGGACATATTCACAGACATGGGGTACAAAACTCACGCCAGTGCGACCACTGCATCTAAGGATCTGCACATATATAGTGGCACTAGAAAGAGAACCGCGATAGACTGTATATAAGAAAGGACCAAGTCCTGATCGAACATCTCAACACCGCTTCTATCCGTGTACAGATCAGTCGCAGCGACTTTTCAGACCCCATGAGAACATACACTAGTTTACGCCAATTCTTCTGGAGGGTATGGCGCTATACTACGCGCCTCGACCCTGAAGCCCAGCACTGTTCGGAGATTTGCCTAGTACGTAACAAAAGAACGTGACCGCGTGTCGCGTAGCGTGAACGCACTACGTCATGAACCTCACCAGCCACCGCGTTTTGTCGTCAACACTTCCGGACTCTGAACTCGACACCCGCTTAGTAGATGTCATTCCATGATTAAGTGCGTGATCAAAATGCCCTCTGAGCCCCTCACAAAATCTCAGCGGATGGCCTACCGCATCGGACGCGGCGAAACCGGTGTCCTGACATTCGAGCCCTACAAGTCCGAGATCCTTCCTTTATGGCGTTTCAAAACACCTGCTATCGCTCGCAAGTCTTCTTCCGACATCTACAGCAAATTTCTAGAATATGACAAGAACGACGACTTCATTGGCATGGACATGTCTCGCAAATTCTTGCAGATGGGCATGACTAGGGCAAAGAGATATGCAAACCATGCCGGGGGAAGAAAGTATGATAAAAAGACTGGGGAGCTATTGGAGAAGAGCAAGGGTCATGAGGGGCAGGAGGAGAAATTGGAGGCCAGTGGTATCTTCAGAGAGGTTTGGGAGAAGGCTAAGCTGCATAATGGGTATGTGGAGAAGAAGGAGAGGTTCATGAAGGAGCAGAAAGAGTGGGACAAGGAGAAAAAGAAGGAAGCGAAGACGGAAGCCAAGGTGGAGATCAAGACAGAGGTCAAGGAGGAGGCCGAGGAGGAGTGAGACTTACTAGGACAGTTGAGACCTATAAAGTCTTCTACGCATCTGACCCGCCGAGGGAGGGAAAGGGAGTTCGAACATTTTAAGCTTCGGACTTGGGTCCCTCGCCTCTTTCCACATCTGCTGCAGGCTTGCACCAATTGTGAATAGAGAGGGCTGGTACGAAGCTGTGTCGCGTTTAACGCACGGTTGAGCGCTTGCTCCCAACACGATCTAAGGATGAAGCACAAGCGTCGTATCACTGGACCAAACGCTCTCCAGTATCCTGTTGGATGGAGCAACAAGCATCCGAATACAGATGAAAGAGAGAACAAAAGACCATGTAAGCGATGTTACAAAAAGCTCGATACTGGTCAAACTAGACAATGCTCGATATCCACAAAAGAAAGAGACGATGACGAGATCGACAGGATACAATGCGGGTAACTTTATGCATGGTAGATCGTAGTAGCTCTAAGACGAGAATGAAATCATCAAGAGACGTCATATGACTACATACCTGCATGTTGAGGAGTACTTTTTCTATAACATCAACAGGGATAGCAATGTAGCTGCCGGTCTGCTGGGAGGCAAATCGCTTCATCGTCTTTGTTCGCTCTTCCTTGCGCTCTTTCCTCAGTCGGCTTTCCTACGTTTCACCTGTGGGATTTCAAAGTTCGGATTCGCGCTCATCTCTCCCTCCTCTTTCGCGTAAGTCTTCTCCACGTCCCACTTGATCAGTCCGCCCTTCTCGGACAACTTGATCGCCTGTCCCCTGTCTTCCATACTCATCGTGCAGACATCTTTATGCACAGCCCAGTCCCCTTTCTGGCAGACATCCGAGCAATAAGTCGACGTACCGCACCTTCCACATCTCTGTAGCGAAACACCTGTCTTCTTGCAAGCCGTACAGCTCGAGAGGTCAAGAGACGAATAAAGCCAATGCGGGCTCATCGGTATTCCGTCACCCCAAACATCCATGGGCGCATACTCGACAAAGAACCTATGTTTCATCTTCTTCCCCGTCTCCCATCTCTTTTCCCTTATTATCTTTTCCGCGAACTCACAGCCTAGCTTCTCAATCTCGTCAGGATCCGTAACGTCTTTTTCACCTAGCATGCTCTCTTTGGGATTTGGTATCCACTTCCCTCTGTTTTCGCCCTCTAAAACAATGTTGTAGGTAAGCATTAATGTCCAGTTATCGCCGCTGCTATCCAGACTGCCGAAAGTGATTTGGTTGCCTATGCGACCAATTTCAATTTTTGAGCCGTCTGGCGTACCTTCTGCAATGCTCAGCGTCCATGTTAGGGAAAACCAGGCATCCAGATCTAAGAAAGCTGCCAAAGCGTTTGGGTGCCATCTGTAGAGAACTGTCGCTAGACCGATTGCTGGAGTTATGATTTCGGAAGCTTCTGGTGTGAGAGGGGAAGGGTCGATAACACTGAGAAGGGACCCATTGAGGCGTAGTGCGGCATCGGGGTAGTCGGGTAGCCTGAAATCGGATAGCGAAGTGATTTGAGAATCCATGGTTTGGGATGTGTGATGTGCTGCACCGAGCGAGCGAATTGGAAAGTGCAAAGGGTATGTAAGTGGGGCTACTGCTTAGATTCTCATTGGTCGGACTAGCATATCAAGAGCAGGCTTCGGTCAAATATAAGTTGTGTCAGAAAGACACAGTATAGAGAAACGGGGTGAAGATAAAATTTTGATATTCTATTGATATGAGTTTTGAGATTTTACTTTTATTCGTTCATGTAGCTTTGCACTCGGCTATACATGTTTGATTTGAACATTCCATGCTCTTAGTTGCCTCCATGTCCTTGTAGCGAATGCGGCTTAGGCCCTTGCTGTACTGGTACGCTGTCCATGGGTCCAGCATACCTCAGGAGGCCAACGTCTGAGCTAGTCATGGTGTTCTTGTACTTCTGGCCGCCGCCAAACTCGAACAAGAAGCTCATGGGGAAGCCAACATCGAAGGGAACAGCAGAGTCGATATCATCAATCTCCTCCTCACTTAGCTCGATTTCAAGCGCCTCGATATTGCCCTTGAGATGATCGATCTTGCGGCCGCCAACAATCGGGTACACGAAGGGGTACTTGTGTCGTACGTATGCCAGCGCAATGCTAGTGATCTGGGTCTTCTTCTGGTTGGCAACACCCTCTAGCTTCTTAGAGATTGCGACATGCTTCTCAGATGGGGGACCAAAGTTGCGGCCTTGCTCGTTGTTCTTGCGCTTCTCTTCGGATGTAAAGTTACCACCACCAAGAGCACCCCATGGGCAGAGCGCCATGCCTTCTTCGCGTGCCATTGGAATGATCTCGCGTTCGAAATCACGTTCAGCTGCGGACCAACGTCCTTGGTAGACGCTGAAGCCGCGCAGGCCGTGGTTACGGGCGTCTAGTACCGTCAGTTCAGACCCTGTATACTTTCACGAGGTGGCACTTACATTCGTTCGCCTTGCTGACGACCCAAGCAGGTGTGTCACTGATTCCAAGGTATAGAACCTTTCCGGAGTTGACGACGGCGTTGAGGGATTGCATCAATTCTGGGATAGACGTTGTAAAGTCCCACCAGTGCACGTACAGCAGGTCGATGTAATCAGTCTGAAGCTTCTTGAGGGATGCCTCGAGCGAAACGCGGAGGGACTTTGTGCTGTTACCAGCATAGTTGATACGTTGGCGAGGAGAGTTGTTTGGATCGGGGAAGCAAGTGGTGAACTTGGTGGCTACGACCATCTCGTGTCGTACGCCTCGCTCCTTCATCCACTCACCGATCCACGTCTCGGACTCCTCGTTCTGGTAGTTGTTTGCGCTGTTTTAGTGTCAGCTTCAGTAGTGGAGCGTTGTTGTTTTCATGTGAAACACTGCAGTAGCATTGGCGCGGGGAAAGTACAAGGACTTACGTGTCGATGAAGTTACCACCTTGTTGGTGGAAGAAATCTAGGATCTCGAACACGGTCTTCTTGTCACACTTGCCCATCATCTCTTCCCACGCATCACCAAAGTTCATGGCTCCCAAGCAAAGAGGAGAAACGCGAACTCCGGCAGTAGGCGACATGACGCGGTGGAAGTCCAGGAGGGACGCCGCCTTGGGCGCATCACCGAATGGAGAAGGCATATTGAATCTGGGTTCTGTAGAATTCTGGAAGAAGATGTAAAATTGAGAGGCTAGATGTTAAAGTGCTCTTTGTGAGGCGATTAGTGTAGGACGGAACCTCTTCTTATATCAATGGAGCTCTACATGGGCATGACGTATTAGGCTAGAGTACCTCAGGGTCCATGGTCGCTGGTCGCTTCCTACCTCTATTACGTCCAGGTTGGAAACTTCCGAAGGTTTTCGGGGCCGATCGCTGTCGGATGGCGTTAAGCGGAGGGGTAACATCTTGCACGTTTGATGTGGAGAGCTTTGATCATGGTAGATGTTATCTCCGCTAAGCTCCGAGTATGTGTCGTCGAACTTGCTGTGTCGGACGAGTGCAAATTGTGCAATTTTGGTCATGTCTAGAAGTTCCGGAAAGCACCCGATAGGTGGAGTGAGCTTCGGCTGGACGTGACGATGATTGGTAGCGGACAAATATCTGGGGAGTTGATACCTAGGTGGTGTTGGCAGGTCAGCCATGTGCATGACGCCCCACCTTGCGATACCTCAAGTTGATGCTGTATCGTCAGAATCACATTTAGCTTCGTACTAATCTATGGCTTGGGTGGTCATTACTTCAGAAATGGACGGAAGACTCCACGTCAGAAAAAGGCCTCTGTTCAATACAGGTGGTGGAAATATCTGATCCATTCCCGGCTAAAGACAACCTTGGCCAGAGCTTGTAGAAGCTACTGCTACCAACAATACAGAATCCAACAGTAATGATGTACACGTGGACTTTTCAGGGTATCCGTACCATGCAAGACTCCATGCAAATGCAGCAAAATCAGAAACAACAACAACAATGGCGAGACTACATCTCCCTGCCCTTTAGTTCCTCTTCTTTTTCTTCTTCCTGTTCCGGCTCTTCTTTTTGGTATCTTCACTACCACCGACGTCGACTTCTGGTCCAATTGCGTCGAGGCGGATATTGCCATACTTCTGCCGTACCTCAAGCTCGAAGCTGTCCTTCTCCAACCTGAAGAGCGCCATAGTAGCGCGGGCGTCTTCGACTGAGCTATGCGCGCCGACTTGAATCTCCACGCCCAACAGCTTCTCTGCCAATAGCTTCAAACCTGGTGTGCGCCCTGGTATGGTGGCCAATTCTCTGAACTTTGAGAACTTGGATGTATCGCGAATGAAGCGCTTGTCATGCTTCAAGATGAGCACGTCGAGGTCATTCTTCACCGCGTGACCAACGAGTATGCGCCCGGTGAGAAGGATCTTAAGGTCGTTTCGTACTTCGTCGAAGGGTCGCGCGACGTCCTTGCGAAGATGCCTGGGCTCGATACCAGAGACATGTGTTCGATAGTCGGTGATTTCGATCTGTCGTGGTACCTGGACGTAGGAATCGTAGACCTGGTGACCGTGAAAGTTGACCAGAGACACTCTCGCTAGCGCAGAGTCGCGGTTGGGCTCTGGTCCTACTCCCACCATCTCGCAATCCAATGCGACGTATTTGCCGGGTAGCGCTACTTCTGACACGCCCTCATTCTCTACATCGGGGAAGTCGGGATGTGGTTCGAGGATTGACACTGCAGCTGCAGCGTCTCGCGGGTCGCTCAGAAGAGGCGTCTTCTTGAGAGAGGGCATCGAGACGCTCTTAGAGAGGGATTTGGTATCATGCTGCTTGACTGAAGCGCCCACAGACGTAGGCTCTTCCATCTTCTGTCGCTTTCTCGAGGGCAGGGGTTTGCGCGGTGTGTTCTTCTGTGAGCCGTTTACAGACTTTGCTGGTTCATCTCCGTGCTTCCCATTGGCGTGCTGTGGTCGCTTGCGCTTGAGTGAAGACGGCTTCTCTTCTTCCAACTTCTTGTTCTTCAGAGGTGTTGCCGGCGTTGAGGGCTTCAGGCGCTGCTGCAGTATCTTCCAGTTGCTGGACAGAGTGCCGAGATCGATTGGAGCCATTTTGTCGTTACCTGCGCGGCATAGCGGTGTGAGGGTCGTCCTGTCAGTGGTTGTCGAGAATGTTGGCCGTTTGACTTTCTCCGCTCAGTCCCCGCGAGCAAAAGTTCAAACGCGCGCTAGCACATTCCAGATGTCGGCTCGACGCGACGCAAAGGCCCGATCGGCAGGCGGCAACGTCGCGACACAGGACAGCACCCCCAACATCATCGCGACATCAAACTTCACAACGTGACCCAAAAACTGCAGTAGTCGAGGAACACGCAGCGCATCACCATGGCGCCTCGAGAGAACTCGCATGAGCCCTCCGGCACGCCGGCGCCGGTAGAAACTGGCTTTGCCACTCTTGCACAGCTGAGGTGAGTGCGACACTATGCGCAAAATCTGAACACGTATGCTGATGTATTGCGTGCAGAACCGGTGTGAAGGCATGGGTTGAGAAGGTACGTGAATGGCGTGATGCGCGACGCGAGCCCCAGCAGCATCCATCATCGGGATGGAAACACCAAGTCTTCTAAAACTCCAACTAACACCCCACAGGACGGCGAGAAGCGCAAAGCTGAAATACTGTCCATCCAAACACGGCAGGGCAGGCCCAAGTTTTATGTTCATTATGAGGAATTCAACAAACGTTTGGATGAATGGATCGAAGCCGAAAGGATAGATCTTTCGAGAGAAGTGGAGTGGCCTGCGCCTGAAAAAGCCGACAAGAAGAAGGGCACTACCGTCAAGACTGACAAAGCACCTTCAAAGTCTGATCAGAAGAATCTCAAGCGATCACGCAGCAAACTTGACCGCGAGATCTCTGGCACCCCAGAGTCGACGTCTAGCAACTTGCCAGGCAAAGCATCAAGACCATCTAAAGCAAGTGGAAAAGAAAATCAAGAGTTGATAGTGACAAGCGAAGTTACCGATGGCACGCCAAAACCCGAGGACGAGGAGATGGACCTCGTCGACGTGCAGGATGCCGCTGCAGCAGCAAAGGCTATGCCACCCCAGGACTACTCGAGAGAAGACGAAATCGAAAAGCTTCGTACATCAGGATCCATGACGCAGAACCAGACCGAAATCTCACGAGTGCGTAACTTGGAGAAGATTCAGATGGGCAAGTTCGAGGTCGAGCCTTGGTACTTCTCACCCTACCCAGTTGACTTTGTGGATTCAGATGTAGTCTACATCTGCGAGTTCTGTCTCTCTTACTACGGCGAAGTTACGCAGTTCGAGCGCCACCGCTCAAAGTGCCACCTCCTTCACCCCCCTGGCAACGAAATATACCGAGATGACTACGTATCCTTCTTCGAGATCGACGGGAGGCGGCAGCGAACATGGTGTCGCAATCTTTGTCTGCTTTCAAAACTCTTCTTAGATCACAAGACGCTCTATTACGATGTTGACCCTTTCTTGTTCTACTGCATGTGCACCCGCGACGAACACGGCTGCCATTTCGTAGGCTACTTCTCCAAAGAAAAGGAATCCGCAGAGGGCTACAACGTAGCCTGTATCCTTACGCTCCCTCAATACCAACGGAAAGGTTTCGGTAAACTGCTCATCGACTTTTCTTACCTCCTTTCCAAGCGTGAAAACAAGCTCGGGTCTCCAGAAAAGCCTTTGTCTGATTTGGGTCTTTTGGGATATCGTGCCTACTGGCAGGAGATTCTTGTCGACATACTCATGGAGCCTGGCCGTACAGAAGCAAATATCGAAGATCTGGGTGCTGCGACCGCAATGACCACGAATGATGTTCTACACACCCTGCAGAATCTGAACATGCTGCGATATAGCAAGAATCAGCATGTCGTCGTCCTTACAGATGCAGTTATTGCGCAGCGGGAGAGACAAAAGGCAAAGGAAAAGCTGAAAGGCAAGAGGAGCATCGATCCTGATCGCCTGATCTGGAAGCCACCCGTGTTCTCTGCAGCGAGTCGGACATGGAATTGGTAAAACTTTTGATCCTTTCACTTCTTTTGATCTCGTAATCATTGGTTTGGCGCGTGGCGTTGATAGTTTACTGCTTCATAGTATACCCAGACTCCTATTGACATTACCTTAGAGCGTCCAGCGCTTTCTCACGGCATTTCGTTCTCCCCTAGTAGTACGGCCCTTATCCCGTGCTGTCCAACCACTCAAAACACATCATTCTTATTGCTGCATCATCGAATCTCCATTCCAGCAGCACCTCTTTTTGCACATCCCCCCCAAACTCCGTCACCGCCTCATTAGGTTTCAACATGCCCCTCAACTCATCGACCACATCTCCTAATCGAATCCCGTTTCTTCGTTCGATCTTTACACAGCGCTGCTGCCATTCTCTCCTTGCTCCTCTTTGTAGTACATTGACGTACTCTTGATCCCACGCCGCCCCTTCCACACAATAAACCTCTACACTCCGCGTTACAGGCTTTGACAGGTACGCATCTATCACACTTCTCTCCCTGCTCACTTCCCTTTCACCCTCCCTAAACCACTCATCCAACTCTTCCGCACCTAACTTCGTCCTGACACAAATTCCCATGTCTCCCCTCGCTATCTCTTCCAAACCACCAACAAACTCGCACACATGCTTTCCCAGCCAAGGATGCAAGTATTGGCTCAGTGCAGAGAGAAGGTTACTGTAAGCACCTTCGTGCCAGAAGTAGTAGTCGTCTGAGATATCTAAAACGACCCCTGCATTCTGCCACAGCGTTGTTCGATGGACGATATCTTGGGCGAGAGATGAGATGGATTGAGGTAACTTCTTGAGTATGTGTGGTCTTGGAGTACTGGGATCATTACACACAGTGTCTGGTAGAGGAAAGTTGCGAGGATGGAGGTTGAGCCGGAGTGTTTCTTTCCAGTGTCTCGAGACTGAGGCGCAGGTACGAAGGTCTGTGGGTGGCAGGAAGGAGATGATTTCCATGAGCAATTCTGGGAGTAGAAAGATGCGATGCATATTGTGGTACCAGTGGTATCAATGGACTTGATCAGGGTATGACTTGGGCACGGAGTGAGGTTATATATGACTACTGGATTAGAAGATGGGCCGGAAGCAAGCTGAAACTCCTACTCCGCTACACAATCACCCTGGCTGCTTCGACTTCCCTACAGAAGTGGCAGTAGGCTATCTCACGTCAGCTGTACAATTGATGTCGTGATTAGAAGAGACATGTAACGTGATTCGTGGGATAAGGCGCAGGGCGGACACTTTCGGCATGTCGAAGTGCTTGGCGTGATTACTGATTACTCCCAATTTAAGAACAGACGACCAAGCTTTTGTAGTAGTCCTACGCCAACGCAGCCATCAACCCCGCAATACCACCCAACCCAATAGCCAGCGCCCGGAGCATGTTTAGCTTACCAAACTTGTCCAACAGCTCGCTCACTTCTTTATCTTCCGCTTCGCTACTGTTCTTCTCGGTCTTCTCTTGTGGTACGCTCAAGTCTTTCCATTGACTCACGTCATCCTTGCTATCGACAGATTCATCAGCGCTTCGCCCCTTCAATCCAGCTTTCTCTCGATACTCAGCAGATGCTGCACTTCGGCTCCCGCCCAGTTCCTCATTCTTCCTGATAAGGGCAAAGTTGGTTGGTATCATAAAACTGGTGATTGGTGCGATGCTGAAGGAAAGTACTGCGGCTACAAGGTAGAGTCCTGTCTTTCCCTTCACAGCATGCTGGAGCAATGACGATGTGGAGTTGAGGGATGAGGTGGGGAGGGCGCTGTAAGCGAGATAGACGAAGCCGGAGGCTGAAGTAATTGCCGCGGTTGGGAAGGTGTGAGAGCCCCGTGAGAAAAGCCAGCGTACCATGGGAAGAGAGCGAGATGCCGGTTGTGATTGTATCATGGGTATGTCGAAAAGGGACAATGCTGCGATGCCACCCGACGCCAGCAGCGCTGTGGATATGCTTATGATTTGTACGGTTTGTGTTGCTGACATGTTGTTGGGCTAGTGTGAAATTGGGAAATTGTTTTGGGGATATGGCAACAAACACCAAAAGAGATAAGAAGAATTCAAGAAAAGTAAAACTGTCTTCATATATACTAGAAGCGCTGATGTGGTCGTTTTGTTGGTGCACAAGCAACGCGTTCCGTGGACCCCGTAAGGAACGCGGTTATCGAGATGATGTCATGGCGTTTCTCGTATCAGACGAACATTTCGGTTGCGGCGTCCACTGACCCCGACATTGTCGCAAGATCGGTAACTCTACTCAGTTCGCTTGCGCACCTTGGGCAATGCGAACCAGCAAACCATCATGACGGCATACATACCAATTGCAACAGGGTGAAGCACCCAAGTACCTACGGGATTAGTTAGTCGATATTTGCGTCTCGGATAGTGGCAACTTACCAGAGGCTTGTGCGAGGACACCAGTTGTGAATGGAGCGACTGCACCGCCTGAACTTCCTGCACCGCCTATGAAGCCGATTGCAGTTGTTTGAACATGACGAGGCATGAGACGAGAAAAGATGGTCTGCGCACAAGGGTAGACAGGGCCCAACAACAAACCCAGCAAGCATACAGCGACCGCATTTCCAATCAAGTTCGGCGTCAACCATGCCAGAAGCTGAAGGCCTACTGTTCCAATTGTGAGAATGACGACGAATTTCTTCTCTCCTATTTTGGGTGCAGCATGAGTGAGTACAAAACGGCCAAGAGTGATTCCAGCCTATTGAAGAATTAGCATGTCTATTGCAGCATAAAGACGTTCTACATACCCAGAAGCCTGCTGTGACGTATCCAACCTTCGCAGGGTCCCCATTACGGTAGTTGATGAGGTACGAGATGAACCAGCCTGAGATGCTCACTTCGGCTCCTTGGTATGCGAAAATGAACAGTGCCCCGAATATGGTCACCTTGTTCTTCAAGGCGAGCTTTAAGTTCTTCAGCTTTGACGCGGCATTCTCTGCGGAAGTTTGCCTGCTGGTCGTGGCTTCCAAGAGGGTCTCCTCAGAGTCTTCCCTGTATGACCAGAAGGACCATGCGGCGAAGGCGATGCAGCAAAGTCGCAGCCCGACGCATATGAAGTAGAAGCGTGACCACAGGATTCCTTGCGAAACAATCGCTGTCCCGATGATAGGTGCTATTATTCCTCCGACGCCATAACTACCATGCGCCAGGCCAAGAATGACACTGGGTGGATGCGTATTCGCGCAGTACACGTTGTTGAGTGCTAGGTTGATAGCGGCACCAAATCCTAATAAGAAAAAGCTAGTGATGTTAGCAGTGCGTTGTTGACATCTTGGACCGCAGACTTACGATACGATGACGAGAGGATAAGGAGGCGTGCACACAAGGATAATATATGCAGATAGTTGTATCAACTCTGCGAATATCAACGTCTTTGCTCTTCCGAACTTTCCCAAAATTGAATTGGTGAAAAAGGCAGCAGAGATAAAACCGATGGCATTGCCGACAAAGACCAGAGACATGATCGAGTATGAGATGTGGTAGTACGACTCCATGTATGGGATCAAAGCGCCAACAACTGGTCAACAGTCAGTGTTTGTCCGCATTTGGTACCATGAAAATGGTGTGTAAGTTCAGATTCGCAATCCTCCATACCTGAATCGTTTATTCCGTTTGAGAAATAGATCATGCAGCAGCACAAGATCCTCCATTTGGTCATGGGCTCAGCGTTCCACATCCTCTCCCTGCCAACCGCATCTTCTCGAGTCGGTGTAGCCGGGCGACTCATCTCAAGCTCATTGGGAGTCTTGGGGGTTTGCGCACCCTTTGGCATATCAAATTCCGAGACTGAAGCCTGGCGACCATTGTCTGTATTGCGAGAAGCAAAGTCCGTGAGTTCAACTTCCGGCAATACACCTACATCACCAAGTGTTTGAGGTGCTTTGCTTTTGCTCTTTTGATATGTTGGTTCCGGGTTGGTAATGTTCGACACGGGTTGTATATCGAAGAACTTATGGAATGCAGACATGTTGTCGATACCCTCAATCTGCGGGGAGAGGATATCGGGCTGTGCGACTTGAAAACAATTGCTTTTCAATTGTAGAGTTCAGGCTGTAAAGAGTGTTGAAGATTTTCAAAAAGGTAGAGTCATAAATGAGAAGGTCTACCGAGCACTGATTGTATGAAAACTTTGTGCCCTTAAGCGGTAGTCCACGAAGTGCTCAACGAAAGCGACTAGCCAAATCAAAGGGCTGAGGGCGCAATCGCTGATAAATTGTAAAGCGCATAATTACCATATCACACCTGATAAAGAACCACCGGCTCCGACTTGGAGCCTATCACAGGCGACGGAGTACTTATCGTGTGGTCGCGCTGCAGCAGTGTGGAGATCGTGAACGGTCACCGAGTCGATCACGAAGCTCGTGAAACGTTGTGCAGCGAAACAGACGCGTCTACGACTGCAACCAGCTGTTCCAAGATGGTAACGGATCCGACAGTTGGAGAAGGACTGAGTCTAGAATTGAGGATGGAAAGCCGCTTTGCCTAGTCGGTCGCCAAAGTGCGAACTTTTGGAGGTCGGAGCGGTGAAAACTTCCCCGCGAGCGCGGCGAACCTTTCCTACTTGGAAATTTCCCAAGCACCCCTCCACTGCTGCACCACCACCATCGCAATCAGCAACCACCCCTCACCCTGCTTATCCAAGCTCTACTCCAACATGGCCCGTCCAAAGCGCAATGTGCTCGCCACCATAGACAGCACCATCACACCGCCTGACGCGCTGTCGCCAAACCACGTCATCGCGCGCATTACCAAAGCTGAGGGGAAGAACATTTATGCCGCCGAGCTACCAGATGGCAAGCCCGTACTTGCAGAGCTGGAAGCGAGGTTCAGATCGACAGTATGGATCAAGAGGGGTAGCTATGTGGTTGTAGACACTTCTGCGCTGGCAGATCGGGAGAACAAACTGGATGGAGAAATTGTCAATGTGGTTCGCGACGAGAAGGCCTGGAGGAAGATGGCGTACTGGTATGTTGCAACCGGGTATCATGTGATATGTGTACAGAGCGCTAATAACATAATATACAGGCCCAAGGAGTTCGTAAAGAAGTCCACCTATGTCGAGGATAGCGATGAAGAAGAATCAACCGTCGGAAAGATGCCGCCCACCGACTCAGACGAAGACTGAGCCTGCGATTGCACTCACTCAGCGTGCTCATGATCCTCCTCGATTATACCCTTCGTCACGCCTTCGTACTCTTTCCTCGTTCCCCACCATACGCCTGCGACCGTAATCGCCAGAACGCCCACAACCGTCGCCGAACTAGCCGGTGTACTTGGGTACACATTCCACGCCCACTCTTGCGCGCCCCATAATGCATATACCACGGCCGGATTGAAACCTGCTTTCCACAGCAGGAAGGGCGTGCTCCATGCAATGTAAGAGTAGAACTGGTAGTGCAGACTCCTCGCGCAGAGCAATCCAATCGTCATCGCGGTCAGCATTGTCGTCATGATGAAGTCGGGCGTAATCTTGCTAGACATGGTATCTTGGTCGCGTGGCTCAATGGCTGGAATACAAAGTTTGAGGAACTCGCGGACATTGCGCTTCGAAGGCTTGATCCAGCGGGTTCGCGCATACCAGACAAGGAGGCCAACATGGAGAGCGAGTAGGCCGATGGCGAAAGGCCGGGAGAGGAACGTTGATTCTGGGACGAAGCGCCAGTTCACGGTCCACTTGTAGAGGAAGGCACGGCTGAGTTCGAAAGCGCGAGCAAAGTAACTGGGTGCGCGCTTTCTGAAGGGATACCCAAACAGGACCTACAAACTGATCAATACCAATTGAGAAGTGATAGATATGGAAATGTGAAGATATACGTACCGAAATTTGCCCAATGATCATAGCCTGCGTTAATGCTTCTCTTCCGCCCAATTTCATCACCATCAAGATGCCCATCGCCGGCAATGGCAACAACAAGCTCATCTTGACATTCAGGCCCGTGCTATACAGCGCGCTTCCCAGATGCCATTGGTTGCGTTGGTAACAGTAGACAGCCAACCAAAAGAATAGTACAGCGAAACAATCGTTGAAGCATCGCAGCATGAAAATGCTATGCATACGCTTTGATAGAATCAGCAGCGGGAAGACGTAAGGTGGGACCTATCAAGACATTAGCATCAACCACAACACCTACAGCTCCCACCCAGCCTTGGCAAGCAATAGTTAGAACAGAAAAGTACTCACCCTAGCCTTCCTGTAACATTGGAAAACCACACCAAGCGTAAGCAGATACACTCCTGCGAAAATGTACTGCGCAAGGCCTATATCCCGCCCTTCATCCGTCCACTTGTACAGATGCTTGTAGATCCATACGTGCGCACCAGGGTACACAAGCGGACCTGTTGAGCCCGAAATGTTCTTGTAATCGCGCTCGCCTTTCAAATAGATAGATATCTGCTGCATATACGTCGTCCAGTCTATCTCTGTATCTGGAAAAATATCCTCGTTAGGACACGTGGTGGTTTATAAGTAAGACAGGAGAGCACGAACATGGTATCTTCTCGATTATCACGCCTGAAAGCGCCGCGTCTGCAATGAGCAAGAGAGGTGTCATCCATCTTGTGTGATCCGGATTGTAGGTTAGGTCTTTCGCGCGGGCGAGTAGTGACATGGCGGGCTGTTGTTGTACGCGGTTTTGAGGATGGCAAGTTCGCGGGTTGACGATGGTGTTATAGTTCGCGTCGCGTGTCACGTGGGAAGGAGGTTTGAAGTTTCAAGGATGATGGTTTCGCGCGACGTGTGTTTCAGGCATCGATTTCCTCTTGCGAGGCGTATGTAAATAGTGGTTTGATATGAGGTGGATGTGTTATTTTGGGGTCAGACGGCGATGCGCATGCATCTGTTTTATGCTTATAAGGGTAAGCGCGAGATTTTGGCTGTCAAGGATTTCTCCGTTCTTGTTACGATGATCTTTTTATGTTTAAAGTCCAACTCAAAATCTGTTTGCTTACTTTAGCATGTAATGATGTGATTGTTGTGTGTGGTTCATTCATTCTACTCGTGGTCGATAAGCCGCACATCACCGCTTTAGTACCTTCAACACTGACCGAACACTTTGAATGATCAGATAAATGGTTAAATTAAGTCTAGAATAAGGAATGTCTATCTTCAATGCGCTAATAAAAAATTTACAGTAAGAGAAGTTGATGCTTCTTATATGCTCGACCAACTATCGCTTAAGAGCTCTTGGGGAGAGTGACGAGGGTGATGTAGGCGTCGGCAACACCCTGGCAGACAAAGTCCTTAGGGCCGTTACCGCCAGCGCGGCAGTAGTTGGGAAGAGTGGCGGTAGCGACATAGGTGATGCTGGGAATATGTTAGTATATCTGAATCTGCGAAGTAATCGAAGGTACAAGGGTAACTTACTCGTCGCTAACCTTCTGCTTCAGGAGCAGACCGCTGCGGTCGCTGTCGAAAGAGAAGTCCATGAAGCTGTTCTCGCCACAGGAGTACCACTTGTGGTCCTCAAGCTTATCGGCCTGAGCAGAGCAGGTGAAGTCGAGGGTTCCTCCGTTGGTGGCCTTGATGTTGAAGCCGAGGCTGTTGTAGTAGGTTCCTTCCGGCTTGCGTCCGTAGAATTCGGAGATCTTCCAGACGTAGTCACCCTCAGTGGTGACAGGGCAGGATGCGGTGTCCTGGCGAGACTCGAGAGGAGCAGCAGCGGCAAGGCCAGCGGCGGCGAAGAGAGAGGCGATGGTGGTGAACTGCATTTTGATGAAGTTGATTTGAGGTTTGAGGTTGAAGAATAGAGTTTTGGTAGTTGAGTAGTTGTTGTTGGATGTGAAAGCTGTTGTTGGATGATGAGTTTAAGACAGGACACTTGCCTGGCATTATATATCATCGCATCTCGTATCTGGGGTATGCTACTGCTACCACGATCATCATGCCCGTCCTCTTCCAAGGTTCAATACGAGGCGATTGACATCAAGCGTCCCCCTTGGCCATGCCCACAAGAACACACCAGAGGGGTACACCATGAAAACCTTTCTGGAAACACGAGCATCGGCCCATGCCGACAGCGCCGGAAAGACACTACTGCCCCATTTTTGGAGCCTCAGAACCCTTGTTAACGGTGTCATGAGCCATTAGCGGCATCCGGGGTGACCGGATGAGGCGATAACACGTCCTATCCAGACAGCTGGTAAACCTAACGGCGCTAGAACAGTGCCAAATATACGAGATGTGACGTTTAGTAGGATGAATAGGGTCTGCGCAGTAGCATCGTGCGCTGGCCGATCGGCCGCACAAGAACTCGCTTCAGGACGCTAGCGACATGATGTCCTGGGCTACAGGTATCCTAGTTGCTGTTACGATGGATACGATGGTGAGAGGCGACTGCATTTTTTAGATTCGTATTGTTGCGGTACAGACTCCGATGCTGGGATAAGAACAACTGTAGCTTATCGGCACACTCGGAACGCGGCAAAGAGGTTATCCGTGCTGAGATGTAGAGTCTGAGTGCTGTGGATTCTAGGAAATATGGCAATGTCAATCATGACTTCAATTTCCTAGAGTTCCTGTCGGTCCGTTCATGAACTTCGAGCGGCCTCATCGCCCGCCGTCTGGGTGGCCCGAGTGCGATCAGTAATCTGGTTCTTTTCATGGAGCCTGAATAATTAGCATGAAGATCTTTCTTGGACGAAGGATCAAAATACGACTTCGCTTGGAAATGAACCGAGATGATGGAACTTTGAGCCGTGAGTGCATTGCATCATAGACGGTTGTGACGGGTGTGGCTGCCGATCACCTGAAGGCTCGTGTTCAAGGGTCCACGCTCAGAGAGCGGAGACTGCCATCGACACCATCACCACTAATGCCCGATCGGAGTTGTTCCGGCGGTACGCTATTTTTGCTATTTCTGGACCCGCGATCGAAGGCTTAGCCTTGAACGAGAACGAATACCATGCGTCCTACGCTACGAAGAGGCCCATCTAGCCTGGGGAAATACATGAGTGGCAACAGACGCTCCATGGTTGTGCCTACCGTGCACGAAGAAGTTCCAGATACACGCAGTGGTGATCTGAGGCCGAGCACAAACATTGTACGGTCACTTTCGGTCATTCACGAAGATCTTGTTATTGTATTTGCGGATTGACGGCACCCGCCATTTCCTCGGAACCTGACTGAATGGTTTGCTAATTTAATCGGAGCCTGACGGATCGATGTCTCTGCACTGGTATCTAATTAGCAATGACATTGGACGTGACATCGTATTGTCGACGCTGGCAACATTTGAGTGGAGCCATCGGAATGGTCGTCCATGACCTATCAGCGGTGGGGGTCTCGACTTCGACACTGCGGATTGGTCTTCGAATCTTCAGGAACAGCCGGAAGTATGGGGTGACAAGATGTGGGGATTCGTCGTAGGATATCTCGGCTCTGCCTAACTTGAACTACCCCAAGACGGCTGGGAGTGCAAAAGTTGCTAGACGCATACGGAGGTGTTGATGAGATAACGGCAGTCCACATATTGGTCATAGCGAGAGGCAAGAGCAGGAGCTAACAGGAAAGGGTCAGAGGATTGGATTTTCTGTGACAGACGAGAAACTTTCATGCGCTGTTCGTGTGAAAAGGATGTGCACTAATCACAATCTGAGACATGAGATCTAGTTGCCAGCATGCAAGCTACAGCCAGGTGCAAGTGGGTTTGCAGAGTTACCTACGTCTACAGCAAGAATAGAGCCACCAACGAGATCGCAGTGTAGTGGATGCGGAAAACGTTACGAAGACAGGAAACGTACAACAACCGGTACCCATCCTGGTACGATGCCTTACCGGTCGGACCAAAACGCTCAAACGCTCATTCAAGCATCCCAATGGCAACATGTCTACCCTGCAGCGATGAGAGTGACATTGACTACAGCTATAGCGAGAACGATATCGATATGAAGACGCAATCTTCAAAGACGAACGAAGTGACGAGAACCCCGATAATACTTCAATTAGTAATTCAGAAAGCGACTCTGGTGAAATCGTGGCTACGATACCGATGCATTGTGCAATTGTTTATTTCTTAAGAGTGCATCAGCAAGAAGAACTACAGCCGTCCTGTTGAACAGCACAGTCAATCATGCGTGTACATTTGAGTTATTCTATATCTTACTTTCTTTAAAGCCCAGCAGTAGAAGCCACGCACAGGCATTAATGGTATGATAACGATATCGATGCATGATGCGAATGTGTACCTCCCTAGCAGCACGGCTTCACCGAGTGCCCACCTCTTTCTCTAATAGCTAAGTGAAGCAACGCTACAAACAATCATATACAACGCGAGCGTAAGGAAAAAGATACCCAAACGCCAAGATGCGGACCTACCACAGCCGCTTCATAAGAAGCCGACTGGTGGTCTCAGGCATCAAACTCCGAAAGCAGGAGATGAAGAGATGTTCAAATCTCTCCATCTCATTCTACTTCAAAACAAAATACAAGCCGTTCCAACATAGGAGACTCATCCTTCAGATGCTAGTATGACTTTGCCAAAATTCCTACGATACGAATCCACCATTCCATGTGTTCAGCCTAGGCGTCTTACGGCGAGACTAATCAACCTTACGGAAGAGACGTTTTGCTGATGCAAGTAGGTTGCCAATAATGGCTGGTTCGATAGATGCTGGTGGAGGCTGACCCGATTCCAGATATCCGAGCTCGACTTCGCAGGGATCGCTGTCATAAGACCCATTGAAGATACTCCGAGATCTAAGCCCAGCCATATCGAAATACGGCAAACCGCCCGTCCGCCATCCCTGAGGCATGTTGTTTCCAGGTGGTATATTGGCGACTGAATCGTTGCCACGCCTCTCGTACTCGTCCAGTCGTTTCGTTATATGGATCGTCAGGTCACACAAATAGAAGCTGATTGGAATGGCTATAGAAAGTGCGAAGAATGGGTCCGTCTTGGTGCGGTCCAGCCAATAAGTTCGCGTTGGTGCGAAGGCCATAAGAACAAGCGTAGCAAGCACGCTGATAGCTGATGCAACGAAGCAGAACAGCTTCCCTCCACCGTTTCGAAGCATCACGAGCTCGCAGTAAGCGACCATAAACATGATGTATCCGAAGCCAGTCGCCATATGTACAAATGCTGCGCTGTTCGTGCCATCACCGTCTGATCGCGTGCGGATTGATTGGAGTACTGCTGCTATGCATAGCATGCCAAGGGAGGCCGATTTCTCCTTCTTGGAGTGTCGAAACCATTTAGCGATGAGGAAACATATTGCGAGTATGATAACAGGAGCGACAAGAGTGGTACACAACACTAAAATCTCTTCGAGAATACTTAGGCTTCGCTGCTTCCATGTTGGGTGAAGGTCGGCATTTGGACTCTGCGCGGCAACAATGGGACTGAGGGTTGCAGCGATCAAGACGAACCTGAAAGACCTGAACCCTCCAGACGCGGACGAAGACCTAAGCGAATCTTGTAGAGCGTGATGTAGCCAAGGGCAACTACAGACCCATCGCAGACTGGATATGATGATTGCAATAAAGCATTTCAGAGTGCGCATGCCGTATCGTTGTGGAGAGCTGAAATCGTATTGCCTGTGAGGTAGACCAAGCTTGTCAGTGGCCTCGGATTCCTTGTGTAGGATTTCGTGGCCCTGGACGCGTGTCGCGCCTGCACAAATTATATCCCCCAGCTCCAAGTGGATAACGTTGCCCACAAGTGAACCTTTGGTGGACATTGGGTGTCTCTTGCCTGACCGCAGAGCACTAGCAAGAAAGCTTTCTTCCGCTTCTTTTCTATCCGCGAATAGTTGTTGCGTTCTGTATCTTCTCAGGGTCGCTAGTCCCACGGCAACCATAATCACAGTGGATGGCAAAGCGACAACAACCCTTCCCCAGGAATATCCTTGAACCCCATACAGACTGAACTCGAGACTGAAGAGTGCTGCAGTAACGAAGAGCATGAGTACTTGATCGTTGTATGCGATCCACCCTATCTTGAGAACTTCGCTTTGCATGTGCTCCAGCTGTGTATCACAAGATACTCTGCTTTTGTGGTCAGCCACAGCATTCGATGGATTCGAGAGCGTCAGAGATGTCTCTGTATGGCTATGTGCAGATTCTTTGAGGTCTTGCTCGCCATATTTATCAAAAGGCTGTGGGATTTCGATGGCCTCCTCAATGCTCACTGTGTCATCGAGCTGGGCCTTTTCGGTACTTGGGTTAGGTTGCCTGTCTGCTCGTAGCCCTTCCTTGGTGGCCTCAAAACCGCTGAGCGCATCAAGAACACTGAGACTCTTTGATCCGTATGATTTGCCTAGTTGACCAAGGGAAGAGGCGATGTTCTCGTTTTCTCCCTTAGAGTTCGCTTCTGTGCCGGTGCCGGATTTAGGTATATCCTTTTCGTGCAGAATCCTCATCGTTAGAGACTTAGTCGCGGTCATAATCGGTCCCGCGCCCAATCTCGAATCTGAACCCATCGAGTCACTTGCGTATGGAACGCTTAGCAAAGCAGAATTGTTTCGTTTCATAGATGGTTGATCGATGCCATGCGTATGTACTGGTGACGTATCTCTTTTATCGAAAGTCAGCAACGTTCTTCTTGCATGCCATAAAGCTAGCAGCACATACCGATTACGGAGCCCACTCGCACTCATGTTGAGTGAAGCTGGTCCGATAAATCTACCTAAGAACGTGTACTTCCTGAATATGAGGGGTCTGGTAGTGAGCTTACTGGGATGTTGCTCCAAGTAACGAGAGACTTGATCGATGATTACGACAAGGCGGGTTTGCAGATTTCGAAGGGGTATAGGAGGATATACAGCAAATCTTCCTTCAAAAGAATGGGACAAGAAGAAAAGGGAAGAAGAAGGATGTGCACATGTTGCGATAGCTTCGAGGATCCCACATTCAGTGTAGCCTGGATCCGCCGACCACATACAGTATGCCACGAACGGTACTGACATGTAACAAAAGGCTAGCAAATTAAAGACAGCCCCAATTGTGATTATCAGCTGCCACCGACCATACAAGATGTGCCACGCGCTATGGCTGAGATACGGCTGAAGGCTGAGCGAGCGCCAGGCAGCCCCAAGCGAGGCTATGGGTCGCCGCTGGCCATACAGAGTATGCCACGGAAGAATGCCAAATTGCAGCTGAAGGCCGGGCAAGCAATATGAGATCGCGTGTGAGGCTGTAAGCCTCCACTGCATATGTAGAGTATGTCACCGGATAGTACTGTGTTGAGGTTCAGACAAGTCCTGTGCCTCATTCGAAAGACCGCAACAGTTGTTTGCCTCATTTCACTCGACCCCCCCCACAAGCCGCACAAAGAAAATACTGTATATGCGAATTCACCTCACCGGCCATACACATAGGTACGATACCTTCTATCTTGCACGGATCATTTGCGCTGTTTCTCTGTCAACGACATGTCTGGGAGACCCAGTACTCCAGATGCTGGCTGCAAGTACGCAATCCTCCAATTCCAACATCATAATCAAGTCTTTGATCGAGTGATACCGCTCACAGACTGTACGTCGAACCCCAGAACTGTGAACTGGCACCGATCCGAGACTAATCGCCATATGACGAGCGACAAAGATGGCCCAGTTGCGCCTGGAAAGACAGAACACCATATCTCCTTGGACCACGCCCGAAATTTGCTGGATGATGTGGCAGTGCAGCAAGAATGCCAAGGTCGATCAGGAAGGCCGCTTGTATGGCTCGTCGAAGGCCCTGCAGCCAGGCTAGCTGTCCAGACATTACACTGGGTTGATCAAGAGTTGGACGGACGGAACGATGCACACAGATTGGTTCTCCAGTCTACATATGGTGTGGTTAGATTGCAGAACCATCACCGGACGTTCCTCCACAGTTGTATACTCACTGTCGCTCAAGTGGGTGGATACTGGCTGATTCGAAACCACGAAATCTCCCAAGACCGCATTCCCCACGGCGACAGGAATCCTTTCACATACACTGGAGTACCAGGAGTTAAACCAACAGGCGTCTTCGTTATATGTGCACTGCTATACGGTGTATTCGCGATGCTACAATACCACATCAATCGGGCGGACTACTTCCAGCAACTTTGTTTGATCATTGGACTTGCAGCAGGCCTTTTACTCAGTTCGTCGATTCCGTTCGCCGTAGCAGAATCGTCGGTATCGATACACACCCTTGCAGCTACAACCAGCGTGGCCATGGCATGTAGTGCTTATGGACATTGGACATGGCGGACGTTCTTCAGCACGCGAGAGATCAGGCTGGAGAAGATACTCGCAGAGTGGGGAGATGATGCGCAGGACATGGACATGAATGGGCATGTCATAAGATTTTGCGAGCTGCCTTGACCAGCTGCAATATTGATTGTGATAGTCAATGGTAAATATACTGGAGTATGGTGTCAGTGTTCTATCATCTAGAGGAACGAACGCTTCGGTTTTCGATACATGTTCGTCCACGCTGCAAGGATTGAATTCTCAGAGCGTCATGTAGTAGTTAGGTCGTCTTGATTGGATTAAAGATCTACTCCCATTGCGTGCCCTTTAGTCGTTGCATAAGGTACTCGACTTCAACTTCCTTGGTCAGAGGAATGACCCAATCCTGCGAGGTTGTTAGAATGCCCTGGTGAGAATGCAGTAGAATAACTTACCTTGTACATTCCGACTACTGCGTCTGCGTTTACCTTGGACGAACCATTAGCGCCCAGGTCTGGGTCTGTGCCGTACGTCTTCGCCTTTAGTCTCAACCTCTCCAGGACCTTCTTCTCCACGGCGGCATTTGTGATGGCCTCATCAATGCCCTTCCTGTCTTCGTCCTTGATCAACTTGACGAAGCGCTCAGTCTCCTGCTGGAACTTGGCCTCTGCAACGAACTTGCCAAAGTGTATCCTCCGCGACAAGGACTGGATGGTCATGACATCGCATGTGGCCGAGGATCCGTAGTTTTCTTGCGACTCGCCCCTGTCCTCGCGGTCGGTCGGGGCGCATGCTGCGGGTAAGATGTGCTTGATGTAGCAGTCTTTCAGTTGGGCGTTGACGTTGACATTGTTGGGGTGAAGGATCTGGGGGTAGTTGAGGGGCTTGAGGATGGGCTCCTGGAGGACTTCGGGGAAGAAGGGGTACTCGTCGGGCGACTGGTAGCGGCGGACGAGGGACTGTAGGCGCTCCTGCTCGCGCAGCATCCAGTCGAACAGGCTGGTGTCGGGCTCGCCAATGTCGACGCCGCCGGGCAGGTAGATGGTCTTGTTCAGCGGGAACTGGACGCGCTCAATCAGGTGGAAGGTGATTGTGTCCTCGAGACGACTGTTGTTGGCTGTCAGTTTGACTCAGACGCGCGCATGGTGGGGAGAGCGCACATGAGCTGGAAGCGGATGTTGGCCAGGTCCAGGGCCTTGGAGGCATCCGAGAGGTCAATGGCCGCGTCCATGGTTCCTCGTCGACAAGATGCAGAAAGAGGGAGCGTGTGCGTGTGCGTGAATGGTGTTGGCAGCCATGATAGTCGGCGCTGGTGGTACAACGAGCATGTACCCGACCATCGGCGCTGCTCTTCGGCCCATGACGCAGGCGCATTGCCGATGGCTGAGCTCCACCCACATGCAGCGAGAACAAGACCGCCCACCACCACCAGAGCGTCTTGTACATATCTATCCTTCTCTCAGCACCACCACGCGCCTCACCGCCTCCTGGCCCCTCCCATTGAGCACGCGAGCAGCACTGAGACTGGAATGCGAAGACAAATGATGACATAAAGACGGTTTCTTGCACTGCGCCGCCCGTTGAGTCCCACCCGCCACGCCTGCTCGCATGGCCTCGTCAACCGCCCGCAATGGATCACCAGGTCGCGGGAGGTCCACCAGCCCGCGCTCGCCCCGGTACTCGCAGGCCTTCGACGACAGCAATGACGAGGGCAGCTATCTAGACGCCCTCCCAGATGTAGCCCCACCGCAATTTCCAACTCGCAGACGGTGATGCTAATGCTCGCTAGACCCGCCATCTGCAAGCTTTTGGCAAAAAAGTGACTGCCACCGCTGGCAGCTTGATAGGCGCCGAAGGAGTCACCCAGCACTACCAGAACGCGATTGGGGAGCTCCACCGCGAGCTGAAGCGCCCTCTGATGCAGCGATCCGTCTTTTCCTTCGCCCAGACCACCCCCCGCGAGATCGTGCGCTCGCGAATCTCCGTCCCCGAGATCCAGCAGCGAGCACTGGCCTACATCCCCAACGACCTGCTGTCCAACATCCCCGAGGACAACAGCGAGTTCTCCCTCTTCCAGGGCTTCGAAGCCTCGCTGCCCGACAAGCCCGACAGCCATGCGAACAAACATGGCCGCCACAACGCGCGCGGCCAGAGGCTCATCGGCGCCGGCCAGGACGAAGACGACCCCAACGTCCCGCCGTCCATGCAGAAGCTGAGGAAGCAGAGAAACGCCATGGGCCACCGGTTAGAGATGATGGGCGTGCGGAAACACATGTGTGTCGCCGAAATACACGAAATCGACAACAAGATCGCGAACCTCAACACAATGCGCAAGATGGTGCTCGACCGCCTGGCCGGCCTTGAGCTCGAAGAGGGCGAGCTTGAGCAGGATCTCCTCACCGTGGACAACCGCATCGAGGACCTCCAAGAAGAGCTGGACGACGAAGCCGCATTGGCGCCCAAGACGGCAGAGTCGCAAACAAGCGAAGAACAGTCAGAAGGCAAGGGCGAATTCATGTCCGAGTCAATATACCAGAAGATACCGCAATCACCAAAGACGAAGAACAAGGCGAAGAGGCTTTCCAAGAGAATGTCCATGCCCGTACTACACGAACATCTGCAATCAGGATCCAAGATCAAGGAACTGCCCGCGCACATGGACTCCATCACCGCCATGGACTTTGACGCGCCATGGGGTATGATGGTCACGGCATCTCTGGATGACACCGTACGAGTATGGGATCTGAGCGCCGGCCGGTGCATCGGAATGCTTGAGGGTCATTTGTCTTCCGTGCGCTGCCTCCAGGTCGAAGAAAATATCGTTGCAACTGGCTCAATGGACGCTTCTATCAAGCTTTGGGACTTGAGCAAGGCTGAATATGCGCCCATGGACAACCGGATAAACAAGCACGATGAAGAAAGTGATGATGGTCTGGCCTTTGAGAACTCCGAAGACGCACCTCCTGCACCGCCATCGACCAGCATGCAGGATTGCCCTCTGTTCTCCCTCGAATCGCACGTCGATGAAGTCACTGCACTCCATTTCCGCGGCGACACTCTGGTTTCTGGCTCAGCTGATAAGACACTACGACAGTGGGATCTGGTCAAGGGACGATGCGTACAGACGCTTGATGTCCTTTGGGCCGCTGCTCAAGCAACCGCGACAAACACCTCTCAGAGCACATGGCGACAGACTGGACGCTCCGCTGATTCCTCTGCCGACTTCGTCGGCGCTATCCAAGTCTTCGATGCCGCACTGGCGTGTGGTACCGCAGACGGTATGGTACGCTTATGGGATCTGCGTAGCGGACAAGTACACCGAAGTCTCGTCGGCCACACAGGCCCTGTCACAGCTCTGCAATTCGACGACGTCCACCTCGTAACCGGTAGTGCCGATAGGAGTATACGTGTAAGTTCATCGTTTCCGTCTTCATCCAGGCTTGTTTACTGATATGAACAGATCTGGGATCTCCGAACCGGCGCCATTGCTGATGCCTATGCTTACGACCACCCCATCACCAGCATGATGTTCGACTCACGCCGCATTGTGTCTGCAGCGGGTGAGGACGTAGTCAAGGTTTACGATAAGACGGATGGAAGACACTGGAGCTGTGGACCCGGCGCTGACGAAAGCGACGAGACCAAGTATCCCACCATTGAGCATGTTAGGATAAAGGATGGCTATCTCGTTGAAGGACGCAGAGATGGTACAGTTGGTGTGTGGTCGTGCTAGTAGAGCTACTGAGCGGAGAGAATTGTATATAAGAACATGACTGGTGCGCATACATGCCAGTCATGGAAATGGCAGTGTTGTACTATTGCAGAATGCTTGTTGGAACATGACTATTCGACCAATCTGCCGATACCACAATGGCCGACATGTTTTTTACCATGCGTCAGTTGTGACGCATGTGGGCCGCTCAAGCCAATGTCTTGATGTAGCAGACTTTATCCACAATTCGCGTACTAAGCTCAACGAGATATGAAATCTGCCCGGGCGGGATGCATGCTTAGTGGAGGAGGAGATGGGCATTTATGATTGACACGGTTCAGATCGCAGTTTGTGGGATACATGTTGTTTGATTACAGTCAACCTTTCAACCTATACTAGCGTCGTGAAGACAACAAAATAATACAGTTCTGACGCGGCACGTTACAAGCACGCGTTTACTGGGGCCGATGGAAGCTTGGTTGTACGATGCAGGGATGGCCCGCGACGCTCCGATCTGCCATGGTGACGTAACGCTGAGCATGCCGACTAACATTTCCGCGCTTCCCTAGACGCCTACCCTGTTCCAATGCACCCGTCACACTTGTATAGTACATTCGCTTGTCCTATCTACCTATGATATTTCAACTCTAATTTTGCGATTGTTGAGTCAATTGCTCGCATACCTCACGCAGGCGCATCCTGCCCGCCATTCCTGTCCGCCCCAGCTTCCTCTCCCGCTTCCAGCTGCTCCGCGAGAGCTCTGAGTTCCCGCAATGCTACCACGACAAGCCGCGTCGCTATCACGCGGATACAATGCATCTTCTAGAGCCTCACTTCTCTGCAGAAGATTGCCCCGAGCGACGCCCGCACAATTCCGCGCTTCCTTTAGCAATGGCAGTCCAGCCTCTGCTTCGAGACGCGCTGCCCTACAAACCTCACAATTGAGCAAGCAAACCCCCACCACCACGGCGATAAGAACCGCCTCCACAAAACCTCTAGATGTTCCGCGATCGCGTTTTGCTCGCTATGCCTACAGAACAGCAGCAATGCTTGGCTCTTTCGTCGCCGTTAGCGGTGTTCTGGTCATCGCCTTCTTCGTCTACGACGCCTACACATACAACGAAGACCCCATCGCGACCGACATTCCCGTCTCAGAACTCGCACTCAGCCCGAGGAGAGGAGGACCAAAGAACCTGCCAATCGCCGACCACTTCGTAGACGACGATGAATGTCCTGAGAATAAGAAGCTCAAGCACAAGCCAAAGTTGGTCATATTGGGTACGGGCTGGGGCAGCGTGGCCCTCCTGAAGCAATTGAACCAGGATGACTACCACGTTGTTGTTATATCACCGTCCAACACCTTCCTCTTCACACCTATGCTGCCGTCTGCCACCGTAGGAACACTGGAGCTGCGATCCCTTGTCGAACCAGTCCGAAAAATTGTGCGAAGGGTGCGCGGGCATTTCCTCAAGGCCAAGGCCGAAGACGTCGAGTTCTCCGAGAAGCTCATCGAATGCTCAGCTGTCGATGCCCATGGTCAGGAGCAAAGATTCTACGTCCCTTACGATAAGCTGGTTGTTGGCGTCGGATCTGTCTCAAACTCCCACGGCGTCAAGGGTCTTGAGCACTGCCACTTCCTCAAGGATATCAGCGATGCTAGACTCATTCGCAACCAGGTCGTAAAGAATCTTGAACACGCATGCTTACCTACAACATCTGACGAGGAGAGGCGAAGGCTCCTGTCGTTTGTGGTTTGTGGTGGTGGACCCACTGGAGTAGAATTCGCAGCTGAGCTCTTCGACATGCTCAACGAGGACCTCTGCAAGCTCTACCCAAGACTTCTTCGCAACGAAATCTCCGTCCACGTCATCCAATCCCGCAGTCATATCCTGAACACCTACGAAGAGGCGCTGTCCCAGTACGCTGAGCAACGATTCGCACACGACTCTGTTGATATTCTCACAAATTCGCGCGTGAAGGAGGTCCAGTCAGACAAGATCCTCTTCTCACAAAAGGATGAAAATGGCAAGGTGGTAGTTAAGGAGATTCCAATGGGCTTCTGTCTTTGGTCAACCGGTGTTGCACAGACAGACCTTTGCAAGCGTCTCGCTGCTAAACTTGACGGCCAGAACAACAAGCATGCCCTCGAAACCGATACACACCTTCGTCTAAACGGTTCACCCCTCGGCGATGTATACGCTATTGGTGACTGCGCGACTGTCCAAAACAACGTCTCTGACCACATCGTAAACTTCCTCCGCACCACCGCCTGGGAGAAGGGTAAGGACCCCGAGAAGCTGCAGATTTCGTACTCAGACTGGCGCGGCATTGCCAAGCGCGTCAAGCAGCGCTTCCCACAGGCAGCAAATCACCTTCGCCGCCTGGACAAGCTATTCGAACAGTATGACAAGGACAAGTCTGGTACTCTAGACTTTGGCGAGCTTAGAGAGCTTCTCTTCCAGATTGACTCGAAGCTCACATCCCTACCCGCCACCGCTCAACGTGCCAACCAGCAGGGTGAATACCTCGGCCGCAAGTTCAACAAGATCGCTCAGGCAGCCCCTGGCATGGCACTCAACAACGTTGACTACGGCGACCTAGACGATGCAGTATACAAGGCGTTCGAGTACAAGCATCTTGGTAGCTTGGCCTACATTGGCAATGCAGCTATCTTCGACTACAACGGCTATGGCCTGAGCGGTGGTCTGTTGGCCGTCTACCTGTGGAGAGGTGTGTACTTTGCACAGAGTGTGAGCTTCAGGACGAGGTGTTTGCTTGCTATGGACTGGACTAAGAGAGCACTTTTTGGACGAGGTATGTTATTTCGTTGCTCACTTTCCTTGAATGTGACTAAGCTAACGTCAAAACAGACTTGATGAACTTCTAATCGATGCATGGCTTATTGTAGCGAAGTTTAGAGTGTATAGACCGACATCCTTTTTCGGCACCTCTTTGTCTTCTCTTGTGTAGACTATTATTATTCTTTCTGTTCAAGAGGGCGGCGTGATGCTGCTCTTAATTCTATTCTATACTTTCAGATGACAAATGCAAAGCCTTGGTGATCTGTGCTTCACTTTGATTCCTTCTACCTTGTTCTAACGCCATAACCAACTGAAGTGTCTCGAGGCGGAAGCAGCCACAGTGACTGCTGATCCGGCTACTGAAAAAGCCACCGTTGTTTTCATAGTATTCACTATCACCGTCGAATGCTGGGCGAACCATGACGGCAACAGATACAAGAAGCCCGAGGACGACTGTCGCATCCTGCTTTCCTCATCCATGAACGTCTGTTCTGTGGCTGATTTGTACCGAAGTAGGTATGCGGATGTCCTCTTGGTGCAAAAAGAAGGGGTTGGAGACGATGGAGGCTGACTCCTTATACTTTCTGCAATATAGATTTCGTCTATATATCTGGGAACTGCAATGGCAGCAAAAAGCTGATCTTCGGTTTGGGGGAAACTAGGTGAATATTCCTCGTTCAACACCATCAAGGTATTCCACGACTGAGCTAGGAAACTCTTGGAGAAAAGCATCGACAGCCATCTTCCGTGGAGCAGCAACATAAACCGAGGAAGAGAACAGAATGAAGCAGAGTGTGCAATTGGGACCGCAGATCGTTTCCGCTGACTTGTGCCCTTGCAACCATGTTCGATATATGCCCATCGTTCTTGCGTTGAGATGAAGCCAGCTTGTGCAGCACTACTAAAGGCTGACCTACGCTGAGGTGTACCTCCATGATATTTTGTGTTCGTATGAAGCTCAAGACCTCAAAAACATCTAAAGCAATTCTCTCATGGCTCTTGTTCATCTGCCATGGCTTCGAGTCGTGTTCGGACCATATTAGGATTTGATCGTCCTTGCTCGTCGGTCCAGCACTTCAATACCTCTTCCCGCATGATTCTGCGCGGAGCTCTCTTCCCTGTGAAAAGTTCGAATTGCGCGAATCCTTGTTCAGGTAATAGGTCAAGGCCGTCCAAGCAGATCCAAGAAGCCGATGCTTCTTCACGAACTTGTTTTGTCAAAGGCGTGTTGAGGGTACGATAAGCGAGCTCAATGACTACACCACCTGATGGTGACTGCATCCAGTGAAGGGGAAGCGTGAAATCGGGTGATGGCTCTTCGCCAACGGCGTGCGTGGGTATGCAGGAAACAATGACAGTGGGTGCGCGGAGATCGCTTGGCCAGGCTTCAGTCCTAGATTCGAGTATGCGGAATGTGGGTTGTGATCCTTGGACGAATGATGGGAAGAGCTTGGCTGCCGAAGGGCTCGCAGCTAGCTGAGAGAAGTAGTTGACTAGTTTCCGTGCATTCGGGACTGTTCGGTTGAAGATGACAATATTCTTGATTCCAAGCTGTAGCATGGCATAGATTGCTGCCCTGGCCATTCCTCCTGACCCAATAACGAGGCTAGAGGTGGTAATGGGCCGAACAGCGTTAGCTGGAGAGAGCCCCCTTCGTATACAGGATCTTATGCCTATCCAGTCGGTATTATCGCCGAATAGTGCTTTGACAGGCCCAGATTGGTTTCGCTCTTGGTAGAGCTCAACACCATCCGCATCGGGTATGCTTCCATCGCTGTTAAGATGACGGATTGGAAGGAGCGTATTGATGGCTCCAATCGCTCGGGCATGCCGACTCAGAGAGTGAGTAAGTGCAATAGCATCCACTTTGAAAGGCTGGCTGACGGCAGTACCACCAAAGTTCGGTTTCCGCAACAACTCCCTTATGTTCTCGTCCAGTGTCGCAGTTTGAAGGCGATCGAAATGATGGGGCATGCCGCAGGCTCGGTATGCCGCATTGTGCATAGCTGGGCTCAAGCTATATCCTGCTGCCGCGCCGATGATGTAAAACTCCATAGGGTCGTACGTGAAAGACGCGTAGAGAATATGCGTCGCCTCTGTTACAGTAAGCCACGAAGTCTCTGGGTTCTCTTGCGCTCTGGTCTCAAAGTTTGCACTTTTTCGAAGCTTTTCTGGTATTACAGGAGTAAGAACCTGGTTGAAGCAAGCGGAACGACGACCTGCGCGTCCGGTGTTGTAGCATATCATGGGTATCCTCTGTGACTTGGCGTATATGGTATTGCGGAATGACTGAATCGCGGCATTGTCGTCCATGAAGTTTGCCGGCCTGGTAAAGCGTACAAGGCTACAACCTAAGCGCATTGCAGTGTCGTACTTCTCGAGCCAGAAAACATCGTACCAATCCATAGCTGCGTGCAGATGGCCAATTATCTTTGTTGATCCTCTCGACGCAACAATCGCTCGAATGAGTTCCTCGTCCATTGTCAGATCAACAGTGGCGAACTCAGGCGCCATCCGTAGGCCATACCATAAGTTCGCCAAATAAGAAGATGTGGAATGGCTGGCGCGTGTTGAAGACGGCATGACGTGGAAGATAATCGGAGTCACGGTACTCCTCCGGACTCTAAATATGCTCTTGCTGATGTTTTCAGCGTGATCCGCCGTAAGCTGTGTTGGTTCGGTGACAATCTCAAATGCATCGCAGCCAAACTCCAGCTCTTCAATATCGACTTCCTCCGGCGTAAGATCGGATAGTTGTACTTGGACAGCACAAGTATAATTTCTCAGCTCCAAATCGACGTAGGACAGTGGAAAGTGGCCAGGGTCTAGCGTGGGCGCATCGCTTTTGATCTTCCGGTGTGTGTTTTGGGGAGATAGTATCAAAGCCAGAAATTTGAAAAACGTTCTCTCGGCTCGTTTCAGAGTCAAGAAAGCAGGAACAGAGGGCTGATGTGCAGGTGCAACTGAGAGATGGGCTGCATTCGTTTCGGAGATGTTGTAGAACTCATAGTTCGAGCACCGTCGGAAAACCGGAGTGCTAAGAGCAAGCAGCTCTCGAACTTTCGATTCGTCCGTGTCAAGATACTCTCGTACACTACGCACGTCGCGTGTAATGTGAATGACTGGGTGAGATGCCGAAAATTCGTGCAGCAGGGCTTGGCTGCTGCTATCCAACGGAAAACCTCCGTTGCAGACGATGATGGCGCCTCTGCTATAAGTTTTCAGTGTGTCGCGTAAGATCTCTTCTTGCCTGAGACTACGGTTTGAAGATCCAAATTGTTTGCGATACGCAGTGGTCGAGAAGCCTGTTGCAGAGTGGAAGACACTCTCCATGTCGATGACCCTTCGCTGACAGGCTACCGAAGCCATCATAGCCAACGTTGCTTTGCCTGTTCCATGCATCCCAATGAGCACGATAGACGCTCTGGAGTCAAATACCCTCCGGCATTCATACTGTGAGGGTGCCGGTGTTGACCTTGCCGAATTTGGTAAACTTCGCTGTTTGGAGGCAGGCGGAGATGGTGTTGGCAGAGAAGAGCGTCCATCCTTCGCTCCGGTTTCAGTGTTCATTGCGGCAAATGAACGCTTGGTACCAACCGTCACGGAAGCCATCGCTTACAGAATTTGCGATCCGAAATTGTCTCGAGGTGTCAACAGCATGAAGCACAGCATGGCGTTGCAATTGGCAGCGACAAGTGTCTTAGCGAAGCACGTGATGTCGGTCCGCCCCGCTTTTCCTCGGGGGTAAAACTTTATCCTCCTGCACAGACGCTTCCCCAGCTTCTCCACTGCCTCACTCGGTAAGCTCGATGGCTTCTTTCGTAAGCTACTTGGACGAAAGATGTCTGGATACCCAGTGCCCGCACGATCTCCAATCCATTCCTTTGGCAAGGCTCCATGAGGTGCTGCTTTGCTCTTTTTGCGACGCGAAAGAAGAGCTGTCCGACCTATGTCTTTGCAACCCCAGGAAAAACGCCGCCAGGCCACACAAGATGTACCGGTAAAACGATTTCGAGTATCAAGAGCGTGCGATCAATGCCGCAACGCTCGCGAGAAGTGTGATGCAAACCAGCCCAACTGCTCTCCCTGTTTGGAGGCTAGGCGCATTTGTACCTATACATCAAATCCTAAGAAACGAGGACTACAACCTGGGTACATACGCACCCTTGAAATGACATTGGCCTTCATCTTCCAACAAAACACTGAAATCGAGTCTTTGGTACACGACCAGTTAGCCCAAAGGAATACAGTCTTGCTAGCAAGGGGCACTAAAGAATCAAACCGTTTACACAAGAGCTGGACCAAGAGCAGATTTTGTCGGGACGTCACCAAAGCATTATCTGGAGAGCAGATAGGGGCAAGCGAAGACAGACTGCCAAGCTCCGACGATGACAGTGAGGTCGATACCGAGGATGCAACACTTCTTCAGATGACACCAAAACCTCAGTCTCAGCATTCGGTATTAGTTCCAGATTGGAATAATGATAAACGCTGACATTAGCAGGCTTCGTGGCAAAGCGGTGCAAGTTACATGTCCCAAGAGATGGGTCCACCTTCGATACCGGATCTCCATTCCCCTAGTCTGCAACAATCTACGGGCTCTTCGTCTCTTACACCGTTACCTGGCGACTGCTGGCGGCTGATCGAGATATACTGTACTTATACGCAATGCTGGCTTCCTATCGCAGACAAGCTTGAGATCCTGAAGCTATCGTATTCTTACCCGGAACGAGGACTGGCCCTTTCCTGCGATATGTCGAGCTCGGGAAGTCATGCCGAGATGTGGAGCATGTTCGCAGTGGGTTCCTCGCAGGACGACAACAATGTCACTGGAGAAAGCTACCGTGCATGGTCGCCAATCAAGCTTTACAATATTGCTAGACAGCTCATCCCTGACGAGTTAGGCAACTTCGAGTTGGATCACGTGAAGGCTCTTCTTAATCTGGCCTTATTCAACATTAACAGAAGACTTTTTGATGCTTCTTGGCATCTAGTTGGAGCTGCTTTGCGAATATCACTCATGCTTGCTGAAACATCGGATGTAGCTGCGTCTCGACGAAAGCATGTCATGTCTGGTTGTTTCGTACTTGACAGTCTCCTTTCTCTACATTTGAAACGACGTCCTTATCTCGACAGGGCTGAACTGTCGTGGATGGGCAAGATAGAAGAGGATGGAATGGAAGAATGGCAGCCGTGGAGTGGGCATCTTAATCTTGATCCAACGCGTCGATCGAATTCTCCAACACTTGCCTTGAGTACCTTCAACGCTCTCCTGGAGTTGGTTGATATTCTTGGGTGTACCTCTAGGGAGCAGACAGCACCAAATTTCCTACATGAGATGATCGGTCGGCTTGAGATGTGGAAATCGGCACTACCACAGAAACTTGAATACATTCGGAAAGACTCTGCCTTTACTCCAGCAACGCCGCCCGCGTTACTCTTGCGATTCACATATCTTGTTACTGCGTTCACGCTTGTCCCCTCACAGGCATGGCTTCAGCAGATCTTGGACATGTTGAGCGTACTGCAACGGCAACTTGGAGCCACGAGAATGCCAGCGATCATTGCTTGCCTATTACAAAGTATCAGGAGAAGTACCGCTAGTTTAAATTTAGATCAACCGACTCACATCCGGATTCGAGAATTGTTTGCCGCGCTCGGCCAATCATCCTATGAGCCTTCAGAAGGAGCATCAACAGGTTTAAGATCGGTATCTATTAGCCGAAGAGATACATCTTCAGAAAATCCTGGGACTTTACAGACCTCTCCCCAACCTCTTGTACCACAACTTCGTGGCCCGTTCGTTGAACGATACCAGCAACCACCTGACCCTTCTAGTATGGTTCATGGCACACTACCAGACATGGATAGCAATCACCAAGGACATAGTGTACCGCCATTTGAACCAAACTTATTCGACTTCGGGATGGCCGGACCAATCTTCGATTCCCATGATCCCTATAATGCTTTGGTGTCTGGTGACCTGGGAAGCTTTCTCGATGACTTCGCTTCGAAACACGGTGCCAAAAAACTGCAGAACCAGCCACAGTTCATGGAGAACCTAGGTTTCTCGTCAGAAGTCAGCATGGCCGACCTTTTAGCAGCGGACCCTGGGCGGTTCATGCCTACCGCGTCGAACATGGGCGCAGACAACAACGAGGAGTCTCCCCAATTTCCGTTGAACACATTTTATGATGCTGGATGAGACCAAAAGTAGCCCCTATATGAGATTTGATCCGAGCATACAGCCGAGATGTGCGTGCTTCATATCATGCTCGAGACGCTTAAGAACGATGCTTGATTGTTGGGTATCTTCTACGTTCAAACCACCAAAACGCCAAAACAATATAGGTTGTCAAATCAAACAAAATATCAGCTCCGACCTTACAACCGCGCATACTCGGCTTGTTCAGTCCTATTGACTTCGTTACGCGTTTTACCCACTGATTTCGACCCATCACATCTCACTCCTGGATCAAGTTGCAAATCATAGCACATGGATAACCACGCACTCGCAGCACGCTCCGCGAGCTCTTCGACAACTCCATGATCCTCACTGTTCATGACTCGATTGAACAATTCCATGCTGACCCAGCCGTCAAAGCCGATGTCCTTAATGATAGCATGTGCGACATCTTTGACAGGCAAGTACGCTCCACGGCTACTCTCGCCATAAAACAGCCTGCAATTTCTGCTCCAAGACATGCGTGCCGGTTGTTCAGCATTATAGAAAGGGTGACCAGGTCGCAGAGGTTGTTCGAGACGCTCAGCATCGACAATCTGGATGAAGAAGATCTTCTCTTTATGAGGCTTGATCTGCGTGACCAGCCGCTGTATTGACTCGCGAACTTCCTGATCGGCACCTGCGACCTTTCCAGTTTCCGAGGTGGGGTCTGCATATATCCTGCCCAAGATGTTGAAGCTGTCCAAGCAGATGCCAAAATTCGGTCGGCCAACCCTTTGTACGATGTCCCAACACATCTCCCATTTGTCAACGTGTGTTCCCCAGCTTAGACTTTCGTATGCGAATCGGATGATTGGTGTCTGCTGCAACCCTAGATCTGCGATCTCTTGAAGGTCGCCTACGATGAGGTTGATATCGGGAGAACACTCGTCCTGGGAAAGGAAGGTTGAGGGCACTTGCACGATATCGGTCTGGAGGACATGTGCCAATTGCATCCAAAGCTTCATCTCTTCGATCCGCTCAGCATGTCGCTTCCTGTCCAAGAGACCCTCGTAGTGCATAAATGGCTGCAGACAAATGATCTCAAGATCCAATGAAGAGCATAGGTCACGGACCGAGGCAGCGCCTGCCAGGAGATCGGACGGAGAGTCAGACCCGGAGTGATCAACCAAGTCTTCGTAGAAGAGTTCGATGCCCTCTAATCCATGTTTCGCAGCCATAGAGAGCTTGTATTCGAGGCTGTGGCCAGCGTAACACCGGCCTAGAGACATAGACGAGATACCCGGACGGCACGCCATGATGTGATGCTGATGGAAGAAGGATGCGGAATTTTGTGTAGTTTATAGTATGATATTGTAAGGACGAAACTATAGAGTTGAGGATTGCAAAGCTAGCAATTGCAGTGACTCGACTGATAAGACGTCTATGAGGTGACTGACGTATATCTAAGACCGTTCACAACCGTCCGAGATCTTGATCTACACACCCTCCACCACCGCTTCCTACCGTGTAAATACGCGGTAAATACTACTAATTCAGACAAGCTCGGCGAATACTGGATGCTGAATACCCCGGAATAATGCTGGAAAATGTGAGACGGTGCCTTTCGCAACCGTGCTGTTCCGGCGCAAGCAGTGGGAAAGCACGCCCTGGTGTCGGTGCAGATGGAGGTTTGGCGCTAGCCGAGCGGAAAAGAACTTACACCCCGAGCACGGCGCCACTTCGGTCACCGATTGTTGTTTCCGCGGTACCACTGCGAGCTCGGCACAGAAGGAATGTGGAGATGGCGACGAAGGCGTTATTCCTGCTGGTAACGATGAGCGGTTCGTAGCCGACATAGCCGTTGATCCTGAAGGTGTCAAGGGTCATCTCGTGAAAGGTGACAATACTTTGTATGCTGCAGGGTCTATGATGTCACTGTGGTCACTCATTCGACTTGTATGTTGCGATCAAATTATCGTCTCGAAATACTCCGAGATTTCCTAGGCAATGATTTTGGTGGGGGGTTTTGTCGCGAACGTGTAGAATGGACTGTCTTTGAGCATAGCGTCGGTACACAAGCTACTGTGAAGGCTTTTTCTATCATTATTGTTGGGCTGCTGAAACATCCGTAAGCGATACATCACGACGAATGATCTTCGCGGCTCAGATTTGTTTGGTTAGAGAGTGGCTTTGGTGAAATTGATTGTTCCATTGCTATGTATGATATTGTACGTGTGCAAGACAATCGAGCGCTTAAGCCATCTCTTTGTGTTCATCCGCCCTTGCCTTTTCATCCCTGATTACGAGGTTCACTTCCTCGTTCTCCTTCATCCTGTCAACCAGGACGCCGTGTGCTTTGAATGCAGGCTTGATGGTGAAGAGCTCGTCCATGCGCTCGAGTGGGATACCCTTGGTTTCAGGAATCAAGAAGAATACGAAAGGTATGCTGAGCAACATAAGGGATGCGAAGAACATGTATACTCCGTAGCCCATGGCACTAAACATTTGAGGAGTGAATCTTGAGATGATGAAGTTCCAGAACCTGCAAAGGTATCAGTAAATGTCTTACAGGCATTTCGTACAGTGAAAACTTACCAGTTGTTAGCAGCAGCAAAAGCTTGACCCAGAGAACGGGTCTGCTGGCTGTACATCTCGGAGTTGATGACCCATGGGGTACCGTTCCATGAGGGGGTGTAAAAGGCGGTCCAGAGGTAGAAGAAGAAGACTGCGCTGATACCGCCGGAGGAGAGGTTGCCTGAGGGGTTAGGGTTGTTCGCGGGGTCCGCGATCTTGATGTAGGCAGCAATGTACCACATGCAGAGAGAGCCACCTAGAGCACCGTACATAAGGAGCTTGGTGCGACCGAGACGATCGATCAACCAGATGAGCCAGACAAAAGTCAAAACGCATTTGACGACACCGAAGATACCAGTGGTAAGGAACCCTTCAGTAACGCCAAGACTCTTGAAGACGGTTGGAGAGTAGTAGTTGATCGCGTTAATTCCTGATTAAGGTACACAAAGTCAGCAAACGTTTCAGATGCAGTTTGTAAAGAGACAATTGCTTACCAGATCCGTTCTGCCAAAGGAACAGCATGCCGCCGAGGAAGAGGCGGTATTGTACCTTGCGATGCTTAAGCGCAAGGAATGGCTTCCAGAAACCGGGTCCAACGGTAAGTCTGTCGTGTTCGACTTGAGCATCTATAGCCTCAAGCTCTTCCATGATGTATGGGTGGTCTTCGGGGAGGTTGCGGATCCAGCAGAGATCCTTCAGCGCTTGCTCGCGCTTCCCCTTGCTCAAACACCATCGGGGTGATTCTCTCATCCAGAAAGCACCGAGCAACAAGCAGCCAGCGGGAATGAGTTGCACGGCAAAAGGAATGATCCATTGCTTGTGAGAAGGCGCCATGGTCTCTTGGAGACCATAGTTGATCCAGCTATCTACGAGTTAGCATGTGCTGTTCGCGAATGATGATCGTGCTTGACTTACAATCCAACGAGACCTCCCATCTGCCATCCGAGCTCGTAGATACCAACAAGTCGTCCACGAACAGCTGGCGGTGACAGTTCGGAGATATAGATTGGGACCATGTTACTGCATCCACCTACCCCCAAGCCTGCTAGAACACGGCCACCAATGATCAAACCGAGACCTCGGTCGCCATTGGCACCCAGCATCATACCAGCGCCCACGATGAACTGAATGTATCAGTGTCCGCTCTTACTATCAGGAAAGCATTGAGTGACTCACTATGAGGACCCAGAGAATAAGAGACTTCCTCCTGCCGATGTAGTGACTGGATGCATATGCTCCAAAAGCACCGAAGAAAGCACCAGCTTGGTATACCGAGACGATGTTGGCCTTGGTGAGGTTTAGGTCTGCGGGATCCATCTCCGCGAAGCCAAATTCTTCAACGAAAGATGGTAGAGCCAGTGTCGTGCCAATGAAGGCACTGTCGTAACCAATCATGCACGCTGCCCATGATGCGACACATGCTGCTGTGTAGACTCTCCAGTTGTAGACAGCCTTGGGCGTCGGTCGGTCCTCGACGAGGGTAAGGAGACCCATGTTGAAGTCGAAGAATCGGTGTGCTTGTAGACTTCAAGGTTGCTGGTCTCTGTTGGTGCCGAAGTAGAGATTGAGGTCGTCAGCCAGGCAAGTAGGCTTGGCTTGGGCGAGATGAAAGAGCAACCCAACAGATGAAGATCAGTCTGCACCTATATATCCTAGCCGAGATGAGTCCGATAACGTGCTGTTTTGCGGAGAATGTGGAGAAAACGCCACAAACCCCATGGAGATGAGCTACGAAGGAGTCAAACAATCGCGCACACACTCATTGGCCGTCTGGTTCGTAGAGAGGTTGATGCTGACCTTGGCCCGGAAGAATCGCTAAGCACCCCAGGAAGAATCGGACACTGTGCGATCGCATGGAGAAGCCATGCTCTCGCCGACCCCGGACTGGTCCCGGGAACCTGAATTTTCACGCCAGTCATTCCTAGTCGGGAAGTGATGGAATTACCCAGAGGGTTGGTGATGTCGCAGGGTCCGGAAGCGCATTTACACGCGAGGTTTAGTGGCCGGAGCTTTCTCGCTGATTGGATGAATCGCGTAGCAGTCAGAAGAACACCGGTCAGTAGCATCAACGTCAACACGCTTGACTCGCGTCTTCTCCACGTGCGACATGACTTTTTCCGGTTCCCAACGCGTTGAATCTGGGGTATTGGCGCATGCGTTAGACGGCATGATAGAACACGCCTTGAGCTTTACCACCAGCACCATTCTTCCAATATCTCATCATCTGTAACAGCATCAGTTATCAATTACTCGGCAAACCTCACCAACCATCAATTCCATTCCCTGAATATCCGACACGCAACACACGACACCTACATACCATCATGTCCACTGAACCCAGCATACCGGAGGTATCGCAAACCGAGCGCCATGGCTACCTCTTCGGCCACCCAATCGCACACTCGATGTCGCCTTTATTACACAAGACTGTATACGACAACCTAGGGTTAAATTGGGCACAATATCCTTTGGAGTCGAGAGACATGAGCTTGTTCCTACAACTGATCAAACATCCTCATTTCTACGGAGCTTCGGTGACAATGCCTCACAAAGTCGCGATACTCAAACACCTTGACGGTCTTACAGAAGAGGGACAGGATGTAGGCGCAGTAAATACCCTCTTCATCCAAGAAGACGCTTCTGGAAATCGGTTATACATGGGTACCAATACCGACGTGATAGGCATAAGGGATGCGTTCGCATACAACGTAGAACCAACCAAGTTTGAGAACAGGCCAGCGTTGGTGATCGGCGGAGGCGGTGCAGCAAGAAGCGCAGTCTACGCGTTGAGAAAATGGATGAAGGCCAGCGCGATATATCTCGTAAGTTTTATACTATAAAAGATTCAAGGTTTGAAGATGATGCTGATAATGAACTCTCAGGTCAACCGGGACCCATCAGAAGTCGAAGCTGTAATAAGCGAATGTAAATCCCGCGGTTACGGCGACTCTCTCGTCCACGTTTCCACCGTCGCACAAGCACAGAGTATAGAGGGTGTTGGTGCAATCGTAGCCTGCGTACCAAACTTCACACCCGTCACACCAGCTGAGATTGAGGCGCGGCAAGTTCTTGAATGCTTTTTGGCGAAACCACACAAGGGAGCGCTACTAGAGATGTGTTACCATCCGACCACTTGGACGGAGATCGCGGAAGTAGGAAAGCAGAATGACTGGCAGATTGTGCTGGGAACGGAGGCATTAATATACCAGGGACTGGAACAAGATCGCTATTGGACCGGAAAGGCAGTAGCTGAGTTGCCAGTTGAGAAGGTGCAAGAAGCTATCGCCAGGAAGCTGAGCGAGGCAAGATTGTAGTCGTTAATCGAACTGAACATATCTACGTATACTTGTCACAGGCCATGAGCTCGAGGTGTGATGCGAAAACTATTTACGCTCCAGGTCGCGAATAGTCGAGATTACGGACCCGCCGCCATACCTCACGTACTGTCCTTTCTTGACTCTGTCGCCCTGTTTCCGTCGGCGATGGTCCAGCGGGTCTGATAGCCAAATACAACCGACTCCCTAGCTTCACTTCTTCAATAGGCGCATTGGCCTCATCCTCCGGGGGGTTCGCCGTTGTGACCAGTCCTCCGGCTTCGTGTAAGATAGCAATGCCAGCCGCAACATCCCATTCCCAACACCCTCCTTCCCACCAGATATCAAACGCTCCCATAGCAACATATGCCAGATCTAGTGTTGCACTTCCTAGACTTCTAACTCCATGAACCATGCCTCCTCTCCCCTGTCTTCCTCCAATCTCAGCCGCCATATTGACAAAACTCTCAATCTTGCGATGCATATTGCCGTCTGGCGTATCTCTTCTATCCTTGCCCCATTCACATGAGAAGATACAACCACTAGGCGCCTTTGCCGGCATGGGTGGTATGGGGTTGCGCACCAGCGGGAGACGTTGAGTTTCGTTGTAGAAGGCGCCGCGACCAGCGCAGGACGAGAAGAATTGGTTCGTGAAGGGCGCGTATATGACGCCAATGAGCGGTTTGGATTTGTGTATGAAGGCGATGCTCACGCAGAACATGGGGAACAGGTGGATATAGTTTACTGTTCCGTCGAGAGGGTCGACACACCACGTAGGTGAGGCGTCGATTACGTAGTCGCGGGAGGAGCCTTTGCTATACGATTCTTCGCCGACAAACCTGTAGACAGTCAATATATACTTCTGTTATCGAAGATTAAAGACATACGTGTGCTTGGGGTACTTCTCAGCTATTGCCTTCTTGATAAATGCCTCAACATCCTCGTCCGTCTCCGTAACCAAATCGACAGCATTCTCTTTCTGAACATGTTCCTTCTCTTCGCCTGACGCATTCCCACCATCGATTCTCAATTGCGCGGCATCCATGAGCATCTTACCCGCCTTCCGCCCCAACTGGACAGCAAACGCGTAGATCTCATCGAGTTCTTCTCTTGAAATGTCCGTCATGTTGATTGCCTGTTGTCGTGTATACAAAGAATACTAGATTGGCATGGCAGAAACGCCATGGCGAACCAACACGCGCCAGAAGCGATCGCGTCGCACATCATCCGTCTAAAGCCGTATCGGCTAGGAACGGAAAGGGTCCTGATAGCTACATGTAGGGAAGTGGGACGTCATTCTTTGAGATTGGAAGCAAGACGGCCGATCGTAAGGGTGGGGGTAAGGACTTTTCCCTTTCCGAAAGCCACCGGAATCTCGGAACGAGCGTACACTGAGAGGATACGCGACACGAAAGACAGATCAGTCGTGTTATCGCAATCTCTCCCAACATCAGCACAGTTTTAAAAGCACCGATATTGGCTTATTAGCTCAGGTCGTATCAAAAGCTACCGTTTCAGGACGTCTCCTCCATACTTACAGCCCAACATGCCCAAATCCATTCTCCTAATAAACGGTCCAAACCTGAACCTCCTCGGCACGCGCGAACCTACAATCTACGGCTCTACATCTCTCTCAGACGTAATTACCTCCGCGCATACCCAATGTACCGAACGATCCGTGAACTTTTCGCACATTCAATCGAACCACGAAGGCGTACTCGTTGATCGCATACACGAGGCACGCGGCAAAGTCGACTTCGTTGTGATCAACCCCGGCGCGCTCACACATACCAGCGTCGCACTGAGGGACGCGTTGGCCGGCGTGGAGATACCCTTTGTTGAAGTGCACATCAGTAACATACATAAGAGGGAGGCGTTCAGACATCACAGTTATCTGAGCGATAAGGCCGAAGCAGTAATTTGTGGTTTGGGAGTATATGGATATGAGGCAGCTATCGAGTTTGCGGTGAGGTATCTTAAGGAAAAGGACGAGAAGAAGGCGAATTTGTAGAGCGTCATGTATAGCTAGATTTGTGGCGGCAAATGATGCTTTGATTTTGGTACCGATGTCTATGGAGTCTCCTGTTCGCCAGTAACATGCAGATTATCAGTCGTGCGTTCTACTGAATCCATGTTTGATATCCTGTCGCGCTTCAAGGTATGTTTGCAATGCTGTGATAGCTGGTAGCAGAAGCATGACCACACTCAACGTCTGTCCGAATCCCCAAACGTTCTCCTCGTTATCCTGCAAACCACAGAAGTTTGCCGGGTCCTCAGGTGCCGCGAACTTCTGCGTCAGGACTAAGATAGCGGACAAGATTGCGAGCAATATTTGCACCACGAATGCAATGGCTGGATTGAGGAAGAGAAAGTAAATGAGACGCAGACCAAGACGCGCTGGACATATGAACCGTGGTGAAAACCCTCTCTCCTTTTGTGTGGAGTCGGTCAAGCGGCGTACGAGGGCTTGTATTGAAGACTCTGAACAAGACGATGGTGTGTCCAGACCTCTGCCTTCCGGGTCGTATAGGATGCAAACCAAAGCCGTCGAGAAGCCGATTAGGATGAGAAATAGTGGTACGAGGAACGACAGTCTTTGTACACGACTGCGCAGTATAGATGTACCGTCTTCGTCTTCGATAAGACTGGGCGGCATCGCAATGGCGGTGATCATGGACGTAAGCAGAAATAGAGCGAAGCATACGACAAGTGCGAGGCGGATCTTTGCAATGAGCTTGTACTTACGGAAGTACTTTCGGAGCGTGATCAAAGCAGCGAGATGCGATGACGACGATAGAGCGCATATGTAGAGGATAAGGACGAAGTGAGCACCTTGGACACGAAATGAGCGTTGCGCCACCTGAAGGTATACTGTCAGTAGGTAATAACATCAAGAGACGTCGACCGTACTTTGATCCATCCACTCAGAAGTACAGCGTAGCCCGTAATGAGTTGCTGATCGCCGAAACCAATTATGAGTGGGTCTAGGAAAGGACGCCACGCGTAATGCTTCTTCCACTCATTCTCCAAGAAGCGCTCCCGGATGTATGTGAGCGGCGCTCGAGGCGTGAAGTGACCCTTCGTATCGAATGCTTGGTCGAGAAGCATAACGAGGATAGAGGCAAATGTAGTCATGAAGCTTGCGATGACAAATGACAGGACGACCTGCGACATTGTTAAACTGATACCACACGAAGTAATCTGGGGTTCTAACTCCTACACCAGCGATGTCTGGCTCTGCTCCATTGGCGCAATCCCCATTCCAGGCCGCTATGCTGTCAAATGTGACCCATGGTGGTGCCATGCATGAGCAACGAATCGAAAGCTGGGTTGCGTGTGGAATTGGACGTTTTGAAACCGTTAAGTCAATAGGATGAGGATGTCTGAGTTGCCCAAACAGGGCATTGTGAGAGGCTTTCGAGGGAGGTTTGGGTGGACTATGTGTGCGTAGATAGTAGGATGAAACGTAGGTGTGGAGACAAGAAGAGTAAAAGGGAAAGGCGGTCGATGTGTTTGGAATGACCTTGAGTGACGATTTTGTCAAGCCTCATACATGTTATCGCACGTGGCAAGAGTAATTGAGGAAAGTGCTGCCATCGAAGCTCGCGAGTCACTCATGTGGAAACCTTGGAACAACAAATCACGAAGTCTCGTGTACGAATCTTATACATTGTGTGTAGTGCAAGCTGGTTCGCTGGGTATCAAGTACTATTTAGACAGCCTACTTCATTTCTGCTTACTCTTCGCCTTGACGCGAGCAGCCAGCTTTTTGATATCATCCTCGCCCTCTGCAGCATCCTGTTTGGACTTCTTCGACTCTCGTTGAAGTTCTGGCTCATCACCATCCTTGCCTTGTTTGCGCTTCTTGCGACCCTCCTCTAGCAGCGCCTTCATACCTGACGTCTCCTTGAACCTAGGGTTTGTAGGATCGATAGCAAACTCATGGCTTTCGTACAACTTCGCAAAACGAGGATCGGTCGTGTCGATCTTGAAGTTGTCCTCTATGATGGGAGCGTTCTTCTTGGCTTTCTTGCCCTTCTTCTTGGCCTTCTCCGACTTGACGATTTCATTCATGTCGAAATGGCGCAGCTTGGAGTCGTCTTCGTCTGCCATAAGCAGCTCCAGGTTCGCGCGCTCAGCTGCGGCCGCCTGATCCTGCTGCTCTTGCTCTGCCTTCTTCTTTGCTTTCTCAGACTTCTTCGACTTGGGCTTGGCGGCCTTTGCAGCTTCTTCGGGATCAGAGGCAAAGAACGGGTCGTTGAATGGATCGTCTTCGTTCGCATCCGCTGGCGCATCCGCCTCCTGCTCAACTGGGGCATCAGGGTCCCTGCCGGCCTTCTTGGCTTCCCACCTCTCCTTACGCTTCGCCTTCCTTTCCTTCTCTTTGCGAATGTACTTCTCCATTGTAGTCTCTTGCAGTGGGATTTCGTTCTCGAATACGTCGCCGTTGCTAGCGCCATTGGATAGTCCTCCTGTGAAGGTAATCTGCATCTCGCTATCTGGCTTTGGAAAGTCGCGATCGCGCTTTGCAGACGTCTTTTTCTTCGTTTTTGAAGACTTGCCAGGAGCCTCCAGTCCCAAAGCAGCCCTGAGACTTGCGGCCTTGTCTGCCTTTGCTGCTGCTTCCTCGTCTTCGGAAGATGACTCGTCTGTGCCCAGGTATGCTTGCAGCTCGTTCTCATCAATCTCCTTACGGGAGAAAGCTCGCTTTTGCACTTCCTTCCGTGTCGCGTCGTCAGCGTCCCAGGTCAACTTGACCTTTGAGTGTGTAAGTGCATCCGTTGAGAACTCGTTGGGTTTATAGCCGTCCGGCAGCTTCGCGCATTCGTCGTGGGGATCTTGGTCGAAGGTTGTGCCGTCGGGAACGAATCGTAGGTCGAAGAAGTTGGCGCTCGTCAGGTATTCTCGGCCATCGAGATTGTCGTAGATGGACTTTGCGACATTGGCAGAGGAACATGTGATGACGGCGTAGTAGTATCGCAGCCTGTCAAGTTGGTAGGCTCGCAGTTTGGTGGAGTCGAATTCTTCGCCTGTTTCGTCTCCTTGCAAGTCTGCCCTGTTTTGTTCCTCATCGTCTGCGTCCGAGATGTCCGAGTCGTCGTCAAGCACGCCGATGTTGTTCTTGTCTCTATTGGACGTGGATGCGAAGATCTCGCGGGGCGGTCCCTCAATCTCCTCACGCTGCAGGCGCTCCATACCAAACTCGCTAGGGTATATGACAACGTTGAGGATTCGCCCATCAGCCGGAACGAACGAGTTTGCTACAGCCATGATGTCGGTGGCCCGTATGTTGTCCCAGTCCATGTTCACAGCAGCCAAGCGTGCAGAGATGTCGCCTGTCGGAACTTCATTGTCGTCGCCGGCAAGCTCTGTTTGCTCCTCCAGTTCGACCTCGTCCTCTTCTTCGCTGGAGCTCTCGTCCGATGAAGACTCAAGTCCACCGTCTCTGATGGGGTCAAAGCCTTCTTGCTGTACCCTCTGCATTTCCTTCTTGACCGCTTTGTCCCGTTTCTTGTTAGCCGGTCGCTCTAGCTCCAGCTCGTCTCCGTCGTCTTCGTCGTCTTCATCTTCGTCGTCCTTGTCATCGCTGTCGGCGTCATATAGCCTGTCGATGGCCTTTTTGCCAGCTTCCTTGGATACCTTTCTGCCATATTTGTCGACTGTGGCCTTGTTGTAGAAGTCTGGATCGCTCCGTAGTCGCGAGAACCGGGGATCGAGCTTGGTCTTGGTGTGCTTCTTCGAGGGGAGTCTGAACTTGGGGTCGGTTTCGAAGTTTGCGAATCGCGAGTCGTCTGTGGTAGGCGCGCTAGATTTCGCGCCCTTTACAGGTATCGTCTGTCGTTTTGGAAGAGGCATTGTGAAGTTTGCTTGTCCGTGGAGGCGGAGGGCTGTCGCGCAGCGCTAGATTGGGAAGCTGAACTTTTTCTGGGGCGGTGGCAGATCGGCGGCGACGACGTTTGATTGGATACCGCCTCGGAGGTAATCGACGGCTAGGGATTCGACAGCCGATCTGGGGAAGCTTTAGCTGCGTCACTCTCAAGAGGGGAAATACATCACACGACGGTCCCGGAAGGGCTCCGGCTGTCCCAACAACTTCTTCACGTCTTGGTCAACTTGCCAGTCTGCTTCCTACTTCCACAATACCCGTCTCAGCTGAAAACATCCCAGACAAAACACCATGGCTTACTCCAGACTCCTCACGTAAGTCGGGAGCTATGCACAAGTCTAGCTTGAGCTTATGCATAGCATTGGAACATGTAGCTGATACTGACCGCCTGCAGTCCCCGCAACATGACTTTGGTCTCTTTGGCTTCACTCGGCAGTGGCTACTTCATTCTCAAGTCAAAGGCGCTCGCCGACAAGCAGAGAGACCGTGCTGCAGGCGACTATACTGTCACAGTCGATAGGTCAGGTACGAGATCCCATTCCACCTGAGAAGGGTCCACCATTGCGATACGTACATCGCGCTGACTACAGAATATAGGAGGCGGTGTCTGAGCACGTCGACAATCTAGCGTCGACTGCCATGTGGCAGCTCCAGCATATGACCAGCGGTGTGCAGCCTTTTCTTTCACAATGCAATGGCCTTCATCATGTTTGCAGCGTTCCAAGCTTAGCGCCTTTCTTTACCACACCAAACACCATCAGCGGTTCCCAATCCGCACCGAAGCGACACTCGTTCGTACACTTGTATGCTACTGCCAAAAAGAGGGCATTAATAGATCTACAGCGTATCCTGTCTCAAGTGATGCATACCAAGCGCATGGTACCTGCAGGATGATCTCCGTACCCGATGTACTTTTATCCAGCGCGCAACAACACCAACAACAGTATTTCATACGAAGAATGTGCCTGTACCTCCCCGAAACAAGTTCGCATGCGCCGAGCATTTGTTTCGAACTCGCTCGTACGCGGGCGACCCGCATCCGTTGTTAGTTACGATTGGCCGACCCATCCGATGCTAAATTTAACTCACTCAGCCTCAATCAAGAATGCCCGAAAAGCGACAACAGAGATGAAAATAGTATGACAACCATACGAATCGTCGGAATGCCCAAGACCCGCCGTTACGAATTTCACCTCCACTTTGTTCAGTGATTACGACTTCCTTGTTGAGGGTCCACTTCTCAGCTTTTTGGCTCAGCCTTTGCGGGCGTCCTTGTCAGCTCTCACCAGGATCTTAGCCAATGAGCTCACAGTCCATCAGCATGAATATAGATTATCTCGAATACGGGATCAGGAGAGCCGTCCAGCCTTACGATGCCATAATCACTTACAGTACGATCCTCCACTCGTGCACCAGGATGGCGGAGCTGCAAAAGGATGCCCTAGGCCCATCACTTTGCTAGAAACTTACGCGATCATTCTTTAGTCTTGTTTGTGTGACTGCATACACCTGTCGGATTTTATTCATTCCTTCACATCTTCATCTGGAAACTTGCCTATGTTCTGTACTGACGATTGCCACTTTTGATCGGATCGGATCGCAAAACACGATTACCAACATGGGTCACAACGATGTCGCTGGGCATGAAAAACAACAAACCAGGCAAGGGAACGAGATGCAGATACCGCCCCAAGCAAATGTACTAGCGGCAGCCAGCTATGTCCGTCGAGTGTTTGAGAACAAGAAGTTCACTTATGCCATCATGGGCGAGCTTGCGATGCTTTGTCTAGGACACGGATGCGAGATGCGGGATGTATTCATTGCATACGACGATAAAGACTACAACCGGATCAAGAAGAAGCTTGAGTCCGACCGACGGTATAACAGAGGAGCCTACTTTCTCCAAATGGCGACTGGCTAACAGCGTCAGGATACGACTGCCTGAGGGCATGAACCCTTTGTTCCCTTCCAAGATGGTGGTACAAACTGGGCCTAGCTTTTTAGATGCAGGATGTAAAGGTCCAGCGACAATAGAAGTAACCCTAGTGCCCTCTGGTCAGTTGTACACGAACCTGTTTTGACCTCCGGCTAACGGTGCATAGGCTCATACGAGACTCCATCGAACGGAACCCTTGCCAAAAACGTCGTCTTGCTGAGCCTTAGGACCGATGGGGTGTTGAGGACATTCTACGGATTGAACATGCTATACCTCGTCAGGACCCTACTTCACTTTTGCCAGATTCGCGGCTTAGCTTGGGAACCACGGAAGGATATTCACTTCTTGTGCCAGCACTACGGAGATCAACTACAGTCGATTCGCAGTCTTTTGAACCCAGATTTCATAGAACGGAAGTTTCTACGAACGGCTTTCGTCAGCCGGCTTCCTTTCGAAGAACAGCGAAGATGCTATCGTACGTTGACAGGTCGGGAACCTCCTTCAGCCACCACGCTGGCCCCACCGACAGCGGAAGGAAATCACATCCGGTCGCGGTCCGCATCTGAGCTACCAAGAGTTCAAGGGATTTCCCGCGCATCGTTACCAGATTTCTTATGTCCACCAGAGTCTCAGAAGATCAAAACATCTCACCCGCGTGCGGAACATGCGACCTCGACGCTCATGGAACACACAGGACCTTCCTCAAATGCAGCGGCTTATACAAGGGATTCACGTTCCAGATACCGTATGTCCAGTGCCCCAAGCAGCAGACGTACTAGTCCCACAGATCCTCAATCTGGATCCAATCCACAAATGCAGTTCTCGAACTTGAAGCCTTCATCCGAGCCGGCTCCGTCACTTTCCCTCCACGAGCGTGCAGCTTCTTATTCAACACCAAACGCCCACCCTGGCGTCCCAGGACCATGTGTAGCGCAAGTGCCAGCAAAGAACACGTCCAGCGCTCGTTCACCGCTCCTTGATATTAGGACTACGCATCGGATCCCTGAAAAAAGCTCTCCAGAGGGCTTTGGAACATCTGTACCAGAGCAGCGACTGAGCAGACTTCAAGTAGTCAACTCTGCTGGCGAGACTATATCACGCACACGGTATGATGCAGAGGCAAAAGAGGAGGCGTATAACCTACATGTTGTAGGACCCCAAGGAGTCTACCAAGCACCGCAGAATCACCCAAGCCCACCACCAACCGCCAGTGAAGCTACCACATTATCTCAAAATTCTCCTCCAATCTTCGAACTCGACGCGACACCACCGCCACATGATATCCTTGCAGAGCTCTCCGCAGACATCGATGCTGCGCTGCAAGTCAGCCACCATCCTCGCACGTCTCCACAACCCGCGCTACCACAGTCACACGACTCGTATAGGCCGCCCGTTCCTCGTACACAGTCCGCTTCATTAAGCACACTTCCAGCAAGCTTGATGGTTGGCAATGCGTCTCCCCAACTGCCATCTACACCACCACATAACACGCCTTCTACCTACCCAACGACACAAACGAACGCATCGAGATATTCAAGACAATACCCGCCTCCTTCCTTCGCACAGGCACCGAACAGTCTGCCTGCATCACCACCTCTTACACCAGCACCATTGTCGGTATACAAGGCGTATCAGCCTACGACCATACCCAATTCAGGGCAGGTATATCCAGTTTCACCACCTGATAGCGCTGGCACCGAACACCGTATCCGGCCGACAAGCTTCATGCAAGTGAGAGATATCGATGGTATGGGACACTATTTTGCTACGCATAACCGGCAAGCTTCGCACCATGTCCAAGAAGTGATTCAGAGCCTGGATTCGAGCATGCTAGCGATGGAGTATCAAGCAGCATTACCACAGTTTGACGAAGGCTATGGAAGAAGATGAACATGGAATTCCTTCGTGCGCGTATACATGTAAAGAGCTACTCATGCACGTTGTAAGGACAAATATTCAATATTGAAAAGCGGTAACGCTCAGTCGAAGGATGGAGAGGGGTATAAACCATATCCAACAAGATTAACAAGCACAATATTTACAGCGGTACATCTTCCATCATCTGTATGGCGCCTTCCCTTCCGACCGTGATGATAACATCTCCCAGCGTCTTTGTCGAAAATCCTGCTTCTGAGTACCTGAAGTAGTAATCCCACTTCCTCTTGAAAACCTCCGCACCCTCATCGTCCATACCCTCCTGGCTCTTCTCTTTAATAAGTTGTGGTTTGATCTTGCCTTCCCAGTTATCCAAAAACTCTTCACGCCATAATCGCAGCGCTTTCGCGTAGTGGGGCCCGATGTTCTCTATGCTGTCGACGACAAGCGATCCACCTGATGCGGTTTGTATGCTAGCAACGAGTTCGGAGACGGCGGGAAGATGACCTCCAGGGAAAATGTATCGGCGGATAAAGTCGTCAGATTTGGCATAGGCTTCGTAGCGAGCATCGGGCATGGTTATGCATTGGAAGCATGCTACGCCACCCTCCTTCTTGAGCAGCTTGTCGATGCACTTGAAGTATGTCACCAAATATTCTTTGCCCACAGCCTCCAACATCTCAATTGAGACGGCCTTGTCAAAAGGCCCTGTCTCTGGTACTTCCAAACTTCGGTAATCGCATAGGAGGACTTGTATCTTGTCTGACATGCCCGCTTCTCGTATTCGCTCTTCTGCCAGCTCTTTTTGCTCAATCGAGAGGGTCAATGATGTGACTCTGCAACCTGTCCGTTGTACGGCGCGCATGGCGAAGCTTCCCCAGCCAGTACCAATCTCCAGAACGTGATCTGTGCCCTTGATGTGTGTGTTGTCGATGAAGCGATCGAGTTTTCGCATTTGCGCATCGTAGAGGCTTTCGCTCGCACATTTCGGGTCCGATTTCGGTAGCCATATCGGGCACGAGTACGTCATGTCTTGGGAGAGGAAGGCAGCGAACATTTCGTTGGAGATGTCGTAATGTGCGGAAATATTGAGGCGCGCGTTCTTGAGATTGTTGCTGCCTCTTACCAGGCCAGCGAGACCAGAAGAGATGGCAGAGGTGAAAGTTGAACCATTGGAAAGATAGTTGCGGTTCAGGATGAAGAGCTGCGAATGTAAGCTGAAAAGCGCATCTTAACGGTTACCAAATGTGGCAACTCACCTCGAAGAACTTGGTCAAGTCCGGTGTTGTGAACTCTCCCAACATGTAACTCTCTGCAAAGCCCTAAAATCAATCAGCTCTTGTTCTTTCCGATCGCACGAGTATGCCGGAGCGTACCATGTCTGCAAAAAGCGCCAATCGCACCCAGAACTTCTCGTCGAGCACGTTTAGGAATGCAATTGGAAGGCCCTCTTTGTCAGAACCAAACGCAGCGGTCGCCTTGCTCGAACCACCTTCAAATAGTACCAGCTTGCCATGCTTTAGATTCTGGAATTGGGAAAGTGTGCCATTTTTGCATAGAGTCACCAGTGGCCCCCAAGCTTGTGATGTAACTGGACTGAGCAATGAAGACACCGCTCCTGTCACAGAACTATAAATCGCCATAATCCCGATGTATGCCTTTTGAAATCGAGGTTTTCCGGCTGGCGCAAACCCAAATGATCAATTGAAAGACGTTTAGGCTACGAAGCTGTCCAATTTCAAAGCAAAAGGCGCGCGGCTTCAGTGCGAGTAGCGAGACAAATCTGCTAGTACGTCTCGATCTGCCCGAGCTTCTTTGTAAGATAGGTGGCTGTACGGTGTGCGGGCGGTCGTGGAGGGGAATTAGCGCGTCAATCGCCCAAAAGTAATGCGACAATGGTATCGTGAACGCGTCGGAAGAAGAGCTGAGAAAGAAGTCGAACGACGGTAGCTAGTCGGCTAACACATGGCACCAGAGTCTATTTCAGAAGTCCAGGTAGCTCGCCGTCCTATCGCCGGAACGGCCGAAAGCCGACACGGTGCATCTGGTTGCGCCGTTTCAAAGCCATGCGTGTTGCATTCTGTCTGAGGTGCAGTATCGGGCGAGGAAGCCTTGCCAATTCGAGTGATCTATGACGCCGTCGATCCGCCTAAACATCGCGAATGTCGCAAAATCAGTGTAACTCTTACACGTCGGCGGAGGTTGAGGCCGTGCAAAGGCATGTAAGAAGTTCGGATATGCGTATTTTTCTCCTCCTGTAGCTTCTAGTGTCTGTTCCCATGCGATGTTTGGACAGGAAGTTTGGAAGTGACGATGAGCCGCATTCCAGGGTCCACAAAATCATTTGGCGGCATGTTTGGGAGGGGCAAGTTATGCAGGGGCACAACTCACTGTGCGTCTCAGCCTTGCAGTCCCGTGTCTATGTTGAGTCCAGAAGGTCGGTGACAGCAGTTCGTATATATCCTTGAGCTTTCCATGTGGCATGAAGAGGTACTGCGGGTGTAAGCATGGCATGCAGCATCTCTCCGATCGGCGATGCTGTAGCGGCGGCCGCGGCCTCCGGACTGTGCCAGAAAGAACGGAATGGATGGCGTGGACTTTGCGACAGGTGTACTATGGTAATGAATGAAAATGAGCAAAAGAGGAGAGACGGATATGAAGTTGGTTATAGCCAAGCCAAGACCATGTACTTGCTCGTACTTTCGTCGTCATCTTGAGCTCGTGAACACCCTATCAGGAAAACGCCCGTGCGTCCGCGGAGACACGCTACGGCGCGTCGACGCGTATTCCGTAAATCACGTCCATATGCTTGTACCTATACATCAACCCAAACATTTTCAACTACGCATCAGCCCAAGGTTCATTTTTGTAATCTGTGTTTCAGTCGATACATCACTTACTTTCGATTTTAATATCTGACAAACATGCTGTCAATTCGGCCCTCCAACCCTCAAAGATGCATACCAAACCTGCTCCCTGCGCGGATAAACCACAACGGACCTATAAACGATGCAGAACGATACTGGAAGCCTGAGACAGATGACAAAGGTTATTGATCATCGTCGTACAACAACATGGACATTGATTCTGACATATTTCCAGGAAAGCGACACTCATATTTCCGTGGTCGACACCTCCATGGCACTGCGCTTCCACTTCCCAACAACTACACCGGCGCCATTCTACGCGTTACCGACCAGCAATTACCTCAAAGTCAAACACAGCCACAACAACCGCCTGCAGACGAGGACGATGAAGACGCCGAGACGGAAGAGAGCATACCTGTCGAAGTCAACATTGCGGAGCAAGTAGGAGAGTTTGACCAAGTCATTGTATGGGGACATGGAGGTGAGGTCGATGGAAGTGGGGATGCATTCATTAGGGGGATGAGTGAGTGGGTTGGGTTTGCAGAGAGCATGCACATTGATGAAGAGGAAAAGGATAAAGGCACAAAGCCGGGGGGCAATACCGTTTGAGAAACAATATCGAAGATTCGCTTGATCTCGACCAGGGGAGGCAGAATAGAGGACAGCTCTGGTCAAAGATACCTGAGGTGTTACGGTCCGGATTGATTGTGCTCAGCTTTTAGCCGCAGATCAATGTTCTATCCCAAGCGGCCTCCAACCGTCCACACATCTCTGCGATTCTCGATTTCCCCAACGGCACCCTGCATTGCCTCCAGCCCCGTTCCAGCCCATGTGTGAACCGCTACCGGATTGCTCTCGTACGTTGTCAACAGCCACATATGCAGCCACACCCCAGGTGACAAAATCATTATATAGCGACCTCGCATTCTGCATCGTACCTGGTGCATTTACATTGGCTCAGTTCGCGATCTCCTCATATCACCTGCTGTCGAACCGTCGTCAGAAACGAAATCCGCCCATCTTCTGCCTTCCGTACTTGTTCCATATCTTGTTGACTTCCCCGGCCAGTAGTGTCAGCTCTAGCTTCTCTTCATTCGGGTTACTTTTGAGGTTGGGTTACAAGTGTACGTTGATGCAGTTGGCCCAAACATCTTGGTATTCAAGAGCCATGTACTATGTATCCGAGTTCGTGTGGCCGCCTCCGATGAGTTTCGATGCGAGGTAAAACGTTCCTAGGACGAGTGAGGGAGATATGTTGAAGAGGCGTGAGTAGAGGGCTGTGAGAGCTCCAGGGGTTTATAAAGATTGATGTCTGTTGAGGAGGACGATGTTATGAATTTTGTAGTGCGACATTTAGTAATAGTTTTGCTGATACCCAAAGGTAACGGTCGCGTAGGTCGTAAGAGACGGGTCAGATGACAGCACGCAGCTGTTGTCTTAGGAAGGTAAAGATACTAGAAAATAGGACAATGCGCCAATTAGGTGACAAGATATCGATACTTGCAGGACGATAGCGAGGCTGAGAATTCGAAAGAAGAAGTTTGATGCCCCGTGTGAAGGCAATGGAGTTTTGGTGCGACCAAGTTTACCCTCGTCCACAGGCCGGAGCTGTTTTGTCCTGTTGATTGGTAGCATCGCAGTAAAAGTAGTGCTGTCGCATATTTCTTGTCCCTAAATCTCGCTTGCAGCTTCTGGCTTTTGACACACTGTTACCTCGACGCCTTCACATCATCTCAAGTCTCTCTCTAAAGTAAAAAAACTACCAATCTATCAGTCCCCATTGATCTGCACCCCAGATCAGTGCGTAACTTGCTCTTACCGTTTCTGTTTGTTCAGGGTTGCTCTCGGTTCGGTGTAATGCACCCCGCTCCCACAGCTTTTTACCGCGCGGCGAACTCACATCTGGGTCCAAAACATCCCACGTGCTCGCCACGCCGTTGCGCAAACTCAACAATGGGTCTGGAAAACGCACAGTAGGAATAGTGGACCAGGCACAGGCCGGTAAATCACCATCGGTACCCGGTGGACGGGAACGGGTGATTCCGAGAACTGGGGATGGGGACAGGGCAAGTGGAGCAGAGCCGCATGTAGTGCTCATCATCAGACGTCAGTCACTCGGGCAAGGCAAACGACGATCACTGAAATAGAATTGATTTCGAGAAAGAGAGGGTATTTCTGGGTATCTTCGTAGCCTGATGCGGAAACCAAAACCTCCGTGAATGCAAGAACAGCTGCCGTAGTTTCATCATTTGGCAAGCGAACAGACAAACATCATATCCCATCTCTTGCAAGTGAGACTGCCTCTACTTTTCACAACTTCGAGCTTTCCTCACCTTTTGTACCGCTATCCGAGAAGTCTACAAAACTCTCTTCGCCACTGAAGTGCCTGTCATCATCGTTCATTAGCCACTTGCCGTGACGAAAGGTTATGGGGTTGCTAGGAGATGCTTGTCTGTGCGAGAAGGAGGTAAAGAAATCTTAAGATGAGCCGATGCGACGCCCCAGCCATAAGCTGTAGGCTCTGATTTTGGCCAGTCTTTCCTATGGTACGGGAAGAACCTGGAAGCTATAAGGACGCAGCACGACATGGACACAAAGAATGGAAACTACACTTACCAGCCTCTCTCTGCTCCGCCCGAGAGGTAAGACGTCTCGGAGTTCATTTCGCATTCCCAGTTTCCAGCAACGCCTTTCATGGGGTCCGCTGATCTCCTCACATACTTGGACAGCCCGGCCGTGAAGCACTGGAAGTCATCTTCGTCGGGGTTCTCCGGCATTTTTCCCGTGAGCACCCGGCCGGCTGCTATCATAGTCGCAGCGTGGGTGCATAACAAGACGGTCTTCGGCTGCTCGGGGTCGTTATCCAGTGTGGTGACGATGTGATCTAGTGCGTTCCTAACACGTTCGTGTAGCTCCACGATCAACTCGCCGTTGGATCCCGGCATGTGTACAGACGCATATTGGTCGTCTAAGTTCCGGAAATGAGGAGTCAGAAGCTCGAGATGCGGTGGATTAGGGTGTTCAAAGTGTGCGCGCCCAAAAAACTCTCTGTTATCCACGCATCAGCATATCGCATACATGAGCATTACTCAGCCTCAACGTACCCAATGCCACGATCAATCCTGATCCTCCCCTTTGCCTTTCCCTCCTCAAACAGCTTATCGCTGAATGGCTTAAGAGTCTGCAAACAGCGATAGAAAGGGCTTGAGTAGATTCTCTCAACCGGGGGTTCGATCTTACTCAGAAACTCGGCCAACTCCTTGCTCTGGTCCACACCTTTGGACGTCAGAGGCGGATCAGTGGGTATCCCGGTCGGAGTCCTTGCCATAGAGGCGGTGTAGATACCCGTTTGGGGGTCAACGGACCAGTTGGCGCGGAACTAGATATTACGGGGGATACGTTAGAACGGATGCCATTTTGGGGAACAAGGGATCTGCATGTGGAGAGTGTAAAGGATGGCGTTTCATGTGATACACGCGGAGGTGTACACAAGCGAGATGTGTATGGAGGTAATGCGAGGACGGAGATGGCTGTCAGGGTAGCTTCCCGATACGGAAGGCTTTCCTCGACTATCGTGTGGAAGCATCGGAGGGCATGAAGCGCGGCGACGGAGGTCGAGCTTTGTACGTACCGCGTGCCGCACGATGTAGATGACTTCGATCATGGTTCCGTCGCCTTGCTACCCCGAGAGAGTTTCTGGGAGGGCAAAGCTTATTCTGTGTGCAGTGGTTGCTGTTGAGAGTACGAGGTGTTCCTGAGATGGAGGGTGTAGGTGTTCACAAGTTACCTCGGCAACTTTACCTTTTCGAGTGGCCGTTCGAGGCTTCAACTCCGGTTGCAGAGAACTCGGTACGAGGTTGCTTTCCCAGTTAGACACTCGAGGCTTTGTTACTGTTGTTGTGGTTCCTAGGTATCATTATCGCCGCAACAGAGGCTTTTGTAGCATTGCAGCTTCCATGCAACAAAGCTCAGCTGCTCGTTCGTAGATATCTGGACAGTCACCTCCTAGCACGTGCACCGCCTTCGCACAAATCCAGCAATGGCCATCATCGTCGTTTACCGCGTCCGACTGTGAGCCACTCACCATATGATACCTCCATCATCGGTGGGCCCCCACGCGCAGGCCGTCCCTGTGCAGCCTCTAGCATTGACAGGCGCTAACGCGAACTTTACATGCACACACATGCAGGACTTCATACTCTTGCGGTCGTAGCCCAGGAACGAGCCATCCTTCAAACAATGCGCAGCGTCATACTGTCACTTACAGTATGCGCAAGCGCAGCGCAGGGACGTTTTGCACTGATGCGCTGTTTGTTGGTTAGTATGCTATTGCGCAAGCCACGTCAATGCAACTGTTGCAACGTACTTTTGCAGGGGTGTTTTGACACATGGGTCCTTCGGGAAGTATGAAGTATCTGGAGGACGGGACGATATTGGAATGAACGACGTAATTGACGGTTTGGCCCTTACCCTTGCTTCTCATCATCGGTGCTTCCGAGTCTCTCCACAATCTGCGAGACTCCAAGCTTCACATGCTGTCTGTAGCCGGAAACTAACGGCATCTTGCCTGGGAGCGGGAGGTTTGATGACAGCGGCATAGAAAGCGATGGATGAGACACGGGCTAAAATCCTTTCCAGGGGACTATATTAGCTGGACGCGGGGTCAGAGATAACAGGTAGGCCTGACGGGTGAACATGTGTGGACTGTGGTGGGACATGAGACCTTACAGAGCCATCAGCAAATGAAGCCTGAAAGATCTTTACACGTGTGTTTCTAGGGCATGCCCATCGCACAGCCCTGACTAAGAAGGTGCCGTTAGCCTTGACGGCCATCAAGGACTGGAAACGAAGGCACACGACCCGCGCTTGCCTGAACAATAAAGCACCTGCCAACTTGAATCGCATTCGAAACATGGGAGTCCTAATCCTAGTGATGAGCTGCAAGCCATCGATGATCACCGCATGGTTACGACGACGTTATTACCGCAGTGCCATCCGAGGTCCGCCTCCATCGCGGTCACAGTGTAACGGGTATAACTCTCGGAACAAATACGTTCGTGGACTGGGGATGATCAGCGTCAAGTTCGACTACTGGAGGAAGCTAGGGGTTATCCCGTCTCCATCAGGTTGGATTCCAGGGTTCGTTTGGTGAGAACGGGTCCGTGCAACCAACTGTTGCCCTTCTACCAGAAGGATAGAACTCCGGGCAGTCCCGACATACCGCAGAGACACCGCTTTCCGGGTCCGGAGCGGGAGAATTGAAATTTACGTGTATTGAATGTTCACGCGCACTTCAATGAGCACGCATGTGATTGCCTAGGTAGGTCTCCGGCAATTAAGTACCTAGGTAGTGCGACGCACATGTGGGTTTGTCGTAGTATGCCATCTGCAGCCAATGGGCGTTGCAGCACCGGAGTTGACGTCGACCGCTGGTGCAGCTGAGGTTCGAAATGTCTTCCGGTAGCTTGGGACAAACGTGAAAAAGCAATCATGTTGATGCTGCCCAAGAGCCCTATAGCCATGAGCCCTAGCGTTCAGATGACACGGCACTGATGGTGCGAGGAACACTGGGTGGTAGCGGCAGATCAGACCCTGTCAAGTAAAACTAGACCAGACACCTTCCAGAGATTTACAATTGCGTTTTCAGTTAGCACATAGCACATGCTCTTACCTCTCTTTGGCATGCAGAAGTGGGAAGGATCCTGCATGTAGCCTCTTGGAAAGGGTCGAAAAGTGCCGGGGGCTGATGTAACGCAGCACATCTCCCCTGACCGGGCGGCCCCGAAGGATGAAGTGCTAGCAAATGCGACTTTATTAGAGCCAAAAAAATTCTGCGCGGCCAATCAGTATCAATCTGACGCGAGATATATGGAAAGTCTGGGCGCTAAATACTGCATGTAGACGGAAGTAGGGTACTTCTAGAAGCTCGTGCTGACGTTCTGTAGCTATAGAGGTGACTGATGTTCGATGCCGATGCATTGTCTACCAGTCTTTGATCTTCACTCTCACGTGTCGCTGCTAATTGGGTGACGAATGCTCACGTGTGAGGTTGATTGGTTACCACTTGCTTGCGTGGACGTCCTATTGGTTGTGGACGCAGGACAATGCGCAACTAAGTCGCATGGGCGACTGACCTTCAGCCATATGATCGACGCGACGCATGGAGGTGGGGGTATCTCTCAGTTTTACGGCTCCGTGGAACCGCTGCGACCAATTGTCCAACATTCGATAGACACGAGGATGTAGCAGATTCAAATCCAGAACCAAGGCGAGGTGGTTGCTTCGAAGCCTCGCAAAAGCAATTTGCCCGCACCGATTCCAAAGAGCTGAGCGTGGGGTGATGCAGGCAATCTAAGCCACACCCTACAGTGTTCGCCGATAACCCTAGTAAATCCTATGTTATTAAACCTGGTGATTCAGTCCTAGCCCATGATCGGAGCCTACCTGTGCCTGATGATAGTGAACGGCATGACACCAGAATGACGGTAGTTGCTGGGTGATGTGTGTGCAGAACGAGAAAGAAGCAAATACCAGTAAGTGTATGAGTTATATGTGTGAAGATAGGGATACGACTGATGAGCCACACAAACTCACGCCAACATGGTGACCATGTCATGCTTAACTAGTAGCTTGAAATGTTAGGGAACAGCACAGTCGGTGGAAATTGAGGGCAGCCGAGTGGACGACGTGAAGAAATCTTCGAAACTTATTTTAAAACTTATTAAACGTGGATAGGCATACAGGGATATAAAGGTCAAGGGACCAAAACGCAAAACATCGGAAACCTCTCCACTATTTTGGAATGGCACTGTGTAAAGGATACTCGTCAGCGACAGCCCCTTTGTGAAGTGTTGAGGTCTTCCCGGTCATCCTAAGCTTCTTCTCCGTTACCCAAACTCGCAGTGCGATAATATACCTCACTATGAGGAATATGATAATCGCGGCGACTAGGATACCCACTATGTAAGCTCCAACTATACCAGAAGAGTTCTTTTGAAGATCAAGGAAAGGATACACGTAAAAACCTTGAGTGGCATGTGTGACGTAGGCCAAGGCAAGATATAGGGCCAGCAGGATGATGATTGGGATTAGATCCAGCCATGGAAGTCGCTCCGTCCGGGGAAACACTATCTCAAAAAGCGCATACGCTGAATTGAGGGCATGCTGTGAAGTGTTTGACCAAAGGGCGAAGGTTGTAGGGAATTGCCCCGCAAGAAGCGTCCAGTAAACGACTATCATGAGTTAGCATTCATGTGCCCAAAGGGTCTATGGCGAAGACCGCGATAGAAAGACATGAAAAGACACCGAACGTGGTATCGCCGAGTTCCTCTGCACATTGATAGCAAAGCCGATTAGCTAAGTTGACTTACTGGTTACTATCCACGGGTACACAACAATGGTAGAATAAAACATGCTGTGCGCCACCTGTAGCGCTTTGGGCCACCGGGCTAAGAATGGAGTCCCAGTAAACCAGTAACTGCCAGTATGCACAGCAGCAAAGGCATAATAGAAGGCGAGGCCCCAATACGTCAGCACCGTAAAGAAGGAGAAAGATTGCTGCGACGCCTCGGACCTGCCATGGGTACCGTTCCAGCCGAAGATGAAAAAGAGGGTGGTGAAGGCGTATAGGGCCAATAGCGCGCGTATTGCGAAGAGGGAGCCTGGTGGGAGAATCCACGACGTTACAAACCGCGTGGGATCGAAAAGGCCGGCGTAAGGTGCCGTTATTCGTCGGCCAATCGCCATGTCGAGGCTGTTAGATAGGATCCTTGTCGAGTGCCACCAGATCGGGTTGCCAGGCTCTCGGCACGTTCCGACGTCGTAGAAACTGGTTCGTGGGTAATGCGCGAAAGACGACGCGTAGTATTCTGCGATGGCGATGATGCGACGTGGTGTTGCGAGACAGCTGCAAAACTCCTCCAGCCCCCAATTTCCGAGGCTGAAGCTGAAAAGGGCAGAGACACCGAGCTCAGAGGATTTGACTAGTGTGCTGCGCTAGGCCGCATTAAATTTAGTCTCGGTCACCGAAAGGACAGACAGGATCACCCGCGTTTTCGTAACATTACGCGCTATCCCGGTCTACCATCGCGCCTCTGGGCCCGTCCGCTTGACACCCACGCTTGTAGCCCTGGTCGCAGAGGCGAAGCATACTCACACTTACATCCTTACCGTGCAGACGCGGGCTATCCAGGATGAGGCCTGCAGCGCGCTTGGGTACAAGTGGCTTGCTCGACCCTATGGCTCTGCCTTCTTCTTTAAGACTACGGGATGCCATCTGTTTGAAGTTATACTACCCAGGATGATCACGCAACTGAACACCCATCTTTCCAACCCATCCAATACCAAGCTCTTCTCTACCGATCTGCTTCGTAACAAACATCACCATGAGTGACAGCAGAGTATCCGTACGTAGATATCTGTCACCCCATGGAGGCCCAACTAACGACTGTCAACAGAAAGCACAGAATCTTGCTCGGATTAGAGATAACCAGCGTGAGTACCTCCGGCCAATAGCAGCCACTGTTCCCACCATCTTCCTTTTCAAGCACGAAGAGTGGTGGTACTTTGTATAATACACCCAGCCAGATGTTGCTTGAACGTTCGATCACTGACAGTTTTCGCTAATCATGATCTTTTAGGCCGATCACGCGCTCGACGCAAAGAGTACATGCACGAGCTGGAGGCAAAGTTGCGCAGCTATGAGCAGATAGGCATCGAGGCCTCTTCAGAAATCCAGACTGCTGCCAGGAGAGTGTTGCATGAGAATCAGAAACTCCGCTCGCTGCTCCATGGAAGAGGAGTATCAGAGTCCGAGATTTTGGCAGCATTAGAGGACATGTCTGATCGACGATACGAGCATGATACTGCGGCTTCCAGATTGCATGCGATGCTTGAACGAAGGGTCAACACCAACGTAGTATCTTCTACAAGCTCGCCTATACCCTCATATACAAGGGCTGCCTCGATACCTCGGCAAAAACCACCAGTGCCACCCGTTACAATCCCACAAACGCGGCCAACAGCACTCAGCTACAACGACTCACCTAGCCCCGGATCCATGGTATCAACCATGAGTACACCACCACCGGCATCGTATCCAGCAACGCTCTACACTACGCCCATGACTCCATCAGCTGCCCAAATCAAGTCAGAGCATGTTCAGTACGACTACCCTTATGACCAGCCATACGGCAATGCGTGGGCTTACTCGAGCGATGGCAACTACACTGCAGAGCCGGTGTCTTACTATAACAGCTCGTCATGCGTTGACGCTGCGAATATCATCCGCACGATGCGGGTTGGCGTCGGCCCTGGGTTGGAGGCCGATCTAGGGTGTCACGCATCTGATCGTCGTTGCTTTGTCAACGACGCAACGGTTTTCAGCGCCATGGATCGATATTCCCAACACAACGCGACAATATGAAGAGAAGAGAAGAGAAGACAGCTCTTGGACATAAGCGTGAAGCTCATCGGAAATCTGTCTGCTGGACCACAGCAGCCGTACCAAAAGTAGGCTGAACTGTGAGAGCCGAGTCGCGGAGCTTGTTACCGACGACACAAGCAAGGCATCATTATGCATCATTATGCATCATCAGCTCGACATGCGTCTTCAATCTCGAAGTGCGTATGCTTTTGGAAGAGTCCTGTGGCGAGTCAATCACCCGGAGGAGGTACACACCGCATCACTGCATCGTGCGGAATAGTTATACAGCAGATTCATCGTCAGATCCCACTCTCGACATGTATTAGTCCTTGCGAATTTCTCGCCCAGAGTCATGAAATTCATGAAAGAAAGTCTTTTCATTCATGTATGCATTCAATAGAAAAGGCAGTCCATCTATCAACTCCTTTCTTTGTGCATAGCCGTTCGTATGACCTTTCACGCCGGTAAATCTATGTTCATCGAACCATTCACCAAACTACAGTCTGCAATTACGAAACTCACGAGCATATCGAAACGACCGATCAGAGTAGTTACGCCATGCGCGAGGATCTTTCATAACGACCTCTGTTGATGACGAGCATCATGCTGACGAAATTGCTCAAATTGATCAAAATCTCCACTAGCTTCTTCTGGTTCGTAGCCTGACATATATCCCTAGCGACCTTGCTGCTGCTCATGATCGTCTGATGTTGTCATGATTTTGTTCCGATTGCCACATCACTAGGTTCAAGGGATCTGCGCGACTTCCTTTGTGCTTCTGGCCAAGATAGCACGCAATATGTCAGCAGATCCGGCATCTGTTTCTTGTTTTCCACGGACAAAGACCCTTCCCTGAAAGAACACACTTTTAGCATATATCCAGTGGGACATTATCGTGCGTCTGAATTTTGGGTTTCAAGTTACAGTTGTTATGTTCACTAAACAGATTGTATCGAATACTAAGTAATACACCACCAGAATGCCTCCAAAACGTGGAAAGGATGATCAGGGGCACAGACAACACAGTAAAAGGACGAAGTCAGAGGATGACCACTATCATAAACGGCCTGCGATTGAAGTTAACTGGGCTATACCAAAAGAGAAGGCTAAATCTATTTACAAAGACGTACATGCCATCGAATATTCTCAAGCACTGTACCAAAGAGCTCGAGAAGATACAAATCCGCAGCAGACACCTCTACCAGACCCACAACACCGAACACCAATCTACCAAATCAAGAAGTTCAAAGACTTGCTAGCCGCAGACCAAAACCGTCCCAGTGCGTCATTGCGCAGCCTTTTCAATGAAATCAAGAGAAAGAGTACGACGGTGCAGGACGTCCGTTACACCCTCGCTCATCTCGAGCAAAATTTCAACGAAGAGGACCAGAACATTGCCGTAGTGCTTTCACGGTCGGAGAACGATGAGATTTTGTCCTCAATGAAGATGAACGACTAGAAGTGTAAGATAATGAAGTTCCGCTAGTCCGTTTCAAGCTGACCATATGTAGAACAGTTAATAACACGCACGCCCATATTAATCTTGTTCGACGGTCGTCTTCGAAGACTAAGGGGCTGATGGGTTATTTCATTAAACTGCCTCGCGAGATCACAGTAACAGTCAACGGCACTACATACACTAACAGCGACGACTTACCGTCCACGCCTTTCTACATTGGGCCACTCGAAGGGTACGCGATAATCGAGCTACTATCGCAGCCTGTCTTCTTCTTCAGGACTAGGGACAGTTTAAGACAACTAGCGTCAAGTAGAGTGGTCGCTAGAAAAGAGCTTAATCGTCGAGATCGAAATGGCAATGTTGCTATGGAGAATATTGCGGTGCGATGGAGACCAGTCGCAGCTCTTTCATCAGGGAAAGGATCCGGAAGCGAAGGGAATGCAGGGGACACGGAAGGTACGGAAGCCGCAGAAAGTATAGCAAGCACTGAAGATCAAGAGGGTGAAGGAAATCTAGAAGATATGGGAGATTGTTTCTATGTGCGAGCTCGATTGTCTTCTCATCGATCTGTTCGATATGCTGAACTTATCCCTAGGGTGCTTGCTGCTGTGAACCAACGACAATCAGATGGTACTGGGTTCAGTTACCAGCTTCAGGGGCGAGATTTCGGGCCGGGAAGAACACTGCTGGTGCCACTCGACATAGACGGAAACTACATTCTGCTAGCTGCTCAATATCAGCCTGACAGGCAGATCAATCTCACAGTCCTCGATCCTATGACATGGCGAACAAAACTGAGTATTCGAACCTCCATTTTCCAGCGTGCAAAGGAATTACTGCTCAACAGCAAGTGGTGCCAAGATATGTTTGACCCATCAAACCACATGATCGACAACCTTCCCGGTGATGCTGAATGGATCCCGACTGCGCAAATCACCACCAGCGATGGAAGCTTCATATATACCGTACTGAACGCGTGGGCACTGGCTATGGGTCTCGAACTTAACCCTTCGTTTACCCCCAGCCTCTACGGTTACGAGTCTTTCTTCATCCAGGCCCAGCAGATTTTTGATCTAGCCCTCCAAGGTGAATTGACATGGAAGGTCTTGCTCGCTTTCTGCCGGTGCGCCAAATTTGTTAAGTCGGTCGATGTCAACGGAGCAGACGGAGAGGTCAAATTTCCGGAAAGGTTGCGCCAATTTGACCTGCGCAAGTGCTCCTTTCAGGATCTTATCACTCGCCAAACAGTCTCAGATACCAAATCTGAAGGCAAGATCGACATGGAATCGACCACTTTTGGCTTCGAACACGGTAAGCGACACCGTCAAAAGTTTGCTTCCGACTCTCTGAGCGAGCGCGAGAGGTGTGATCTCGATTCCATTGTTCGGGAGGGCAAATGGACATTCACAAATACAGTAGAAGAGCTGAGAACACTTTTGATAGAACGCGCGCCGCCAGCTGCGCCACTCCCACTACCACAAAATCCGTATGTAGACACTGAACCAGTTGCTGATGAGTTTGATTGTTGTCTCCATCTTCGTACGGAGTTACAAAAGCTTGTTGAGGAAGAGAAGATCATGAAGGGTGTCGAGACTGGGCTCGAGGAAGCGACAATACCTACTTTAATGCCCAGTGAAGTCTACGACAGTATCGAGGCTGTTGGACGAGCTATCAACGATATACTTCCACCCGGTCATGGTTTCACCATGGGAGAAGTTAATGGTGTAATCAGGCATTCAGACGGAAAGAGTTCTGGATGCTTGGACGATGTAGTCTTGATGCTTCACCAGAAGGAGGGAGAAGAAGAGCATTTTACACTAGTGGTTTTACAACACGAGAACAAAGCAGACTACCCGAGTGCTGTAGCGCGTGTTTTGGACTCTGCACCGTGGACTTTCACGTCGAAAGAGCGCATCCAGTTGCATGAGCTACTGCAAGATTCTGGTCGATTGGAAGTTGGTACTCATCGTGGTACAACTCAAACCAGGACTATTGTAGGATCAGTTCTGACATGGATGCACGGACCCCAGCAATCTCGGGCGGAGGAATCTGGATACTTTGCCATTATGAATTCGTGGGCCGTACTGCTTGGCCTGCCTATCAACAATGACTTCTGCCCAAGAGAAGGCTTCTTTCAGGAAACATTCTCTCTCATTCAAGCAGTGAAGAATGGAAATGCGGACTGGAAACTGATCTGGGCGTTCCTACTCTGTGCGGGCTATATCCACTCTACCCAATTACCTCCACTGGAGCGCCGTTTCAGGACTACCAGAAAATCGACTTCCTATGAGCGTAGGAAAATAGACGAAGAAAGAACACTCCGGGCTACTGGCGCCCGTCACAACATTAACTACGACCAATTCCCAGTGGATACAGGTTTAGCGCATACCGAAACCTTCCCATGGGATGATTTCGGCGAGGCTGACAGAAGTACACGGATATCTGAGATGATCAAGGCAGGAAAGTTTACCAAATTTCTCTCACCACAGATAGAACGTGCAGTACAGAAATTACCTCACAAAGACAAGGAATCGCCTTGTGCTCAGTTTCATGGTAGGCTTAACGAAATCCTGGAGAACGAAGAGATCAAGACTCAACTTAAAGCTTTCCGAGATTATAAGAATCTCACTACTGTCTTCGGACAATGGCTGGAAGACGAGGAATTATCACTCGCTATTGCTTCCGTCACCATTGCGATCACCAATGCTCAACAAGACTATCTACGTGGGTTTGGTTTTATCGCGCAAACCCATGTTGAACTCATAAAAAACAATGTTCCAGGTGCTATGCGGACGCCGCGCCCAGGAAGGCCGTTACTTGTACCAGTTCATGTCGAAGAACATTTTGTGTTGCTCGTCATTCAGCTCGATGACAAAAATGAGCCAGAATTTTCAGTGTTGGACTCGAAAGCGTACCATATAACGCCCGATGGTCGTACAGAAATACACGAATGGGCCTGGAAATTTGTGCTCGAGTCAATGTGGCTGGAAAAGGTTTTTCCATCATCTCAGTGGCAAAACCATAAGCCTGCGCACACAACTTGGGTTCCTGTGTCCCAACAGCCTAGCGACTGTGAATGTGGTTATTATACTATCATGAATGGTTGGACTCTCGCACTTGGTCTGACTCCAAATCCCAATGCAAACATTGAGTGGACGGATAGATTTTACGGTGACCTACAAGATGTCATACACCTAGCTCGTATCGGTCGAGCAGACTGGAGCTTGATCTACAGATTTCTCGTATGCTACGGCTTTGTTCTCTCTGGAGAAGTATCGGCCGACCGGCGTTTCACTCATACCACGGCACTTTTGGATGAAGGAAGTGTCGAAGAAGCACGGGAGTATATCATTCATTTGGAGGACATTCACTTTGCGGGCATGGACACTGGAATGATGGATATAAATAAACTGAGGCATGCCAACAGGATTCGGCTATCTCCAGGAAGACAACATGACAGTGTCGGAGCCTTTCCGTCCGATGACTGGAGCCCGGACGCTTGTATGGACTATGCCAACGACTTGGCTCGGAATGGAAGGTTGAATCTGGACTTCAACAAAACTCAGCTTGAGGAGGCCCATGCCAATTTGTGCGATGTTCGAGGATTAGCATTTAGAAAGCAACTCGAGAAAGACGACGCAGACTACAAGAAACAAAACCCTCAGCAGTTACGCAAAGTATGCCAAGATTATTTGAATCAATGGCACACGAGCAAGAATTTGCTTTTACAGCTTCGACCATGTTCGATCCTCCATGACACTCTACATCTCTATCGGTATATATTCCGGGAGGACTTTCTTGGGAATATACTCAAAGGCGAGGAATCTGGAACAGGACATTGGAACCAGCCAAGGAATGACTCAGATGTCAGTTTGGCGATCGCCTCAGTTATTGCAGCGATTGATGACTTGCAACTGCAGAGGCACAAGGACACTAACCCGCTCGCAGCGTTCGCGGGTGGTTTCTGCCTTTCCACGAGCTACAGCATCGCCCTTGCAGGCGATCAGGTGGGTATGCCAGTTTCGCGCCCACGAAGATGTTGGTTCATGCCTCTAGGCGTCTTTAGAGGAGGCTATCTGGATATGGTTGATAAATGGCGTAAGAAAAATAAGAGGCCAGCTTCAGACACGACCGTGAACGGACAAGGACATCATATACTGGTGATTCTACAAGAACTAGAGCAAGATGAGAATTCAAATAGGAAGAGATTTGAGATAAGCATCTACGACAGCGCACCGAGCATACTGGCCGACGCGACCAAGCGCGCAGACGGCCCACTGTCCAGGATCATCAAGAACATTGCTGGTGAGCTCAAATGGCCTCAACAGCGTTTGAATGACGAAGCGGAGTACTTTATACAGACGATACCTGCTTCAAGCCAGCAGAGCGGCGGATGGCAGTGCGGGTCTCATGTTGTGATCAATGCATGGATTCTAGCTCTTGGCTTGCATCCGGACCCTAGTAAAGCATACGACGACATCATATACGAAGAGTTCCATACTCTCGCGCGTGCCGCCGTAGTCGGTCTACTGGACTGGCGAACGTTAGCTGCATGGATATTTTGTCGCCAGCTTGCTTTCGAGAAGAGGGTATCCGATATAACACCTGATCGTCAGTTTCGGATGACAGACTTCTGGAGAAACGAGAATTCCTTGTCCGATAAGATTCGGGAGAATGAACAAAATGAAATCACTGTCGCAGCGATGTCTGAGGCGGACCTACCTTACGATAGAGGTAACAACCCTGTACATTGGACGAATGCTGTGTTGAAGAAAAGAAAGGCGAAGACAGAGGTAAACAACAAAAAGAAAGATAAGAAGCACGGTTTGTGGAGAAGCTACGATGATCCAGATCCAGATTTCCTTGGTCACCCTAAATATACGACCCAGAAGCTTGGTGGGGAATCTCAGATTCGACATGGATATGGTGGAAGGGGACAAGCTGCTACGATCAACAGTAAGAAGCGCAAGCCAGGAGAAAAAGCTGGTTACTGTGGAGAATTCACACGCGATACACAGCTTGATTGTGACATGGAGGTAGTAGATTCAGCTCCTCCAACGCCTTTGAGGAAGAGACAGCGATTAGGCGATGTCTTGTCTTTCTTTGACACGTACTGAAATGTGCCCGGCCGTTGTATTTGTACCGCGAATGGAATGATGATGTATCTGTAGCGCACTGTGTTAAATTGAATATAGAAGAAGTTGATTCTTACAAGCATGGTAGGATGTTGTCGTTTGTGGTGCGCAGACACGATTAGGTGCAACCCCGGTCTTGGCAGCCGATGACGTCGTCCCAAAACCTGCACGCGTCAAGTCTACCCGCGAAACCCCAGCTTCCATTTCCAATCTCTGAACACACGATCCCACGCAACAACCCGCAAAAATGTTACGACCAACCCTTGTCTCCACTCTCCGTCTCAATGCCATCACAACCACAAACAAACGCGCCTTCTCCCTCCTGAACCCCAAATCGCGCTCTCACACAAACCGCGTCTTTGACCCTGTCCGCCAACCAAACGATCTCCACACACTCACTCTCCTCAACGCTGCTGACAACCGCTCGCTTATAACCTTATGGACCGCATCCTGGTGTCAGACGTGTCAAGCAATCAAGCCGCTTATAAAACAGCTTGTCGAAGAAGAGAAGATTGGGGAGCGCGAAGGCGGGCTAGGCTTCGTGGAAGTGATGATGGATAGTACTTTGATTGAAGATCTACCTATCAAATACCGCATCAGCAGTATGCCGATATTGTTGGCGTTTTCGCGACAAGAGGCGCAGTTTGATACCAGGTTGACGCGGCCTGAGGAGATGCGTAATAAGGACTTTTTGAGGGAGTGGCTGGTCAGGGAGGCACAGAGGGGAGGCAGGATGGGTGGAGGTGGGGGGAGCATGTTTGGTTAGTCATACGTGTTCTGTGAGGACTCTCGGATGAAAAGTTGGGCCTGACGGTGCTCAGGTACGAAGGAGGACGGAAACGAAGGCAAAGAGGGTGAAGAAAAATGAAGCGAAAGCGCGGGACATGAGAGGGCGGGATGCATAGGTACGTCCATCAATTGGAGGCTCAAAGAGCCGTTGCTGACAGCTTGACAAGTATGTTCAATACCAATAGTAAGAAACTAATCACGACATTGATGGTGAATTCAATAAGAGGCTTCATTATTATCGCTCTATGCTACGGTATTGCGCAACACTCATGTCAAGCGCCAGTCGCACAATCGTTGCTACCATCGCTCTTAACACTAATGTATCGACTGGTCTCAACAGTACTAGAGCTTTGAATGCCAAAGGGGGTATATCCATCAAAGCTACCAGATAAAACTCCCAAACGCCCTCGGAATGCTCAAGATACGACTGTTACAACTCCTTCCTTGCCAAGACTGGTGTTTCTCAACAAGCCGAGATTGCGTTGTCTTGTGCGTTCAACCCTTTGATATCTTTACACTCTTCATGAGTGGATCCTCATGAATAGTCTAAGACTGGGCATCCAGTCGAGCCCGCTTCTCCGCGCGCGTCTCACCGAATGCTTCGCCTCTCTTGTTGGCCTTCTTGCTATTCTGCGCAGGCTCTGTGTACATGGGTGTGCCGACGCGAGAGCCGCCGAGCGCGGGAGTAGGCAGCGAAGTGTCAGTAAGAGCAGGTGGAGAGGTGACATCATCGTCGTCGATAAGCATGTCGTTCTCGTGCTTGATCTGAGGTTCGATAAGCTGCGGGAGGCGGCTGTTGGTCTTCGCATTGATCATGTTCGCCTTGTAATGTTCGCTCTCCTGTTTGCGGTTCGCATCGTACTCGTTCAGCTGACGCTGCATCTCCTCATGCTCCTGTAGCCAGCTATCATGTTGATTCTTGTACTCCTTCTCCTTGTTCTCCACCCACGCTTTCTGTTCCTCACTCTCATCGACACAAGTGGGACACTTGATGTAGAAACCGCCAGTTGTGGAATCCTCGCCCATGAACTCAAACTCGGGAAGGTTTTCGCCAATAAGCTCAGTCTTGTCCCAGTCGAGACAATCCTCACAGAAGCCTTGTGGACACCAACGGCAGCGGAACATGAGGCCTCCAGCATCCGAGGTCGATTTCCCACACTCTGCACAGTTGTGCTGTGGGCACTGAAAGCCACTGAAGCCCTTTACCTTTGCCTTGTACTCGGGATCAAGACAGTCGATATGGTAAGCACGAGGGCAACCCTTACACTCGACCATGTGTCCAGCATCCGCATCGTCGAAACAGCTTAGACAATGGTCCTCATGGCCAAATTGGCGCCGCTTTTCACGTACCGGCTCAGCAAGACGAGGATCTTTGCCAGCATACGTCGGCACAGCCTCCCAGTCGGCACAGTCCATGGACTCTTTGTTGATAGCAAAGCCGTCCACCATGACTGTAGTGTTCTTTCCCTTGCGACGATCTTCGCGCGTGATGGTGTCTGGAAGAATATTTGCAGCTGAGGTATTAGCCTTCCAGGTTGTGTCAAGCTGGCGTTGGTGGTGCTTGCCCTCAAACACAGCGCATTCGACACGCTCCATGGTAGAAAGCCATTTATCCTCGTCAGCCTCAGAGTGTGTCGCTGTTTCGGTCAAGTCGGCAGGATTATCGCGACACTTGGCCATCATTGTCTCTAAATCCCAAGACACCATCTCTTTGACGTCAATCTCCGGATGTGACAGTGTCTGGGCGCCTCGTCGTACAAGTGTCTTCAGTTGTGTAGTGTCCATCTGGGGTAAGTCTTCGGTAGCAGATACGCGTCCGGCTTTCTTGCTGATAGTCGACTGCTTGCCATGCACGCTCTGCATCGACTCTGTGATTTTTGCCGACAAATAAAGCTTCTTGCGAATACGACCCATCATCTGCTCTTCGACGGTACCCTGGGTACAGAGCTTATATATGGTCACCTTCTTTGTCTGTCCAATGCGATGAGCTCGAGCTTCAGCTTGAAGTGTAATCTGCGGATTCCAATCTTCGTCAAGGAAAATGACGTCCTGGGCGCTCGTGAGATTGATACCCAAGCCACCTGCCCGTGTAGACAGAAGCATGACCTTGTAGTCTGAGTCCTTTTGGTTGAAGAGGCGAATATCAAGGTTGCGGCGAGCTCGAGCTGTGCTACCATCCAGGCGAAGGGCCTTGAAATGCTCTCCATGGTTGCTGATGAGGGATAAGAGATCTTCGCAGTAGTCAAGTGTGCGAGTAAAGCCAGAGAAAACGAGGACTTTCTTGCCCTCGTTAAAGACCGTGTGCTTGAGGAGCTTCTCGAGAAGAATGAACTTGCCGGATGCGCGAATGATGTGGTCGCTGAGGTAGTACGGATCAGGCGCGACACCTGGGAGCAGATATGGGTGTGAACAACACTTGCGCAATTGCATGACGAGGTTCATGAGCTTTTTCCAAGCGCCCTTGTTGGCGTCTGTGTCAGTCTGCTCCTTCGCCACGGCTTCTTGTAAGATTTTGGTAGTTTCGTCCCAATCACTTCCGGCATCGCCAGAGCGCACCACCTTCTCTACCTTTTCCATCTTCTGAAGAAGTTTGTTTTCTTCAATGTCCTGTTCAATAGCCGCTTTCTCCTTCTGCTTGCCATCCGCAAAAAGCTCGTCGAGCATGCCATCGTCAATGCGTGTCAACAGACGAGTGTACCAAATTTTCTGCATGGGAGTCAAGGGTACGTAGAGCAGCACCTCTTCCTTGGGGGGAAGTCCAAGATTGACAGAAGGAGAATCTTTCATGCGACGTAGCATGATGAGTTCAAGCAAGCGACGGGCGTCTGTCATGGTCTGCTTGTTCGCTTTGCCCTTGCTTAGGTCAAAGGATTCCTTGAATAGCGTCTCAGTCTTGTCATCGAAGACGTTGGGGTACAGCCATGTCAAAAGCGACCACATCTCGACCAGGTTATTCTGGAGTGGTGTTCCAGTTAGGATGAGACGATATTCGGCGCTGATGCTCTTGAGTGCAGTAGAGATCTGGGTGACGCTGCTCTTGATCTTATGTCCCTCATCCAGAACGACGTAGCGCCAAGCAAAAGAGTGTTTGAACCATGATTGCTCGGCCTGGAAGGTCTCGTAGGTGGTGACGACAATCTTGTAGGCATCGGATCCTCCATTGCTCGAGGAGAGCTTGGATGCCTTTCGGCCAGCCTTGCGCGACGCCTTCTTGTTTTTGGCGTGTGAAGTCTCATTTCCCTTCATATCCTCCATGCCAGCTGCAACGCGCTTCAAACGGGTCCGCTCAGTGACAGCGCCATGAAAGCGCATGACTTTTAGCTGTGGTACCCACTTCTGGGCCTCGGTGACCCACGAGTTGAGAACACTAAGAGGGCAGATGACGAGGTATGGGCGAAGTTCTTCTGACGTCACGCCGTTCTTCTCATCCAGCTCTTCGAGATACTGGAAGAGCGACAAGGTCTGCAGCGTCTTTCCAAGACCCATCTCGTCGCCGAGTATGCCAGAGAAACCGTTGTTGTAAAGATGAACCAAGTATGACAGACCTGATAGTTGGTATGGCTTCATGACAGCAGTGACACCCTTGGGCTGCTCCGAGAGCTCCTCGTATTCGACGATAGGCTGCGTATTGCCCTCGGCGACCAACCTCGCTACCTGGTTGTTCTTAGGCAGCAGCGGGAGGAAGAGATGCTTGTTGGCGACAAGAAAGCTGTTCGCCTTCGCCTTGGTCTTCTTAGTAATCTCGTCGCGCAGACGAGCACGAGCGGTGTCGAGGTTAGGAGGCGGTCGCGCAGCCTTTCGGCGAGGTGGCGAGGGGGTGGATATTGTGTCCGACTCCAAGATAGTGGTCTTCCTGTCACGCCCACTTCGCCGCAGACCCTCTGTCCGCTGGCGATCCTTTCTGTGCTTCTCCATCTTCAGCTCTTCAGTGTATGCAGAGATCCTGGCGCTAGTCTTGCGGTTTGGGCGGGCGGATGGTGCGAGTTCGTCTTCGCTGGTTCCCGCGTCGGCGTCTGCTTCTCTTGAGGTCGAGGCACGAGTGCTCCTGGTGGCTTTGACAGCGGGCTGTTTGTGGTCGGGAGTAGACGGGGAGGCTTCGTTTGCGGATGAATCGGAAGCGATGTAGTTTGGTGTTGGCTGCGGTCGCAGACTCCGTTTGCTGTCGCTTGTCTCGTCCTGCTTGGTCTCCTGCTGCGAGGATATACGTCTTCTCTTGGTTGCCGACTGGGCTGAACTCTGAGATCCAAACTGCGCGAGGAGGTCCTGCAGCTGGCCGCCTCGTCTCTTGGGGGTGATGGGCTGAGGAGAGCCCAGAGTTATGACCGGCTGCCGGGCCATTGTGACAGGTATGCGTTACTGTGCAGGCGAGTGGGTTCCGCGGTGAAGCAGAGTTGTAAGCCTGGAAATGCAGGGGAAAGTACAGGTGAATGGCAATTAGAAACGCGTTGTTAGAAAGTTGTTGGAAAGAGACGAAGACAGGGAGAAAAATAACTTTATTCGAGGCAAGTGACGGTGAAGAGGAGAGCAAGCGATTCAGCGCATCCAAACGAGGGCATTGAGACGACTGGGCGTCTTCACGGTGAAGTGAGACCTCGCGGCGCCTTCAGGTACGCGGAGGTGATACGTCAATCTTAGCAGACGCGTCCTAGCGCGACTTGCGATGGGCCCTTCCGGAACCATTCCGAGCTACCACCAGCTCGTCAAACGCCGTCGACCCTCAGACGTGACATTTGTCGAAGCCACTCGCCGAACTCGCGCAGCCGGCGCACACTCGTCGCACACCATGGCTCAACAGCCCATGACGCCCTTCTTCCCCATCTTCGCGTCCAAGTCAGATGGGCAGCACATTGTCAACCTCAAAGGCCGTCCTCTGCGAAACGGCCCAACCGAGGAACAGCTCAACACGACGCCCAACGACCAGGGCCAGCGCGACTTCTACCGCCTCATAGACAAGGACGACCCGAAGCACCAAGACTGGCGCAAGAAGCTGGGTGGCATGCTTCTGCGCGAGGTGGGCGGCAAGCAGCAAGAGGGTAGGCAAGGTGCGAGGCGCATGGCCGACTGCAGACTAACATGTGACAGACAAGTGGCAGCAATGCATCCTGTGGGAGCTGCCGGAAAACTACGTCCTCTACGAGCACATCAAGACCAAGGCAGACGGACAGCTGAAGACGGTCAAGAACCACTCGGGCGGCGGCCACGATAGACAGGATGCATACCTCTACGGATACCCAAAGGGCCCCAAGAAACGCTTCAGGAGTCCCGTCGAATTTTTTCCCCATCTCCTGTGGCTGTGCACCGACGAGAACAGCGACATGGCCAATTGCACGTGCAAGATGTGCTCGCCTGCCGGAGACGTCGAGAAGCCCCAAGTCAAGGTTGAAGCCAAGCAAGAGCAGCCCATGGCCATCAAGCGAGAGAACAGCTCCGGCGGCGCTACACCAAACAGCACCGTCGTCGGGCGCAATCCCGTAGTACAAATCCCTCCCCGAAGGCCTTCAACCAGTGCGCCTATCCCCAGTCCTATCATCAAGCCCTCTACGCCCGTTTCTGCCCCTAAGCCTGCACCTGCACCCAGTGCTCCGCAAATCAGAGCCCCTCCAACCCTGCAATCGACCCCTCTCCCTCAACCGCGGTCCTTTGAACAGCAAGTCGACTTGTCATACAACAAATTTCTCTGCCGAACTGGAGAGGTGGTGTGGTTTTTCAGGCCCAAGACGTCAGCCTGGGGTCTCGGACTCGTGGTAAGAAGATGGGCTGTCAAAGAACAACCCATGAGCAGGTCATATTTGATCCAACCACTGTCGCACCCCTTTGAGACGCCTCCACAAGAAATCGTTCACACGGATGAGCACGTCAAGCCCTGGCTCGCATGGTCTGCACCCAGCTGCACCTTCCCCTTTCTACAACAGAATCCGCAATTCGAATATGGCAACACTGACTGGAGGGCCCTCATAAGTGGACAGGGAGGCGAGGGCATCGCGTCCGTGGATGCATCAATTCTAGCTGCAAAAGCCATTGACACAACATATACGCTCTTCGAGCCCCTCAAAACGTCAAAGGACGACAAGGGAAACGAACTTCGCCAATACAACGGCATGTACCTTGGCGCTGAGAAGATCTGGAAAGGCGAGGCCGTCCGCCTGCGCATAGGCGCTACTGGAACTGACCTCATGGTCGTCACTGACATCATCGAGCAAATCTATGCCAACCCACCGCCCAACCAGCCCAAGAGCAAAGTCATCGCAGTCGGTGACATATATAGCTACGCCACTTTGGATGCGCCAGACGCCAACCTTCCTCCAAAACCGCCTCAGCAGAACGCCAACATTCCTTCGCGCATGGTGCACGACATGGTATGGCGAAACCGAATGCTCGTGCCTATAACCCGCACGGCGGCGTGGTGGAAGCTCATCCAACCATCATACAAGATCGACATCGACGACATCAAAGGTCGATGGTATGAGACGAGTCTTATATTCCAGGATCCTTTTGCTAAAGCTGTAAAGAACGGCGAGGGCGGTAATGGCATCTGGATGAACTCGCGCGGCGATGCAACGGGCAAGGGCAAGGGAGCAAGCGTGGCGCAGTCCGACCGCATTGGTGCCTTTGGGGCTTCCGTGCCCAAGGGAACACGCATCGTCGAGGGCCTGGAACCTCCGAGTCAACCAATCGGTCAACAGCAGCAGTCCCACGACGGAATGGACATGAATATGGGTGCTGGTAGCATGGCGGATCCATTTTCCATCGATGAATTCATGAATGTGGATCATCTGGGCGACGATGCCGGTATGGAGTACGGTAACAGCAATAATTTTACATTTTAGCATAGCCGGACATGGCACTGATGGCGCATGGCACGGCGTAATTCGGAGAGCATCCTGGGACATCCATCTATTCAAAAGCATTTGTGGGATATGGTGTATTTGTTCTTTTGTTATTCTATTCATATGGGCGATACCCAAGTCGTTGCTCGACTATGTTAAGTCTGCGAGCTTGGTGGATAGACACAGATGTCGTGTATAGTACAGTCTATGCAGCAGAGGCAAGAGTCAATGCATAAGTTCATACCTGTAGCCGATATGGCTCATCAAAGTGAACAGTCACTGCAAAGGTGGAAACCACGCTTGCAGATAACGAACAGAAGTCACCGGAGGGACTATAGGACAGAGGAGCGCCTTAAAGTGTGTATCTGACGTTACAGGGAAGTACTTGTCGTGATGAGGGTAGTCTCAGGGACCAGTAAGTTCACATCAAGAATGAAGACATTCGAAGAATAGAAGCTAATTTGACAGTGACAGATACTATGGAAATCTCAGGTATTGATTGGAATATATGCACTGTTCCCGACGGAAGGGAAGAGGAGGCAGGGGAGTAATAGTTCAACTGCTCATGTAAATGTCCTTTGTATCAAAGCGAACTTCTTCTTACAATAAGACTGTCTAAGTCTACCTGTAGTTATGGTCTTGCGAGGAAGACGATATCCCCAAACCAGCGTGTTCAGTATCTCTCGACTGAAGTGCAGATCCCTGATCCGAGTGTGCACGATGATAGCCCTGCCGGTTCTGCACTGCATCCTGTATATGTGGCCCTGTCTGTGCGTTACTACGCACCAGACCTGTTTCTAAGAGAGGAGTCTCTGAGCTTCTGCGCTCTTCGCCGATCACATGGCCGTCTGCTTCATTCTGCTGATATACTTGCGACGGCCTTTGTATAAGGGGTGTCGAAGAGTCGCCGCTTGTGCGGGGCCGACCGGGTAGGTCAAGTGGATCGAGGGAGGCGTCGCTCTCGTTGCGTGTCCGACGTGGTGTAATAGCTGGTGGAAACAACGAGTGAGCCATTGCTGGGGTTTCGAAGACAACATCAGGCACTCTATCGTTGTCGTAAGGTGTCAGTTCAATCGACGGCGCTCCGCGGAGATGGTCTCTTCCTGATGAGGAAGTCCGGCGAGGAACAAGCGGATTCCATGTGTGATGCCTTGTCCACATGAGCGTCTTTTTACGCTTCTTGATCAAACCAATGGCAAGAGCAAGCTTTTCTAACTGGTTCATTGTAACACGAGAGGTACGGCGAGCGAAGAGCGTCAATGACCGGTAGGCTCGTGTCATTCTCAGTCCTTTCATAGCGTCTTCGTAATCTTCGGTCGATAGGAAGGACTGTTGACACCACTGCAGAGGTGAAGACATAAAGTTAGTGAATATCTCACATGCAGCTCGTACAGGCACAACTTACCTCGACAGTGATGTAGAACATGGATAAGCCCATCACTGTTGCTGTCAAGACAGTCCCGGAGATCCAGCACCAGGCGACCCACAGGCTATTCGACTGATCTACTAAGCGGTTAACACAGGCAATAACGTATCGTAGACTATGAAGCGTATCGTATTAAACCTGTCCTGCTTAGGTAGATTGAAGGAAAAAAAGCAACCGTGTCTCCCTTTTCTCTTATCTCTGCAGGGGGTGAGTAGTAAAGTGAGAACGTACTATTTAGTCGTTAGCTATTATCAACCATATTTTCTACGTGTGACGGCTACTTTACCCTTGCTGACTGAAATCCAGGTATCCACCTCCCCAAGCCCAATTACTGGTCATGCAATCGCAAGTTTTGTACCAACCAAAGACCTGCGCCATGACGATGTATATCTACAGGCGATCAGTCAGTGGTCTTATTGCTGCGATGTCGACAGGGATATGACTTACTAACCATATGGTGTTGAATGTCTCTACTGGCCGGAAAAAGAAGAGCTCCCACCTCCTTTTGAGAGGCATTTCACGGAGACTAGCTCTCTTCCTCTCCAATGCTATCTGAAACTTTTCCCTGGTGGCTCCTCTGTTCACCCAAGGCGCTACAAGAACCATGGAGACTATACAACGGATCAAAAGGCTGCTCATAACGTCAACCATTCGCGAAGCTCTTCGCTTGAGTCTTCCCCAGCTCGCCTGTGCATCGTCCTCCCAATGATTAAAGGTGACATGGCTATGTAGACGACTTCCAACTCTACCCAGCCACGGCGAACATAGCGCATCGAACTCGTACGGCGAAAGGAACATCCAGACGGTCATTTCGACGATAAGCAGGCCCAATGCAACAGCGAAGAAGATGGTGTATCCTCCACTGCGGCAACCGAGGCCAACGGTGGGTGTGAAGTAACTTAAGATGAATGCACCTCCGCAACTTCCAGCAACGATGATGATGGCACTTAGCACTTGCCAGAACTCTCGTACATCGAACCAAACCAACCCTTCCTCATTGACAGGCCCCAACACAAGACTTGCTCGTGCTTCGCGCTCATTAGCCAGCCAATTACGGCCTTTCCTCTCAATATAGCAGTCTTCTATATCAGAGAGAATTGCATGTGCGGCACCATAATGCCATCGAATTCTCGCCTGGCCAGCGAAATCCACGAAGAATTCTTCCATGTACTCGCCCTTGTCCGCCACACTCTCGATACGGCACTTCAGCTCATGGTAGTCTGGTTGATCTCTAAAAGTCTTGATGAATTCGTCGCGATGTTGCTTGTCGCGTAGTGCGTGACGGACGTGATCGACCAAGGTGCTGAGCTTTTTGCGGATCGCTTCTGCTGCTATGGGATTGCGGTCAACAATAGAGCCCATAATTAGAACTGGGAACCAGGCCAGCAAACAGCCCAATGCCAAATCGTGAGCGGTTGAGTTGTTTCCCAGGTCACCGAAAGCATCTTGAATGGAAAGCGCAAATGCGAATAAGAACCACATGATGGATATAAAGACTGAGCATCAATTAGCGGCTGTGGTAACGTTGGAGAAAGAGTATATACCCGGAACGGTCCCCCTTCTTCTCATCTCACGCACCTCACGGGCCAGTATGCGTCTCATTTGACGGAGCGTCTTGTCGGTATCTGTTAACACAAGGTCTTTGCTAAAGAGCGTGATGCGCAATAGGCCCTCGGCTTCTTTCTGAAGGTCTTTCGACATGACCGTAGGCTTTAGCGTGTACTGATTCATAACCAGCAAGAGATACATAGAGTCTCGCATGCTACCGAAGTCGGTCTTGCGATGGGGGGTCTCGTCATACTTGACAGCCATGTCAACCATCATGGCAGCCTTGGCAGACACTTTGATATTCCATAGGACGTAGGATATCGATGCGATGGGCGAGCCAACCCATCGCGTGATGGCCAACAATGTTCGTTGAGTTGCGTTGCTCTCAAAAGGTGCCTGCAAAAGAACACCGATGATTGGGAGTATCCAGGTGGTGATTACACCTGAAACGTCTTTCCACGGGTAGTAATGCGCGCCGTTACCACAAAGGTATATGCACCCTTCACGGGATATCTGGGTCGTAGAGTTATAATCGATGCCGATGATCTTACCATGCCAACCCCATGTTTCGCGGAGTGTTGAGTTTTCTGCGAATCGCTTGGCGCACTCTCTGAAGTTGGTAGCCATGTCGACCGCAAGGTGCGCGAGGCAGAACTCGCCGTGCAACTGGCAGGTTGGGTGCGCCTCGGCTTTAACAAACAGTCACTAGGTTGCAGCGCCACCTCGTATATCTCGCAGTGGCTGCCTTCCGGTGGCATATCCAATAGGAATGTGGTTGTGTAGGGCCTCATGGGAGGCGGTCTAATGCGGATCCCGAGCCTCATTGTTCACCGGTGAACTTTTGAGTACCAGCGTCAGCTCTTGCACGATCTCACCTTTCTGCTATCAGGTCCTCTGTCTAGCCTTACCCTATGTCTGCCATGTTTTGATTGCACGAGACGAGCCGCTCCAGAATATTGGTGGCTGCTGGGCTTGAGCCCATGAAGTACGTCTTCGTGGTAGCCGCTTCTGGCAAAAGGACTTGCGGCTCTCGCCTGACTGCAGACAATCCTGGTATCGTGTATCGCCAGTATATTGCCGATAGGGCGAAGAAGGCAAGCAGGCAAGAGATAAGGCTGACGTGGAGACATGCCGGAGTCGTTAGGTGGGGGCGGTTTATGGTCGCAACAACGAGTTGCGCTATCTCGCGGCGGCAACCGCGTCCCGCAAAGTCCCCTTGCCTGCCCACGTGCGTTCCCAACGCTAGGGTCAACCTCGGTTTATTGTCGAGGTTTTTCTACTTAGCAAACCCGATAGACCTAACATGTCGCTATAGGAGCACAACAAAGTCTTGGGATGGTAATCGTCAACATTCAGTACAACAAGCCTGATAGGCGAAGTACTCTAGCTCATGAACATATATGGGGTATCATTCCCCTTCTTACAAAGCTTTACCATAAGGGGGGTTTCCAGTATCCGATCCTACCAAAACACCAAGCAATGCAAAAGTCCACAGTAAACCCGCCATGACGCCGATCGCAGAGGTATGGTAAATCAATCAATCAAAAACCCTTCTTCCTCCTTCCTCTCTTCTCTCCAATCTGTCTCCTCCGCCCCTCTCTCTTCGAACTGCCGGGGTGATCTTCCCTCCACCACGCCTCTGGACGAATTTTGACATCCCAACCGCATTCTCCCAGGCCTCCTTGCAGGGCAATTTGGCGAATCTTCTGTGTTGCTGCAATACCTACTGGGGTGCGTTCGTCTGGCGCGAAGAATTCGCGCTCAGCGTCGCCCCGAAGCGCTGGGCTAAGTCAAGAGAAGAAGTACTTGGATTCCCGGAGACGGGATACGTCCCACCCACCTTTCTGTGGAACAGGTGGAAAGCTGAGCGGGATCCATACTTGAATTGTGCTCTTCTCGTGGCCGAGGCGAGACGGCGCCTTCTTCTTGGCTACACCGCCGCTTTGTGGGTCCTTTGCGAGATCTTGGGCCTCGTCTTCCACAACATCGATCGTTGACTCAGTGGTGGTGATAGCATCAACTTCATCACCCAATGCCTCATCCATAGTCTTTGTTTCCCTATCGGCAGACTGTTTGTCTTTAGACTCACCGAGCAGAGCGAGTCTGGCCGAGCGGAATGCCTTGGGGTCCTGGTCCGCAAGCCAGATGCTGGTCGGCGTGACCATCGCCTCGCCCTGTTTCCTCTCCTCGGCATCTTCACTCTTCAGCAATTCCTGTCGCTTAGCCTCCAGTGCAACTTCCTCAAAGGAGGTGTCTCCGTATCGCTTGCCACTTGATTTTGTGGTAGTACCCTTCTTCTGGCGACGCTTTAGTCTCCATTCTGTGATCCTCCGGCTGACCTCTGCTCCGTTGTAAAGAGTCGCTCGGTACATAGCACCTGCATAACGCGCAGAGAACTCGGCAGCAAGACGGTCGACAATATCCTCGCTATGCATGCGTACGAATGCGTCACGAAGAATGACGTTTAAATTGGGGATATCAGAAGCGTGTGTCCAAAAGCTGTCGTGGACAGCGGCGAAGTCGAGCCCCATCTCGCTGGCCTTCAACGCCGAAAGCAGCATATGGCTCGCGTCGAGAGAGTGGATAAAGTTGGGTGGAAATGCTTGAAGCTGCTTGCGTTTATCGACCTCATTATGCTGAGACCTCTTTGACACCGTAATGTTCTGAATCTTAGTCTTGATCGTCTGGTTACTTTCCTTCCTGTATGGCTGGACAATTGGCATCTTGAGTGGCGTTGTCCAAATGATGCTAGTCTGAAAGTTCTCCATGCCTTTGTTGAACTTGTTGAGCTGGGCTGCGGTAACCTTCTTTGGTGCCACAAACTTCGGGTCATACAACGCATTCGAAGGATCCAATCCTTCGAAGCGGTCTTTGATCCTTTTGACTTGCTCGGCAGTAATCGATGTCGTTATGCGTTCGCCACATTCCCCAAGCCAGTACTGAATCTCCTGAGCACCATTGAAAATTTTGCCCAGCGCGTCAAAGATCTTATGCGCAACATACAAAGCGACGGCACCAAGTCCCCGGACCTTGCTTGTAGGCTCGAAATGAGGGAACAAGTTACGTAGCTCGTCGTGTACCTGTTCTTTCGCTCCCATGAAGGTGACTCCGTAGACGTTAGTCATGACTGTTCGCTTGACAACTTTTCGCGTAATGTGGCCGTCAACAAAGGACGCTGTTGGAAGACCTTCGGCGGCGTCTTTTGCGACCATCTCTTTTACGAGTTCAGCAACACCAGTATAAATATCCTGCGGCCTGTCGGAGGGTTCAAGGTTGACCTGGCGAGCACCAGCATAGTCACCACCCAAGGCTGCGTAATGCTGAAGTCCATTACACGTTCCATCCTGGTGAACTGGAAACTGAGATACAAACCGAGTCGGATCGGGTAAGTCGAAAGCTCTTTTCAGCTCCATGCAACAGGCCAGACATTGCCAAGGATCTTCCGCCTTTACCCACCACCGTCTACCATCCAGTGGATTCGTCGCGGAATCGCGAATTTCGTCCAGGTTGTCCATTGTGAATTGTTCGCGTTCGCGTAGGCTAGCCTTGTCGTAACCGTAAAGATTGGCTAGATGAATCTTCAGCCATTGTAAACCCACAGTACCAAGCTCTTTGCCGTGCGCAAACTTGAGAAGTCCCCTTGAGAGATCAGACCCGATATGATTAAGGATGGGTGGGATCGGATATGCGCGGCCTCGGAAGTCGACGCTATGAGGGAAGAACATTTTCTTTTCGTTCAGGTATGCTCGCGCTGTCTCCAATTGAAAATTCTGGAAACATCGCTGTGAGTGAAGACCGCCGATGTGATTCTCGTATTCCTTCAGAGCTTTGCTCCATTTCGCTCGTTCCTGGACTGACGCGTTGGCTGGAGGTTCTTGGGGACGCGTGTAGTTGGTAATGGAATCTTCTCCAACGAGAGCCCCAATAGTCTCTCCCGAGTTCCAGGCACGAGCCATGACTTCAAAAACGGGGGCATTGATCTGCCAAGGTACTCTGCCAAGCACGTCGAGGCCAGCCATCACCTTGGACATGTCACCATTTTCTATGGCTGACCGGGCATAGGCTTTCTGCGCACTGTCACCGACTTTTTGACGAATGACTTTTTGCGGGATAGTGTAGTATCCGCCATCTTCGTAACTAGACCATGGTTTCGGTTCGACTACCATTGGCAGCCTGACAGTCTGGATGCTATGAACAGAGTCGGTTCGCAGTTTGGTAGCGAGCTCATGGTGCGGCACAAGGTAGCCAACCTTCTTGCCGTTACGATAACCGACTGCGTGGTGGAAGGCGGCCATACTGCGGGATATCTGCTTCCCTGTCCGTGGATCCTTTGCGGTGACGGTGAGGGTTGCAGATTGAAGCAAGAGCTCCAAGCAGAAGGCTCCAAGCTTTGTTCGTACCCCTAGTGGTATGTCGGCCTTCTCGAGTGGATACGATGTCTTCAAAGGTGGTAGGCTGGAAGGCGCCTCCCGGGTCTCCTTGGAAAGTTGATTGATCAAGTTCGTACGAGTCTGCTTGCGCTGCTTTCTCAGGAAAGCGTCTCGCCGAGCCCGCGAATCAGCGTCGAGGTATTCCTCGATATCGTTACCAACGGCAATAGACAGGGCCGATATCTTGTAGGCAGAATTGTCTTCATCCTTGCCCTTCACTGCGGCCTGGGTAGCCCGAGCAACGGTGATTGCCGCAAGCTTCTCAGGCTTGCACCTTTCCAGCCAGACACCGTAGGCGGCAACCTCGTCACGCGCCGTGGACTTGGTGGAATCGGACAGAACCTCCTTGGCCTGTTCGATACGCTTTTTGAACAGCGGCACGAGGGCGGAGTACCAGCCGTACATGATGGCCTGGATAGGCTTGCTGTTCATGACGCCATAGACGCCCACTTCTTGTAGTTTCTCGTCCTCGGCTTTCCATCTCCTGACTGCGGCCTCGATGCCATCCTGTTCCATCTGTAGTTGGCGTGCGTATGCGTAGGCCTGGTCCTTCTCTTCCTGGGTTCCTGGCATATCGTGCGGGTACGGAACGCGGGCCTCATCGTCGAAAATGGTAAGAGCTTGTTTCAGCGAATCCAGACCCATGCCCTTCTGCTTGACTGGTTTGATCGGCTGTGATGGGTGGGATACCAGGCCGTGTTCGATAAGGTTCTTGCGACCCAAGGGCGTGCTGACATGGAGATGCTGAACTTGGTCGACGGGCGGAGGTTCTTGGAAGGATTCTGGTTGTAGGCGGATCAACAGATCCCACTCCTCATCGGAGAACTCGGGCGAGGCGTTGATTTGGTCGAGGATGTCTTCGCCGTATTCCCGTGCCGTGGCGATGTATTCTCGTACTGCGGTCTCGTCGTCACCCTCTTCCAGAAAGTTCATGGCCGATCGGATCAGGGTAACAAATGTCTGCGCGTTTGGTGGGACATCTTTGGCTAGCATGTGGTCATTGCACCAGGTCTCAATCTTCTTCATGCTCTCCACACCAGGATCGAGCTGGCCGAGGTCGAGCAGCGTCTGCAAGTAGGCGTTGTGTGCGTCGATGAGTTCTGGCGCATCCTTGTTGTAGACGGTGGCAAGGCGGTCGATAATGATGGCGGCCCGGTCCAGACGCCCGACGCGCAGACATGCGTATAGGTTCTGGTGCAGCTCGACGAGGTCACCGACGAGGCCGTCGCGGGGACGCAACGCAGGCAACGCAGTCAGCGAGTCTCGGACGACGAGGGGATTCTGAGGGTCCCATCGCGGCATGCGAGAGAGGTCGGGAGACTGGACTTGGCGCCCGAAGGATTGCGCAAAGGGATCGAAGGAAAGCGGCGAGGAAGGTGGGGGATGCAGTTCGGCGGATGTGGCGAGGGAGCGTGTCTCGTGCCGTATGGACAGTGAAGAGGGCCGTTGCCGCTGCCGTCGACTCGAGTCGTGTGTGTTTGTCGAGGATGCGGAAGGTGCGTACGAGGTCCTCCGTGACAACGCTGGGCAGAGCCATGGCAGCGTTAATTGGTCTGAAAGGGTCGTGGGCGTCCTGAAGGCATTTCTGCGGAGTTTCCGCCCTGCGGCTCGCGAGAGCATTTTCCTAAGAGCGTCCGGACCAGTGCAAAGTCTATGGGGGGTATCAAACGAACAAACAAAGAGAAACAAAAGCAAGACTTGTAAACGCCAGAAGACAACTAGAGGAAATC